GTATCATCGCTAAATTACGTAATATTCTAGCCCTAAACGATGCGGAAAAGCTGGTACCTCCAGGCTGGACTTCTGTAACACCCTTTTAGCTGGATGCTCCGATACATTACTAAATAGGCTCCAACTGGTCCAGAATGAAGCTGCTAGAGTCATTACAAGGACCAAAAAATTTGACCGTATATCCCCAATCCTGTCGTCATTACACTGGCTACCTGTTAAATTTCGTGTAGAGTATATGATCCTTCTCTTAACGTATAAATCGTTAAATGGCCTGGCCCCGCAGTATCGTAGTGAATTAATTCAGTCATACGAACCCACACGTACGCTCTGCTCACAAAATAACAGCTTGCTGGCAGTTACTAGAATTAGAAAAACTACAACAGGGGGTCGAGCATTTTCCTACGTAGCCCCAAAATTGTGGAATCATCTCCCGATTTCTGTTCAGGACTCAGAAACACTCTACATTTAAAACTAGACTCAAAACTTAGCTGTTTGCACAAGCATTTTGCTAATATCAGTTGTTGCACTATTGCTCATTAATATCTGTTCATAAACGAACCTATCCTGTTAATCAATTTCTCTCGCTCTCTCTCCTTTTATTTGAGACCCTGAGCGACGTTTGCCTGAGTCGCCACATGGGAGCCACCGGAGCTGCTAGAGTCAACAGAGCTCCATCTCTGTTGGCTGATCTGCACCGTTTTGACCACCATGGAGTTTCATGCTGTACAACGCTGTGCAAACCTCACCTGCATGAACTGACCCTCCAGCTGCTGCTGCATAAACTCAAACTATCTAATTAACCATTGCTCCACCTGTTTCCCCCGTTTTTGTATTTTAATATTTTATACTAATGCTGTTTGCTATCTGGTGTCTACCAGAGGAGGATGGGTTCCCTTTTTGAGTCTTGGTTCCTCTCAAGGTTTCTTCCTCTTGCTCTTAGGGAGTTTTTCCTTGCCACTGTCGCCATTGCTCATGGGGGCTCGGACCCGGATTTTTCTGTAAAGCTGCTTTGTGACAACACCTGTTGTAAAAAGCGCTATATAAACAGTGTATTTTGTCAGTGGTGGTCCTGTAGTGATCTTATGATGTTATGTTGATGAACAAGGGTAGAGGGCATCTGAGAAATTGTGCCGAAATTGACGGGCCACAGTCAGTAAACCTATAAACCTATCAAGTACAACATGAAAATGGTAGGTGTTCCTTATGTAATGGACAGTGTGTGAAAGCACACTAAAAATATTTCAGCAGTTCAACCTAAAAAAGTATTCTGCAGGTGGTAAATGCATTTTTTTAATAAAAACTTTGACTCAACCAAAGCAAAATAAAAATACTTAAAATGAACAAAGGCAACAATTTTAATCAGTCTGATCTCAAAATCACTTTTTTACGAGCAACTCAGCATATAATCTGTTTTATTGGTTAGAGAGTCTATGCCAGAGGTCACTAATAGGCAGACCGCGGTCCGAGTCCGGACTCAGACGCTGTCCTATGCGGACCTGGACCTATAACCTATAAACTATGGAGAATTGTTTAATTTCGACGGGGTGGTCCTATTTTAATCTATGTAACCTCTCTAGCCTTTATGGTACCACTTTAGTGACCCGGGAAACTCACAGACCAATCGCATGCCTTCTAAATATCATACATGACGCTACTCAGCCAATCAGATCTGTGTATTACGATGAGCACCGAGACTCGAGTAAGTGACGCACACACAAGGGGACGAGGTGAGAAACAGCAGTCGGAGAAGAAAGGGAGCCAGAGGAAAGTTAATTCACATGACGTGCTCTAAAAAAAGAAAACTGACAATAAATGTTGAAATATTACTGATTTGTACTTTATTTAATTTGACATTCAGTTGTTGACTACATAAGATATTGATATACCTACTAGGCTACTTCAGTATGTAGTATATGGCACCGAATCATGATACAAGTTTGACATTATTGTAGCAAAACACCAACATCTGGTTGAGCCAAGTTACTCCTGTTACCCACTAAAAGGGTTTGGCTCCACAAAGTCTGAGGTAGAAACCATTAACAGGATTAAGTTGCCAACAAGTTTTACAGCTTAAAAGGACGTTACCTTAGGAATCTGGACACTATGGGAGGTTAGCAACCCCCTTTGCTCCCTATGGCATACCAGGCAGCTATAAATCCTTGCCTGGAATCCAGCTACAGGCCTCACCAAACTTCTAACTAAACCTGTGAATTACAAGAAATTAAGTTTCTAAAAGGTACACCAATACAGAATTGCCACCATTGAACGGGGTACATTTCAAGAAGTCTGGAGACACCAAGAACGAGGTTGACATGAGAATCTATAACAAAGTTAGCCTTTTTAGATTTTATTGACAATTTAGACGTGGGGCTACAACACCCCCAAGTGGTGAGAATGAAGCACAACACACCACCACCGTAAGGACATGCGCCTATATAGAACCCAAGAAACTTCTTGCTTTGTCTGCTTGATTATAAACATTTATATAATCTAAAAGCAATACTACTTGTTTTATTAATCTTATTGTTATGTGTATTACCTAAATATTACCTGTATCTTTTTCTACTATTAAGTGCTAGAAATACGTAGTGTATAACTTTGATAACAGACAGATCCAACCATTTAATTGCTATGAGTTTAGACCATTGACCAATATGTATCCTGAATGTGGTTTTCTTTTCTTTTCTTCCTGTTCCTTTTCTTTTGTTGTCGATTTTATTTCTTCATGCATTGGGCCATATTCAGATATTATAGGCAAATATTACCTGTGTTCTTTAACATGTGTTGTGTATCAGGTAACAAGGGTTAAACTCTCTCTTATAAAAATACCTGAATATCCTAGTTGTTCCTTCCTTGATTTTGAAAGTTAAACCAATTTGATATAGGAATGTTTCTTTTTCTTTGTTTAAACTAGTTAAAACAAAGAAGGCAGTGATTCTGGGGAAGGCATTCCTTAAATTATGCACAACCAATCAGAGTTGGAAACAATGAATAGCTAGTTAACCTTAGGTGAGGAGAACCTAACAGCACTTTGGCTCCACCTCCAAAGGGTAGGGCCTCCAGCTGAGCAAAACCAGAGTGCACCGCAAATTTCGGGAGTTCGGAGTCCTGCGTTCTCAACAAGAAGATAGCTAAATTTCTAAGTTTGTGCCGGCCTTGGTCAGAAAGACAGGTCAGAAGTATTAGAACGCTAAATTTCAGATCTGAAACCTTTGTTTGTTTTGTAACTTGCCTGTTCGTCTACACACCTTAAGTTTAAACCACCCTCAGAGAAGGAAGGTGGATATTTCTTGTCTGGCCAGGGAGAATATATCCACAACTTTCGATTCTGCTAAAGAGAGGTAGTTAGTTAAATTAGTATCACCAGCCTCAGAACCCTCATTGCAATCAAAACCTTGCCAGCGGAGTGGGCACAGTTCTGACACCACGGAGACCTGGCATCACACCCAGAGCCACGCACTAATCTGTGAGCAGATTGACCATCGAAAGGCTGCCCAAGCTCCACCCTCAGACGGCCACGAGACGCCTCCGCCCAATCACTGACGGAAGGGCGAGTGCCCGCACGGAGACGCAGCATCCACGAACAACGACGAGATGAATCAACGCGTGAGCCCCAGCCTTTGATCGAGCCGGACCTGAGACGACCCCTCCAGAAGTCGGCCCCCGACTCCAACGTAAGCTGGTTTCATCAATTTGCAGTCAGGGCCCTTACGCCAATTTATTTAATAAGAGAACTTAATAGGTACATCCAGCCATATAGTTATTCCCGTCTATACTTAGGTTAATTCTCTGGAGGCGCTTTCAAGCGACTTCCCCAGAACCACACTGCCTCATACCATTTAGCTGTGAATCACTTTACTCGAGCTATTTTGTCCTTTTGACTTTCATTATTATCATTTCTGTTTTATTTTGTTTTTTTTGTTTTTCTGTTGTTTATCACTGAATGTAGTCCAAAAGTAGTTTGATATTTAGACAATAAATTCCCTTTTACTGAAGCATCCTTGGTGCGAGCGTTTCTCTCTCTTGCCCTGGTCTGTGGACTTCAAATAAATCCGGGTTACTCCACACCCTTATCTAAGGTTCTAGCAATAATAACATTAAAATTGCAAAATCCGTTACATTATGATGTTCCGGACCTTTGGTTGAGCATATTTTCTCTAACTGGACCCCTGATCTATGCCCATAAATAAATAGTTTTTTTCTGTATTTTTCATGATAAGAGAATATACCAGTAAAATACAGGAAAATCACCTTTTTCAATAAATCTGCTGTAAACATACAGTCAAAGTCTGTTATTTTTAAATTATAAGAATCCACCATTTTTTTTAACACGGTTGTACCATTTTTTGAGTTTTGCGTGTTAATTTAGTAGTTATCATTGTAAAAACACAGTTATCAGTGTAGAAATACAGACCAATAAAGTTGTTTTACATTTTTCCTGCTCTGTGTGTTTATTTAAAAATACAGAACATTGATTTTTTATGCATGTTTGCTGTAATTATAAGTAATAAACACATAATAAAACCTAAAGAAAATGAATTCACAGAACTGTCCTATAATATTACTTTCAATACAGGGTAATAATATAACAACTCCATTGCCTATTGTAACTTAACAGTAATTTGTTGTTTTGAAACAGTAAATGTATGGTAAATTAATTTAAACTTCCATATTATGAACTGGCACACAGCATCAGACCAGATTTTGACTAAAATAATGAGGTTTAAATAATTCAAATAATTGTCAAACCATTTAGTAATTCATAACACTTCTCTTTAACATAGGCAGCAAATTATAATATCAGCTCAAATGTATATTATTGTCTTATATTTGCTAGAATTAAAGTTTTGAAACCACAAAAAATAAGTTTAGCAGACAGTTGTGTGTGTTCACTGGACAAAATCGAGGTTATGGTCTGTTCAGCCAATGAACGTCGAGAATCAGTTGTTTGAATCTGAGCGCCAGCTGCTCCAGGAGTGCGTCGTTCACACTGAAACACAGGAAGATACAAGCCTAGCTGCACCTAAGTCCCTGTTCACACCATGTCTTCATGTTTAGCACCGAGGTAACGTCTTGCCTTTATTTTCTCAAATACCTGGAAAAGTGTAAAACAACCAATGAAGTTGTTTTACATTTTTCCTGCTCTGTGTGTGTTTATTTAAAAATACAGAACATTGCTTTTTTTTCGCATGTTTGCTGTAAGCTGCGAGTGAAAACGGCTTACTTTGCATTTAGTTTCTTTATTACGAATAGTGTTAGTAGCAGTGAGCTAACAGTAGTGAGCTAACTTAAGTGATTTAATGCAAGCTAACTGGAGGTTTAGCTAAGTTGACTAAGTGTACGGATTTAACGTTATTATAAGCTTAAGAGTTAACTCCAGAGTTGGCAGTGTCGCTGTTTCGCCGCCAAATTGGGCTCGTAGTGGCCAAAACGACTGATTACTGACAGGAGAAAATCAACGGCCTTATTAGCGTATAAACGAACTATCGTAGGAGTGTTTGAATAGCTGTAAACCTGAGGAGCAGCCAGAGAGAGGTTTGCGGTTTTCAGGCCAAATTGGGCTCGTTTGAAAATGTAGTCGTGAGGGAAGTTTTGAAAGTCGCGTGATGCGGAGTTTTGGGCTCCTTTCAGAATGAACCGCGGCCGAGGAATCGCCGTATGAGTGTTTGAGTAGCCGTAAACCTGAGGACACACAGGCAGGTACAGTAGAGTACAGCTGAGAGAGAGACTGTGAGTGTGAACATGAGGGAGAATCGGCGCTAGAAGTAGAGTCAGAGAGAGAGAGATGCAGTAATCGTTAGCTAATAAAGTTATATTACTGACGTCTATCAGCAGTATTTTGACGTTATAATGTTCAGTGTTTACTGAAATAATCTCTGCAGTAAATTATCTTAAATAAAGTACTGTGCAAAAGTCATAGGCAGCCTAGAAAATTATTTAAAACAATTTATCTTGGCAATAAAAGTGTTTTTGCCGGTTATTAATATGCTGGTTAGAAGAATACAGTTAGAGGAACTCAGTTCTGAGTCCTGATTTCTCACTGCACTTCAGAATGGATTTGTTAAATTCCAGTACTCTTGATTTAATTTAATGAAGGACTGTTAGTGCTGATTATGACATTTTTAGCTTCTTAGTGCTCTGAATGTCCTGTAGTGAATTGTGTGCAGGTGGTTAAATCACCAGTGTCTCTTTGTTAGACAGAGTATGCAGTGTTTGAGTGCAGGAGTTATAAGTTAAGGCCTATGTTATGCATTATGTAGGGAGTAGGGAGCCATGTGAGATTCAGCCTAGGTATTGGATGGTATTAGATGGTAAAAAAATAATGTATTCTTTATTTGTGTGTTTGTATTTAATGTTGTTTTAAATAATAACATTTACTGTCAATATCAATAGATTTACATATAATTGAGGCAGTTTCTTTTGCAGTTGAATACTTTAAATTTTGAGCTAGTTTCAGCCACTGGTGGGAAGGTTTTAAGTACACTTTGGTCTGGAGAGTTTTGCTGGACCTGGTAACCCTGGTTCATCCCTTTAACGAGTTTAGGTACATTAGTCTTAGAAATTGAATGTGATTGTGCATCTGTTAAGTTCAGTTTAGGCAAACAACATCAAACATTACTTAGTAGTGGTCACTATTGTATTATTTAATGTGCTAACCTGGCAGTAACGGTAAAGGTGAAGGATGTTAGCTCTTGATAGAAGTACAAAGAGCTGCATGTGATTATTGTTATCAACCTGACTAGGGTAGTAATGAAAACCCAATGAAAATGTTTGGGAACAATACTTAAACAGTAATTAAAATTTTAACTCTTTTTGTTTCGTTTTGTTTCTTGTGCTTTTTTCTGTTGTTTTTTTTACTCACTTCTGCCCATGTCAGAAAACCTCCAGTGCTGCATCAGGGACACATTTTGCTGTGTTCCCACATGTTCAAAAGATTCCTACAAACAAAGGGATGTGACCAAGGTATGTTTTTTGGGTGTGTTCACATAACATTAGAAAATTAAGTAATGCTGGAATGTTACTGTTAGTACTACAGCTACGCCTGACAGATTAACTGCTTTTATATTTAAATCACAAGAACTGCAATATTTATTATAGATATATATTAACAAGGTTTAAATGAGGAAATTTCAACAAATCATACAGAGCTTATGAACTGCCTGTACATGAGTTTGACCAACACGTGCTGTATATGTGATAACCACTAAATAGTAGTCTTGCTCACTCAGTGTTCAAGCGCCTGAAGCCAGAAAAAGTGGATATTCTGGTCGTCTTGGCCAAAAATTAATTTATATTAATTTATAGAAGATAATTGCATTTAAATTGATATTGCAATATTGGTCAGAAAAATTGCAATTAGATATTTTCCCCAAATAATTCAGCCCTCGCTACAGCTTGCACATACTATGATTCCAGATCATAGAATTTTGTCATAAAGACTATATCATCAAATTGCTGCTTATTATGCCTGATTATCAGACAACAGTCTTAAAGGTTAGAGTTACAATGACGTAGAGCAGAGAAAAGTGGCAAATCAGTCATCAAACGTAAGTAGCTTCCAGTTGATCAGCTAATTCAGATATTAATACTGCAATTACACATGATAACAGTAACAACAACAGTTATCATGATTTCAGATTTTTTGCATTTTACATTACAATGGTATGCATGCTAAGTTGATTTAAAAGTGCACAGGATGTACCAGGTTACAGGCTAAAACAGATAAATGTTTGATTTTCTTTTTTCACAGGTGAGGTAGTGGTCACTGCTTTAATGGTAGCTAACAAGATCATTGAGAGATCCCACAGTGTCCAAAGCCTGGAATTATGGAATTGTCTTCCTTATGGATGCCTCCTAAGATGACTGTCATCTTTCTCAGAGTTGATGTTAAAACTGTTATGCAGTGACGGTTAAGGGTGAGTGGACAAAAATGCACAGTGAGAATGAACAGTGACATGTCATTCTATGAGATATTTGATGTGAGCATTGTATATAATTAAAGTCCTAATCCTTAACATACAAACCCCATTTCCAGAAAAGTTGGGACATTTTGTAAAATGCAATAAAAACAAGAATCTGTGAGTTGTTAATTCTCTTGAATCTATATTAACTGACAAAAGTAAAAAGAAAAAATTTCCAATGTTTTCACTGACCAACTTAAAATAATTTTAGAATTTGATGCCTGCAACACACTCAAAAAAAGCTGAGACAGAGGCATGTTTACCACTCTGTTACATTGTCTTTCCTAATTTTACCCGATTTTCTCCCCAATTTAGTCGTCTCCAATTCCACCCGCTAGTTAGGACTCCCCCAATCACACGATGCTATCAACGCTAGGAGGGTGAAGGCTAACACAGGCTTCCTCCGAGACCTGTGAAGCCAACCACCGCTTCTTTTCGAACTGCCGCTCACGCAACGTCACTGGACAGCCGAACGCGCTCGGAGGAAAGCGCCAACCGCCAGATCTGTTACGTCAGCTAACAGACGCCTGCGCTGACTAGCATCGCGCTGAGTGATGGGGGGAGAAGGAGGGGCCATCCTACCCACCCAGAGAGAGCGAGGCCAATTGTGCTCTCTCGGACTCCCGGCTACGGATGGCTGTAGCATCACCAGGGATCGAACTCGCGATCTCCTTATGATAGGGCCAACGCTTAGACGGTTGCGCCACTCGGGAGCCCTGTCTTTCCTTTTAATAACACTTTTTAATTGTCTGGCACATGAAGATACTGATTGTTTTGTAGGTGGAATTTTTGCCAATTCATGCTTAGAACTCATTGAGTTCCGGCTCAACAGTCTGTGGTTGTTGTTGTCTGATTCTGCTCTTCATGGTGTGCCATACATGTTCAATCTGGCAGATCTGACAGATCTGGACTGCTGGCAGGCCTGTAAGGCACACACACTCTGTGTCTATAAAGCCATGCTGTTGGAGCACATGCAGAACGAGGTCTGGCATTGTCTTGGTAAAATAACCATGGACTTCCAGGGAATAGACGTGTCTTGATGGCAGCAAATGTCTCTTTAAAATCCTAATAAATTTGTCAGTGGTACCTTTCACACATATTCAAGTCACCCATGCCATTGGCACTGATGACCCCTACCATGGCAGATGTTGCCATTTGCACCTTTCACTGACAAAAGTCTGGATAGTCCCTTTCATCTTTGGAATGGAGAATTTGAAATCCATTTTTCCCCAAAACAAGCTGAAACGTGAACTCATCTGACCACAGCACACATTTCCATTGTCTTTCAGACCGTCTGAGAGCTTGGGCCCAGAGAACTCACACACATTCAGCAGTGGTTTCCAGCCTTGCCCTACATGGACTGAGATTTCTCCAGATTCCCTGAATAAGTAAATCATGAAAGACCTTCTTTGCAGTCTTGTGGTGAGAAATGTTCTTTTTGAACTGTTTGACAATTCTCTCACGAAAATCTTCTCTTTGCTTGATAAGCCTGAGCCTTTGGTAGATGCTCCTTTTATACCCAATCATGAAATCCTCACCTGTTACCAATTCACCAGCTTATTGTGGAATGTTTCAAAATGAAGTAACTTGAATATTCTAGAAACTTTTCACTCTTGTCTTGCCCTTGTCAGCTTTTTTTTTGAGTGTGTTTCAGGCATCAAATTCATAATTTGTTTATGTTCACAAATACAATGAAGTTCGTCAGCCAAAACATTAAAAACAATTTCTTTGTACTTTTGTCAGTTAAATAAAAGTTTAAGAAAATTAACAAATCACAGATTCTTGTTTGTGTTGCGTTTTACCTATTTTTTCAGGGTTTGTTTTGTCAGCACACTTTCCATCTTACTGTCATTGTTGAAAATGCCCTTAACATTGTGTGTAGGCCCCTTTTAAGGACTGTAATAACTGTTGCAGTACTAGGTTCTGTTATTGACCCTTGTGCTTTGTATTAGCCAATTAAAAGTCCTCATTCTAGAGGCATATTCAGTGTTGTAGGTGAGTCATGAATGTAGTGTGGTTGCTTAGTCCTTCAAGTTGCTGGTTTTGTTGTTAGCATGTGTAAATGAAATCAAGAAACATTTTTCTCATGCAGTTCCAATCTGAATCTTTTAATAAGTGCATGCTGTAACAGTCCATACTACAAATAAATCCAGAATGATACACGAGGTAATTAGTGCTCTAATTCACATCATTGTTTATGTTTTAGACAGACATTATAAATCTTTAAAACTGTAGAAAGATTCACAGTAGCTATCTTTTTGCCGCCAATTGGTGATTATTTTGAATGTTAGGTTGCTGGGTGATGTCATGATTGTTAAAGTTCAACTGTCAAAATAAAAAGATTGAAAGTATGTTTGTTGAGGTATTATTGTTTTGGCCTGAAGTAAAAGGTAATTGTGCAAAATGTTCATGTAATTATATTGACTATATATCTTGTAAGTATATTGACTCCTGTATAAAAACTGTAATATAACAAAATGACCACAAAATTATGGTATATTTTTTTTTGATAATGCCCAATTTCTGCGAATATACTGAATAATAAAATAAAGATATTAACCATCGACTTTAATATTGGGTTAATTACATGTAATTTTGCATTGTATTTCTGTATTTAACCTGTAGAATCCAATGCTGTAACAGTGGTATCTTGTGGATAAACAGTACATTGTAATACTTGGTAGGCAGATCAACCAACATTTGTAGAATAAGAACATTTATTGACAGATTATGTCTGTTGAAAATTGTTTCATAGGATTTAAAAGTCAGTAAAGTGACTGTTAATATAAATAATGTTTCTTTATTTTACTTTAAAAATCTGTAATTTGACAGGTGCATGTTGTAGATTGATCAAATAATTCTATGAAATAACCAAATTACACTGTTATTTAAAAGATAGCAACCCTCAAATTGCAGACTTTGTGTATTTATGCAGTATTTCCATGATTTTAATACATTCTAGAGATGTTTTTTAATGATGAAAAGTTGTAATTCTACTAAACTTTGGCTGTAAAATTACACAGAATATTTACAGGGAAAAGCTGTACAGTAATCCCCTGTACAGTATTTTACTGTAAAATTACAGGAACTGTTTGGCAACTTTTGCTGCCAGACATCTTACCGTTTTTTTACTTTTAAAAAAACATGTAAATGTTAATATGGCAATTTTTAAAAATTATCTTTGCAAAACAGGCTGTAAAGAGACCATATTGTCCTACCGTGAACATCAATGTCTGGTTTTAGCTTTAGTGCACAGTATAGTTAGCCGAGTTGTTGTGGTTCAGTTTCTCAGTGTGTTTGCTCAGTCCTTGGTGTGCAGCAATTTTTTGTAATGAAGCAGCTTTATTGATAATTGGCCATTAAACAGAGCTGTCTATAGAGGCTGCATTTCACATAGTATGTCAGTCAGACTGAGAGTTTTCATACAACGTGAATATATAAAAATGTAGGCTTTGTCTGTACACAATGGACTATTCAAACTTACAGTGTGAGTCACCAAAGAACAAGATTTCTAACCCCACAAAGTGTATGTCTGGCTTTAGAGAACATTCAACTACAGCTCAAACAGACAATCAGAAGACCAACAAAATGTAAAACTTGAAACGTGAGCTCCTCGAATGTGTTAGCCCTGGATGTGATTCCTGCTCTCACTGTGCTGCAGGGACTTTCGTGACAGAAGTGACAGATGATGATCAAAACTATGAAACTTTATTTACAGCTGTACAGAAGCGCTTTTCTGATGTGGAACAAAACCGGCTCTTCTCCACTGCAATGCTACTCGATCCAAGATACCTAATGTAGCATAGCTAGCTAATGCACTTCACTTAAAATCAGCTAGATTTGAATGATTTAACAGTTAAGGTACACTGCAGTCATTTACACTAACAACTAATTAATTCTAAAGTATGCATATTCAAGGGTTTTTCAAGGGTTCTTTAGTAAAGGCAATTTAGAACCATGAGTTTTATATATAGAACCATAACATGCTTAAATTCTTCGCAAGGTGAAATGGTTCTTCAGATTAATGGAGAATTTGCTGTTTTTGGTGCTATATAAAACCATATACATGTTCTTCATTAATGTGAAGAACCATCTTTTTAAGTAGGTAGCTTACTCAGTATAGTATTGGAATTGGTATTGGTGAGTACTTAAAAACGTACTGGTACTTGTACTTGGTCTGGCATAATGGTATTGATGTACTAAAAAAGGGTTAGAGGGGTGAAGTAAAAGTTGTTGCGCATTGCTTCTTGAAAGGCCATGGCTAATCAGTGATTGACATGGGGACAGTTTGCTGGGAAGCAGTTTGCTTTCACATTATGGTCCTGCCCAATAGCCATTCCCGTTTTATTGCAAGTTTCATGTATCGCTAAGTATTAGTCATGACCAGGGGAAGTGGTTGTGACTGAAAAAAAAAACTCATTTCTGGGACGCCCTCACAGTGTCATTAGCGTTATTACCATATCAGTTGTGTTTTGATGTTCTGTTCCATCTCAAGAACTTGTAGAGAAGGTGAGAAACCTATCAACCTTTATTTAAACTTGGAGTACATTGAAGGTGACACTCATTTACAACATAGCCGAGCCCAAAATGAATCAGGGATAAAAAAAAAAATATATATATGTATTCTAAGAACATATCAAATGCTAATGCTAATAATAATAAGAAGAATAAGAATAATTATAGTAAATTTAAAAGCAAAAGAAATTATCGAATCAGAATAATCTGTTAAAATCGCAAAAATAACTTCATAAATGACAGATCAAATAGGGATAAAATAATTGAAAAATAGTTAATAAAAGTTATTAGTTAATAAAATAAATAAAAGAATAGAAAATGCAGAACACTAACCCAACAGTAACTAAAAAGTAAAGTTGATAATAAAATAAAAAAGAATGGTAAAGGGTGATCCAATCACTGGAATATGAAAGTAGAAGTGGAGTTTCATAGTGGCTTGTCCGTCATTTCAAAATTATTTTTATCACTGACTTCTTATAACTCAGAAGTGAATCATTTATCAAACTTCACTTGAGCTATTACTGTAATGGAACAGCTTTTTAGATCAGGGGTTGTCAGCTCTGGTCCAGGAGGATTGGTGTCCAGAACAGCTTGGTGACTTCCCTCCTCAAACACATAATGAACCTCCTAATGAACAAGTGAGTTAAACCAGGTGTGTTTGAACAGGGAAATCTCCAAGCTGTTCTGGATACCAGGAGCTGAAGACCCCTGCTTCAGATGACGAGGGATATATATATATATATATATATATATATATATATATATATATATATATATATATATATATATATATTTATGATGCAATGACACACTAAACCATGTTCACTCAGAAAAAGTAAACTTCAGTGAAGTTTAGTATGTATTCATGAGATTTAGGTAGGGAGTGTGATTGTGCAATTTAGGTGTAAAGTTGCATTGATTCCATATTCTCCATCTCTACTCCAGGCTTTTTACTTTATTCTTAAGTTTGAAATATTAGGTTATAAAATTTGTCCCTTTCCCCTGGGAAAGTGAATGAAGTGTACCTTTAAAACTGTGTGTACCTTGGTGAACAAAAGTGTGCATATATAGTACCCTTTTTCTGTTGATGTTCATCATAAAACAAATAAAAAAATAATGTTAAGGATATTTCTGTAGTGCTGTGTTCAAGGTGTGAGTCTCTCTAGTTCCTGTCAGATCTCAGGGTGGCAGAATACTGCAGTTTGCTCATTTGTAATCATAAATGCTTCATCATTAGTATGAGGGCATATATGTGTGTGAGAGAGTGTCTGCAGCTGTGAAATGAACAACAAGTGACAAATTGTTCTCTAACCCGAGCCACAGATTACATATATCACGGTAACATTCTCTGCTCAGAATTAGCACTTAAACAAAATGCTAATGACTAAGTGCTGACCACAGCAACTACAAACTAATAACTCTTTGCAACTGCTATCTAAACTGTGTCTGTGAAAGTGAAGCTATCTTATATATAGGACATCATACAGGCCCTAATGACAGTTAGTAAAAGATACTCACTTCATTCATGCACACAGCAGTCCATGATAAACTGAACTAGTTTCTTCTGTTTTTAGTTTCTCCTGAATGGTGCTCAGCCGGAGTGAAACATTCTTTTCTAATACAAACTTTTATGATTCATTCATTCTTTCATCTTCTTAAACCACTTGATGCAGCTAGAGTCACAGTAGCAACAGGGAAAGCAGAGAATTCCAGACGTCCCTGTCCCAACTTCCTCCAGCTCATTCTGGGGATACCGAGCCGACCCAAAGCCAACTTGGAGACATAATCCCTCCACCAGGTCACAAGGATGACCTTGGGGTTCCCAGTCGGCCATGCCAATGGGAGGTGGCCAGGGGGCATCCTAATCAGATGCCTGAACCACCTCAACTGGCTTCACCCAATGTGGAGGAGTAGCAGCTTTACTCCCGGATGACTGAGCTCCTCACCCTATCAAGTACAGTGTAGCCTGCCACCCTACGAAGAAAACTCATTTCCGCTGTTTGTATCTGCAATCTCATTCTTTCACACATTACCTAAAGCTCCCTCTACCGCTACAGTCCGGTACAGTGACTGCATTACTGCTGCCGCCTGAGCCAGCCTGTGGCTGATCTCACAATTCCTCTTCCCATCACTCATGAACAAGACCCCAACATATTCAAACTCTTTCACCTGGGCAGGTCCTCTCCCCTCACCTGGAGGGTTTTTTTTTTGAGTCTTATTTTCTCCATTCAAGCCAGACCACTCCTTCTGGTCTACTCATCAGAGGGTTTTGTACAAACTTGTGGCGTCTATCATTATCATTATCATCATTATCACTATCATTAATGCAAAAAAGAAACACCACCAAATACCAAGTATTTGTCACATATATTATTATGATGACAATATATTTTTGTAAAGAAAAATCTTGTATTAAATTAGTTTTGCAGTATTTTATAGTTTAATTTGGTATGTTTACATGTGAGCCTTTATATTTATCATGATACGGTACTTTGCAAAAATGCTTCGTGTATTAAAAGGTCTGCTCTTGTAGCAAATTTAAGTCAATTAATTTTTATTGGTAAGGCATTGTACAGTAATTATGTAGCTCTAACTTATACCTATTAACTTTATGTTGATTTTCTACTTTAGTTAGTACATATTACAATTTTTTTCCTCAACAACATGCCATTCGCCATTCACAACCTCGACAAAGAAGAAAAAGTAATACTTTCAGGGTAGATGATTTTCAGGAGTTAAACAATAACACATATTTGACTGATATTTAAAACTTAAATGAAAACAAAGTATAAAAAAATAATAAAAACTAAAGTAGAAACACAATCAAAACTAAAATGAAAACTGGATAAAGACAAACACCTAAAAACACCTTGTCCACTTTATCAGAAACTCTTCCTCCTTGGTAGCTCAAATTTTGATGCCAACACTCAAAAAAATTAAATCGCTTTGTTGTTGGTTTTAAAATGTTTTCTTTCCTGGATATGACTTAAAACACCTAAGTCAGTGGAACTGAGCTAGTTGTGTTATTTCAATAAAATTAAATGAGTTTACTTCATACGTGTTTATCAGAGTCATTTTTTTAGTAAAACTCATGTTTAGCATTGGTTCTTGCATCATTTATTTATTGCTTTTATTATTTACTCACTTCATGTCATCTCTCTCCCTGACCTAATTTCTATTGTGTGTATATACTTACTTAATATCTTACTCCTCGGTTAAGGGCCTATTCTTGTTGTTGTTGCTGCTGAGTGCAATTCTGCGAAGCTCAGTTGCCCAGTAATTATGTAGATCTCTAATTATGTAGAATTCTAACCTATTAACTTTGTTTATTTTCTGCTTTAATTAGTACATATTACTCAACTGAGCATTCTAAAAGCTAATTAACACAGTTGTGTGGAACCACTTGATACTGCATTTGTAAGTAAATCTAATATTTCATTTTTTGAGTAATACATAAAAATAATCACTCCAGTTAATCAGAATTTACTCAAAATGCTTTTGCAGGATTTCCTTGAATTCGTTAAGTACATATTACTCAGTGGAAGCACTTGACACTTGATGTGGAACCACATGACACGTCTCTGTAACATTTCTAAATAAATCCAAGACTTCATTTTCAAGGCCAACCTCTAGGCCGTCATCATTGGTCAGTTTCTGACCATACAGCCACTCTTGACTGGATACTTTTGAGTGGGGGACACTTGTGACCTAGCAGTACCAGCACAAGACACATTACAATGCCACTACCTTGTCAGTGTAACCACTGTGCTGAGAACACCTCCCAAATAACATCAGAGAACAGCTGTCCTATCTTTAGAAACTGACCAATGATGAGCAGCCGAACAAACTGTACATGACTACAGGTGGGCTACAGCCTGTAAGTGTACACATATGTGGAACTGTAAGACTCATACAGTGAACGGATTTTTGCTTGTATAGTATTAGTTGTTCACTTAACAGTATACTATTGTAATTCAAAGCACAAAATATGGGGTCATAATAAAGTGGGGTATATGTAAATAAAATAATTGAGAAACAAAAAAAAAGGAATGTAGCAAGGGGTAATCAGGAGTGAGTTGGAAAGACAAAGGCATTTAAAAGGTGCTGTTCTGTCGGGCCAGTATATACTCGTTCTGTTTCCCCCATCTAGGGCGCAGCAGATGCAGGAACACACTCACCACCAGCAGGAAAAAGCTGCTGGCTATAGCAGCTGTCACCAACCACACAAATGTGGAGTCTGTATGCAGAGACATTAAGAGAGGGTGAGAAAAGATCACACACAGGTTTACTAAGATTGGGTTCTTTTATTTGTTTAGTTTTTTCCTCTTTAAAAAATCTTAAATACTTAAGTTTAGCCATACTTCAGTTTAGCTGAACACAGAATGACTGAACTGAACTGAATTATTAACTACACTCTTAAAAAAGATGGATTCAAGGGTTTATTTGTAAAGACAGTGATTCTATATAGAACCATGAACACTCAAAGAACCATCTGAAAATTTGAGTAGAACAATTTGGTTCTTTGTGTGTTCATAGTTATACAATCATTATCTTGACTAAAGAACCCTTGAAGAACCATATTTTTAAGAATGTAAGTGTACATGTTAAGAATAATATTTTGTTTTAAATCAGCAGGTTAATCTAGAGGTTGTATTTTTTTGTGCCAGGGCATTAAATCTTTCATCTTTGAAATGTAATCTTTCAGCCAGTTTTAGAATTATTAAAAAATATATGTGGTATTCTTAAAATTCTATCAAAGCTATGATTTAGTAATACGATATGTGAAGTTGAAATATGCGTCTAAATTTAAAATCCATTTTGAAGGCCTTTTTGCCCTTATATTTTCTCAAAATTGGCCTAATCCTATTTTATAACGTGAATAAGGACAGTTATGTCTTATTAACATATAAAAAAAGCACAGATGTAGTTATTTTAATGCTTCAAAACAATGCTATATTACAACCACTAAGACAATGATTAAAATGATATAGATGTGAAGTGACATTAGGTATGGTAGCTGGAAAACTGAAAAATATGTGAGATTAAAAAAAAAACAAAAAACCCTTTATGTTACAAAAACAACTTTGTGAATATTGACAAATCTGTCCAGTTGCTATAAAAATCACAGGAGCTGCTATTATGGGAATAAGAGATTTGAACCAGTTTAACTACAGTCCATGTTAAATTTTACCCAGTGCTTGTTTGTGATAAACATGATAAAGTCCCTCATTCTCTGCAATATCTCAGAAAGGTTGAGAATCACTAGTTAAAATGTGTGTAGTTAGTCATTGATATGGTTGTTGGATTGGGAAGTGGGACAGGAATAAGTGAATTAAAACAAAGATGACAAATTGAGTCTGAAACTGAATATCAAATTTGACTGAAATGCCCATCTCTATAACTCTGCATTCAGCTTTGTGTCACAATGTGGACTTATAATCTATGCAAACAGTAAATCACTCTGTGTGCACCTACCTTGCACTTTAATTTGTGTAATGACTTCCTGTTTTCCTAACACATTTTTAGCGACACATTTTAGCTCCACGCTCATGTCCTCCTCATGCACCTCCAGGATAACCAGTTGCACCTCAATGTGGCTACCTGACACCCTGGAAATATATGAAACATGCACATGTTTTGATCTCAGACTTTGTGTGTCTAAATTGACCATACTTAATGTGGATGTTTAAACAGTGAAGCTGGTGTTTTTTAGGCTGAGCTGCTCCTTGTATATCATTTCAATAAAAAGTTACAATGATCAGCTGTAACATTTAAACCACACCCATGTTTCTACACCCATAGTCCATTTTATCAGCTTTGGCTGTGTCTGATCTACTCGTACCAGTGCAACACACACTAACATGCAACCACCACGTCAATGTCATTGCAGAGCTGAGAATGATCCACCACCAAAATAATATCTCATCTGGGGTTGTCCTGTGGGGGTCCTGACCTTTGAAGAACAGGGTTAAAGAGGTCTAACAAAGTATGCAGAGAACCAGATGGACTACACTCTGTAATTGGAGAACTACAAAGTGCTCTTATATAGTAAGTGGAGCCGGACCACAAGGATGTGGTTTTAACGTTCTGGCTGATCAGTGTATGTTTTTGAAGGAATTTACAAAGACTTTCTTACTTCCTGTTTGCTTGAAATGCTCGCCCATTCAGATAAGAGTGCTCAGGTAATTGGCCATTGACCAACCAAGTGACCTCAGTGAAATCCAGTGACTGGCTGCCAACAAACACCTCGCACTGGATTGCCAAACTGGAGCCTAAATGCAAACATTGAATGTAAAAATATAAATTAAATTTATGCCACAAAACAGAAACATTCTTCATTTAGTGCAAACTCAGTATACTTAGATAAAAATTATGTTAATAAAAGTGTTTTTTAAAAGAAGTGCATAGCCTTTTTTTTTCCAGTTTTGTGAAAGCTTGCATCAGTCTTGCCTCATTACACTCACTGTCCACTTTACAAGATAGCAGCCTGTTAATGCACAGTTTGTGTTGTTATCTAGCCGTTTAGGAACTGCTCTCGCCTGGACATTATCTGATGGTGGACCACTCTCCACCTAGCAGTATCACTTCAGTACCATTTCCAAAAAAGTTGGGACGCTGTGCAAAATGTAAATAAAAACAAAATGCAATGATGCGCAAATCATTTAAACCCTATATGTAATTGAAAATAGTACAAAGAGAAGATATCAAATGAGAAATGTTATGGTTTTTTGAAAAATATATATCCATTTTGAATTTGATGCCAACAGCATGTTCCAAAAAAGCTGGGACGGGACAACAAAAGGCTGGTAAAGTTGTGTAATGCTAAAAAAAACATCTGGTGGTTGATTTGCACCAGGTCAGTGACATGATTGGGTATAGAAAAAGCATCCCAGAGAGGCTGAGTCTTTCAGAAGTAAAGATGAGGAGGGGTTCACCACTCTGTGAAAGACTGCACGAGCAAATAGTGCAACCATTCAAGAAAAACGTTTCACAACATAAAATAGCAAAACCTTTGCTTTCCATCATCTACAGTATAAAGTATCATTTAAAAAAAATCAAGAGAATCTGGAGAAATCTCTGTATGCAAGGGACAAGGCCAAAAAACAGTATTTGCTGGTCATGATCTTTGGGCCCTCACGCGGCACTGCATTAAAACCAGACGTGATTCTGTAGTGGAAATCACTGCATGGGCTCAGAAACACTTCTGAAAACCACTGTCTGTGAAAACCGTTCATCGCTGCATCCACAAATGCAAGTTAAATCTCTGAAATGCAAAGAAGAAACTGTACATAAACAGGATCCAGGAATGCTGCCACCTTCTCTGGGCCTCAACTGAGGGGAAGTGGAGAAGTGTCCTGTGGTCCGACAAATAAACACTTGAAATTCTTTTTGTAAATCATGGACACTGTGTCCTCCGGGCTAAATATCACTCAGCTTGTTATCAGTGAACAGTTCAAAAGCCAGTATTCAGTATGGATATAGGGGTGCATTAGTGCACATGCTATGGGTGACATGCACATCTGTGAAGGCTCCGTTAATGCTGAACAATATATACATGCTTTGGCAACATATGCTGCCATCTAGATGATGTCTTATTCAGGGAACGCCTTGCTTATTCCAGCAAGACAATGTAAAAGAAATTCTGCATGGATTACAACAGCATGGCTCTGTATTAAAAGAGTCTGGGTGCTAAACTGGCCTGCCTGCAGTCCAGACCTGTCACCCACTGATAACACTTGGCGCATTTTGAAATGAAAAATATGACAAAGGAGACCCTGAACTGTTGAGCAGCTGAAATCCTTTATCAAACAAAAATGGGAAAACATTACATTTTCAAAACTACAGCAACTGGTCTCCTCAGTTCCCAAACACTTAGAGAGTACTGTTAAAAGAAGAGGTAATGAAACACAGTGGTAAACATGCCCCCATCCCAACTGTTTTGGAACATCTTGTTGGCATTAAATTCAAAATGGGCATATATTTTTCAAACAACAATAAAATTTCTCAGTTTCAACATTTGATATGTTGTCTTCGTAGTATTTTTCTTTAAAAATATGGTTTACACGATTTGCATATCATTGCATTCGATTTTTATTTACATTCTGCACAGCGTCCAGAATGTAAATAAACAGTGAACTCACCCACGTGGCTTTCAATTATAGAGCCATTTACTGGAGTGGTGATGTAAGGGTAGAGCAGGCTTGATGCTGCATGAGAAGATCAGCAACATCAGGCCCACACATACAATGCATATCCATTATATAAGTGATTACAAGACGCTTTTTCGTAATGTATATGCAAATATTTCTCCCGGAACTTTTCACAATGACACCAAATAACATTTTGTTAAGTTTTCTTTTCCAAACTATCGATAAAAGCACATATTGAAAGTCTTTCGGCCCAAACATATTGTCTTACTCTCATAATAACACATTGTTAGATGTTACTCAAATTGTTTCTAGCAAAAAGTAGCTTTCTATTCAACATTTTACGTTATTGCAAACCAACAAAGAGATTTATTAAAACATTTTGAAGAGCTAGTTGTCCTCAAACTTTGGACAGGCCGTGTAATTTTGTTATAGCTGAGTAGTTTGTTACATTTTGTTAGTAGGTAATAATTATACAATTTAGCAAATTATTGAATATACCTTGTGAACATTTTACCAGTTTATTTTATTTGAGCTGTAACAGGTATATACTGCTAACTGTCAAAGGTAACACAGTCTAAGTTCACTCACATGTCAAAGCTTCATCCATTGAATTGGTTGTGGGTTCAGTTTGATAGTCTAAAATGTCTGTGTCTGGGTCTGAAGAAGAACAGAATGGGAAACACAATGACATAAATATTTAAATAATATAGCAAAAAAAAACAAACAGCTCTTTACCAACATTAAGACACAAACATTTAGAGCTCATTAACAGTGTCTTTCCCATAATAAAGGACAGCCATAGTAGTTCCATGTGTGCAGCCTTAGTAATAGTCTAGTACAATACAAAAGGATTTAGTGCAACACAATATGCCAAATATTGAATAAAAATCATTGTATTTACAGTTTTTGATAACATAGTTTACCTAACACTTGTAGTTTCCAGATCCTGCTAACATTATAATGAGTATTGTTGATGGTCACTGTGAGCCTACAGGTGTATAAGCCCTCGTCCTCCACAGAGATATTTCTGATAGTGAGCAGGTCTCCTGTCCCGGTGTTATAGCGAGCACTTTTTAAAGGAAAAGCCTCAGAGTGAAAACCCTGTAGAGAGACACATGGAAAATGCATTGCTGACCATACACAAGCAACAATTAAAACATGCAAACATGTAGCCCTTCTGTAGTCAGTCAGTGAGCATCAATGAAGCAGTCACCAGAGGAAAGTTCTTGTACTTTACGTGAACAATTTATAATGAAAATCTGCCATCAGAGTGCAATCAAGTATGATCTGACACTGTATTCAGTAATCAGCATATCTAATAGGTGAGTGAACTCTGCTCAGAACCTTATCCTTATTCTCATTTATTTTGCTTAAGGAAGAAGCTAACATTGGCTTTCCACATTAGAAAAACATTCAACCAAACAACAGCAACAAAAAAACACTCTAAAAATTCATGTCGTATAGTACCATCTATTGTTCACCATGTAATCTAAATCCTTGAATAAATGCATGTGTTTAAAAATGCAATATTCTCTCATAATGTTACCTCACACCTTTTTTCACTGTGCAGTTGCCACCCCAATACAGTGGATGAGTCTAACCTGGCCACCCCACTGAAAAGGTTCTGACCACGCCACTGACACAGAGCAGTGGATGTTTCTGGCTTTTGGTTCAGCTTGTCTAGACTGACAGACCGCCTGTCATCCTATTACTAAACACGTCTTCTGTTTTTCTCTCACCTCTGAAATGCACATAAATGTACCTTGAACCACTGCGGACTTTCCTTCTTTTTGAAATGATCTGTGTGAGGACAGATGATGGTCAGGTCCTTGTCTGGCTGTGCAGAAACAGGATGTGACATCATGTCCATGTCTTCTCTTCCTGTTTTATAGATGGTCACAGAGATCTCCCCCGTATAGCAGAACGTGCTGCTCCTAAAGGGACAATAAAGACGGGAACATGTAAGTATCGTAACACAATATTTATACTCTACAACATACACTAGCTATTTACTTGGTTAGAAGCCCCTGCCTGGCTGATCACCGTCCATTATCTGTTTACCCTTCAGGTCTGTTTATATGTCCACTATCAACCATTATACCAAATTAGTTCAAATTGTGCCCCCACAGTAAAAATTACAATGAAGTATTCAGACTTTTGATATTTACAAGGATTGTTATGATCTATTTAAACCTCAGCCATTAATAGAGACAGTAATAAGCTAAACAGATACATAATCATAATTTATAGAGGAGGTGTCTGTCACAAACCCTAACCCTAAAATTTACACTTGTGAAAATAGTAATTTCTTTTTTTAATTTTCAATGTTTTTTAAAGATCTTTTAGATTTTTTAAGTAAAAGATCTAGATTTATGAATTCAATTTTTAAATTTCAAAAAAATGCTGAAACAGAGTTTTAGTCTGTGGGCAGAGCCTTATTTTAGCCACGCCTCTGCATTTTAGAGCAGAAAGTGAGACTGCATCCCAGTCGCTCATGGCCACATGGTAAGTAGTTAGATCCCATTGTTTTGAAATAAATGTGTCCCAAAGACTTAAAGTCAGTGTGGATCATTAACAACTGTCACTACTTAAACATACATTTTCTGCAGACAAGCACTTTTTGGGGTTTTAATGACTTTTTTGCAGTTTTAACTGTTCAAAGCTGTGTTTGCTAGCGAGTTCTGCTCAAAATAATTCAAAATTGTCACTACCGAAACAGTCACCACTGAAACATTAGAAAAGTTTCGGAAGTGTTATGACTGTAGTGACGAAATGGAATGTTCAATCATTTGTTTTAACAAAATAAATATAATTAATGTATAGGGCCATTTAAAGCAAAAGGATTTTAGTCTGAAGTCCAAGACCAGTTGAAAGTCCCAAATGTTTTTTCAGCTCTGACCAGTTCAGAAGAATGACATATACAGGTGTACAATTACATACTGTAGTCTATCTGTTGCTGCACAATTTCAATCAGCTGCCCTCTAGAACAATTACCATTGGTCAGTGTCTGATCACATAACTGTGGTTGTGAGGATATTGTTTGGGTGGTGGACCATTCTTAGCACAGTTCCAACGCTGACACAGTAGTAACATGGTAGTGAGTGAGTGTTGGTTGGGGTTTTACACATGGTCCATCACCCAAGATTATCCAGCCAAGAGTGAGAAACTGAGCAATAGCCATGTTTACATGCAGCCTGATAATCTGTTAATAGTCCAACTAATAGCTTAGTTGGAATACAATACTTCCATGTATACATCTCAGTCAGAATACATAGTCTGTTTAAGGCCATTCCGAATACAATTTCTATCCAATAGAATGAGATGGGTAATCCTGTAAATAATCAGTTAAATAGAAGCACAATAGCTATATAAATGCCTGTTTCTGATTACATTTCCAATTGGAAAGTATAAGAATGTACTTTTGCATGTGTGCATTTGCGTCATAATGGACGTTTATAGCTTTCAACATGGCGAGCCAGAAACTGGTCTGCAGAGGAAGTTAACTTTAAAAGACAAAGTTAACTTTAAAAGACTTATAAATAGTTGGTAGGATGGATGGCTGTAAGGCTTGCAATAACACGCTGTTCAGACGTGTATAAGCAAATAAATGCCGGTATATACAAACTATAGAGCAAATTAAAAACGCCCACTGAAAACAAAGGTAACATACTGCTGCTCGTCTCATTCTGATTGGACTCATGAAGCTCATTGTCGTGTTAACATCTACATTAAGTGGTACTCCATGCATGCATGTATGAGATTATTGAGTAAAGTGTGCATATAAACACCTCAGTCTTAATGTATAATCATAATGAATTCAGTCAGATTGGTGAAAATCTTTGCATGTAAACCTAGCCACTGATGAAAGACTCGATGATGGCTAGCACAAATCTTCAACAAATTGGCTTCTTTAATTCTTTAAGACCAGCAAAGACAGGTCTACAAAAAGTGGACAGTCAGTGTATATCACTATTCATATGGTATTCTTATAGAGATGTGAAATAATGTTTAGCACAGAACAGCTAAACACATGCACAGTGATTTTCAGGTGAGGGCCATTAACAAAATCCAACCAGGAGTTGGCCTACCTGAACACATAGGTGTAGGTTCCGGTGTCTGAGGGCAGAGAGGGGAGGAGCCAAATGACACGTTCCCTCTGTATGACCCTGTGACTCTGGTTGTGGAGGTCACTATGGTTACTGTGAGAGACATGAAATGTGGCACTACTGTCCACTTGAAGTCCTTTGTAACTAATGACATTCTCGAGAAATGGGAATCTGATGACCACTGCTTCCCCCTGGGTGTGAAAATCTGGGATCTCTGGGCCCACCATTGAACAGCTGTCTGGATCAATCACAACAGATCACTTAAACTGTGCTCTGTCCACAGATGTGTTCTTTTGTAACTACTGCTGCATATATGTGGAACCTTACAAGAACATTTTAGAACACAACTTGCTTTTGACTAAATATTGCAATATTAACTAGAAATGATACTTATTGTGTGTGCACGTGGAAGGCCACAGTGTTATGACAGACTTTTTTTTGGTCTGTAATTGAGCAAGATATTAGCAAATTCAGCAATTATCAAGATTGCAAATTCAGCCTTGTTGTTTCCAACCTTGGTAACACAGCATTGCAAACTGTATTGAAACATTATGTAGCGACCCCAAACAGTGATAACTACAATTTCTCATAAGATTGAATGAGATTTTTGCTAATTCTCTGTGAAGCTTACAACAGTTTCAGCGAAGAACACATTTGTGGGTGGAGCATCCATAGGTTAATGCAATTCAGCATTTGATTCAGATCAGTTAATCAAATTATAAAATCACAGAAAAAATCTATACATACAGAAAGTGCTTGTGAACTCTCATAAATTTGATATCCCAAACTATGATAATCATATTAAGATTACCTTTTATGGGTACTGCGTTGACAGCAGCAAGGCCAACAGACATAAAAATCCATGCCCTGAAATCCAAGACACACTAGGCAAAAGGAAAAAGGAGACCAAATCATATTGTCTAGATGTTGATACAGCCAGGAAAAGAAAATATCACAATGCATTCACCTTTGTAACACACTAGTTATTGTTGGTTTATTTCTTTTACTTATTTCTCCCATATTTAACAGTCCAGTTAGCTAAAGATCGCAAGGGAAACTACTAAATAGGGTTAATCCATCTGCTGCCCAGCATACATGATAATAGAGATAGACTTATTAAATGTGCTAAATGATAAAATCAGTCTGAAATAGACTTCACTATATAATCACATGTCCATAAAGCACTTTGAGCTGCCATCAGTACGAAAAGTGTTCTACAAATAAAATTAAGGAACAAAATAAATTAATTAAATTATCAATGGACAAATACTAATACAGTGAAGATGTCACAGGAAAGATAAAAAATATATTTCAAACTATGTACTATGGCTGGGCAATATGACAATATTTATCATTATCCATTATACATTTGAGTATTATTGAGTATTATTATGGATCTTGTCAGTATTTAAAAACCAATGAACAGCTACATATTTTGTTACATAAAGAGCATTATTAGCGGTGTTTAAATTGAATTATTGCAGTGCAGGATGTGAAATGTTGAATATGAACCATTGTATTTATTGTTTTTGATGGTATTTTTACACATGCCACTTCTGGTTCTTTTTTGTCTGTTCCAACTTATCAGATGTTAGAAAAAAATATATATCGCAGCATTATGTCATGTGTCATGAAAAGTTCTTGAAGTATAGTTATATTATACTTTGGCCACATCATCCACCTCTATACAGCAAAGAAGAAAAAATAGATGTGATGGAAGAATAATCTGTTCTGTCAGCATTAACTTTTTCAGTAACTGTACAGTGTTCTAGCTGTGACAGTAAATGGCATGATGGCTATGATAGTGATTTAGACTAGTTAGCAAATGTTAACTTGCTCCAAATGTAAGCTATCTTGTATAGCTAATGTTAGCTACCTAATTTCCGTGGCTGCCGTAAATCTATGTAGCGTTACATAAATATGCTTTTGTTTTTTTTGTATGTAAGAGGGAACTTGTGGTGGTGGGATCTACTTCATAGTGTCTCCCTCACGTCTGAAACCAAAACTAGGCCCTCAGGAGAAGGCCGGCACTGACACTGAAGACTGAATGTCTGAACGGGTTAGCACTCAAGAGCATGTGCAGAGAAACGGATTCAATCCTGGTCCCCACAGACTGAGCAAACTCATTCACAATGCGGTAAAATGTTTCTACCTAGATTCTAAAAATATCTATATGTTTCACTATATTTATGATTTGTTTATATATATTATTTGTTACACTAGTGCTTACAGAGAAATGCAAAACAGGTTTTGAAACAAGCTCTTCTTTTACTTTTTTTGTATATGATTTTATGTAATAAACAAATGAAACTACTTTGATTGACAACTATAACATAAACCAATCCTGATGATATTCTCAACAAAAAATTATATGAACACATCAAATAGTTTGTGATTCAACATACACTGTCATATCACACAAAAATGCCATTAAATTGTTTAGATTAACAAGCTTTAACCACACAAATCAATGCTAAATACCAATAGTGATTGATGAAAATATACCATAGATTAACATAAAAAGAAAATTTTATATGATTTCAAATTTATATGAAGATTCAACATTACATTACAAAAATATATGTTAACATATCAAATAACACTTTGATTAAAAATAAATGCTATGACAAAATTACTGTAGATACATATCAATAGAACATATCAGATCATATCCATCAGGTTCTTCATAAGTTTCAGTATATGCTGTCAAATCAGGGTAAAAATTGCTTATAGCACATTCAGCCTATTTGATTTGCTTAATAATGATCCTGTAACCATATAAGTAACTAAATGGCAATTAGTTACTGATGGAAAGAATAAACAAAAGAATAAATAAATAAACACTGTAATCAGTTATCAAAATAGTTTATATGTTTATATTAGATTTATTTATTGTATATATATATATATATATATATATATATATATATATACACACACACAAGTGTGTGTGTGTGTGTAAAATTCATGCCCTCATCTAGACAAACACACATTAACTCTTACCTGCTCTCTGATGGTCATCATGCTGAAGGAAATTCCTTGGAAGAAAGGGGAATGAAGGAGTGCTTAATGTGAAGGAGAAAGCCAAAAAGAGATCAATGAAAAGACATACACAGAGATATAGGCAAATATAGGGGAGGGAAACATAGCAGTTCCTTTTTTGTTGTGCGTTCTGTAGGCGGTGTGTAGGGGGAACCTCCAAGCTTTTTAAGGTTCCTCACGAGAGCTTGGAAATTCCTCAGCTTTCCTAATCAGAAGGCCGTTCCATGACACACATAGATAAATACACAGAGCCACGTACACACTTAGGCTCTTCTGTTGTGCCTGTGTTGACAGGATGAGAAAAATAATCCAAACCATGAGTAGCCTACTTTGTCTGGAACTTATTACATTAAACTTCTCTATTAGTGCACACCCAAATAAGTATATACACAAAGCATGAGTATGTACACAGAGCAAATGGCATAAATAATACTGACCCTAAGAGAATGACATAGCTCTTCTACTGTCCAGCCTATTCCCTGGAGATGGCTCCAATATAAAGAGTGTAGCAGAATTTAAGAATTCAGCGTGATTATATTTTACCGTCGACATCTGACACGCAAGAGGCTGTTTTGTTACTAGGGGGAACTAGATGACCCAATAGTTGTCTTTGTGGCATATTTGAGCCTCTCTTCATGGTAACGTAATCGAGACTGCACTGTTCTTGAACATGTGATGCACCTGGCTTTGTAATGTGATGTTTTTATGGAAATGGTGCTAAAAAAAGTTGAACGAACACAGCTGAAATAACAACTTCCCTCATGTCCCTGAACTAAGGAACCACTGCCTAACACCTTTAAAGGGGAACTTTCAAAAATTGCCTAATATTTACAACTAAAGTTCATTGCAGAGTTGTTCTTGGTATTCGGACAAATGGTAATGATAACCACAAGGTGAATTTTGAGTTGGTTTGTGCAGTGTGTAGACAGCTGAATACTATGAAGCTTCAGATGGTTCAGTGAGACACTGAAATCGGATAATGGTCTTGCAAGCAAGGATCACATTTGAAGTGAGGATAAAGAAAGAAATGGCAGGTGATAAATTTGGCTAATTTACAAGATTTTTGATATCTGATATCATAGGATTAATGTAATGTTACTGATTAACATAATTTGGTACAGATTGATTTGTATACAAAACAAATGCAAGAAAGTTTTGTATCCATGTGTTATAGTTAGTAGGGTTTGTGTGAAAAAGTCATACAGGGAAAAAAACTGTGTATCCCTTATACATGAAAGTCGAAAAACAGGAATTACAAATTGTGAGCACAGTGACTAAGCAGCTGGCACCGCAAGTTCAGGCATTAATCAAAAAGTCAAAATACCCAAGGCCCAAGCACAGCATACGTAGGCATCCGTGACTTTCACAGCATAGGCGGCAACGTTGCAATACCAGTGAGTCAGAATGCTTGTTTCTTCATTCCCATGAAGAACCCTACTTCCACAAACTTGAAATCGGGGCTAACGTGACAGCCTGTTTATGTTCTGTGATTTTGATGCATACTGTGGAATTTTGTCTTTTTGATAAGAACATACATACTCTAGTTATTGTGTCAAGTTTTGCATGACACTGCATTTCACATTAAGACTATGACACAACTCTCAGCATAGTTTGACACAGTTATTGTGTCAGAGTACACCCAGAAGCACACACATACACTATTACGTTTTGTAGGAATTCTTCCAAAATAAGCATTTCTTGTGGCATCCTTTATGACTAAAGTGCTGCGACACCGCACCAAAAATATTTTTACACACACACACACACACACACCCCACCCCTGGGCACTCACAGGATGCTATGATGCTGAGTAACCTGCCACTGCACAGCTCTGATAAGCTGTTACCTTTGCCATGGAAAAATCATCTAATATCGAATCACACATGAGGTGGTGACATCATCTCAAATTGAGTCACCGACAGTGTTTGATATACAAGTTTGAGATAAGTTTTTGCATGGCTAGGATTAATAAAAAATGACTATACCCAGCTTTAGATTTGGAACTCTATGATTCACCAATTTAGCAATACACAGATGCCAAAGAAAATAGACTTCGCATACTTAAAGTAAGTGGAATGTAACAGTAATTTTTTTGACTTGACAATGTCTTGACAACTTAAATACTGGTACTGCATGGAGCCCCTGAGGTGATTACTTTTTCGTTTTCACTAATTAATAAATTTAGGCCATGAGTTAAGCTACGTCTTACTGTAGTGGCCTCACTACAGTAATTTGTGAGCTCAATATAGTAAATTGTGGCCTCAATATATTGTGTGGCCACGTTTTTTAAAAAAAATAATCACCATGTCAACTCAGGGGCTCTGTAGTATTGCAATTACTACAAAAAAAAATGTACCCCCATCAGTTTACTAAATGTTGTGGAAGTCTGGAAGTTTGGACATCTAATCAAAAAGTCCTCTGAAAAGACCATGTGAAATGCCTCCTCAGCATATACTACTTCAAAAGGGAAAAAAACTCAACTTTAGAGGAAATGAAGAGGAAGTGATGACACTAGTAAAGTTATGAAACTTTACGTCAGAACTCTCAAAGGAAGTCGTGGCACAGAAAGTAATAACGCATTTCAAAATTTTTACCTAATAAATATGAATTGCTTTTAACCTATTAAGTCTATCAATGATGAACATCAGCTTTTATTTTAATGGCTTTATCAAATTAATTAACTAATTTATTCTTTTGCTGTGTATTTTTTCCCATTTTAGTAAAGTATTGTATGTAAAAAAAAAGTATGTATGTCTGTAATATATGTATAGAAGAAATAGAAGATGTATAAAAAAAAATCAAAAAGATATAGATGTTAAGTACAGAACAAAATATAATCTAGAAAAATAAAGTATGAAAAAATGTTTCGCCTTTTGCAAATCTGTGTCATAGCCAGTAAGTTACTGACCAGGACTTGAGATCTTCAGAGACATAAAGGAAATAATAATAATAATAATAAAAAAAATCCCAGAAGATGCCTTAAATTACTTGAGGAGTTTATTTTCAAAGAAAAACAAAGGACCATCAGGAAAATACAGGACTTCCTGTCATACACAGAGAGGACAAACGATACAGCGCCACGACTGAAACACACATCCAATCAGCCAGGAACATTTCTGAAAGGTCAGCAAAGCACTGAGAGAATGCTGTCCAAACGATTATCCTTTAAAACAACAGAGCAGAGAAATACTGACGGGGAAAAAAGTTCAATACAAAAAAGCTAAGAATTCTTTAAGAGAGAACATAAATATAATGATGCACATTAGTGTAACAAAACTTTGCCTCTGTAAACATTCTCAACAAGTGAGTATTATATTAAGTGAGCACTACGTTAGGTCATTATAGTTATACAGTTGTAAAGACTGAAGGAGAAAAAAAGTTACAGAAACCATCTATAGTTAAGAACCATGTCTAGAACTGAAGAGTACCCAAAGCTCTTAAAAACATAAGCCAAAAAATGGTTATTACATTTCGTGTAGTTGCTTCCTAACATCGTTTTTTAAGTTTTCAATTTCGTCACTGCAGCACAATTGATTTTCTTTTTTATGCAAAACAAAAACGCAAACAGTAACCTGATCACATAAAGCAGGAAGTTAAAGTTCATTAGCTTGTCCGATAATTAATACTTATTACATTTAAATAAAGCCATATGAACGTAAAAAAGTGTGTAGTGGTGCGCACACGTGCATGTCTGTGTGGTGGCTGGTGGCCTCGGATAAAAAAAAATTAATAAATAAAAAAGTGAGAATGATAAGAAAAATATCACGAGACGCAGGACACAGCTAGTGACCCCACTGTGGGAAGACTGGGCTGTGTGAAAGAGTTTTGGGCGCATCTCTGGAAAAAAAAAAAATAAATAAATTGTTTTTTGTCCAACGCACAATTACACACCGTGCAAACAGACACCCCCCCAGCACGTCAGCTGATAACATGCAGATTCCAAACTGAATATGAGTCTACAGAAAAATACTTTACTATTGAACGCAATAAACAATGCATTTATAATGAACACCTATTGGAATAAGCATGTATAAACATTTATGTAGACTTGTCAGTTGTCATGACAAGCTTATGTGGGTGTCATGTAGCCTCATGAACAGTAGCCTAGGGTAAAGTGCTACCAAATAATCTTTAATTAATATATAGCAATAAAAATATGCAACATGATGTTCTGTCCACATTGTGTAGCCCAACATCTGACAATGTGAAATGGCATTGGTGCTGTTGGGGATTGTATTGCTTTCCACAGAGGTGCATGGACACTGTTAGTAAAGCCAAGCTGCGTTCAGCACAGCAAGACAGTACAAACCACAGATCACTGTCTTACTGCTGACCAAATGTGTTAAGCTCTAAAAAAAAAACACAGTTGATTGTATATGTAACACTGAAAAAGAAAAAAACCTCTCTGATAAAGGTGATGAAAGTAAAAGCCTCACAATCTCATTTTTGTTTCCAACACAACAAGCTTAGTATGCGTCACTTCACAAACACAATGCTAAACTTAATCCGCGCAAATAATTCAGATGTCACGTACAATAAAACTGGACAGGCTGAGTCTTTGTTGTTACACTGTTGAACATCTTAAGGAAGAAAAAAAATGGATCCATGCCTATCATTTCATTGTTAACCATGAAAAAGTATTTTCACACTACATTCCGACTGAGTGCATCGCATATATCTGATATTTGGGAAATTAAATAAAACAAAAATAATTAGAGCAAAACTTGTGTGTGTGTGTGTGTGTGTGTGTGTGTGTTTTTGTGTGTGTGTGTTTACATGTGTTCTGCATGACAATGTCACAAGACGTGATTAAATCCAAAGCCCAATACCATTTGGTTTCCGCCAACACACACATACGCACATGGCTGAGGTGAAACATATCTCTACTTCCATTTGATTTCATATCACTTATTCACAGCAGGTATATAATTTCAGACACAGTCTATAAAACTCTAACTAGAGAAAGGAGAGAAAGGGGAGAGAGAGAGAGAGAGAGAGAGAGAGAGAGAGAGAGAGAGAGAGACAGAGAGAGAGAGAGAGAGAGAGAGAGAATGTGGCCAGACACAAACACCAGCTTCTCAAGCTCACTTGTCAGGTGAGTTGGAAGGGGCAGGGCCAAGCCGGCTAAACAGGCAAATGTCCATGCGTGTTCCTTTCTCTGCTTTTTTAAAACAACTAGGGTGGCACCTTAGGCTTTAGCAAAATTAAAAAAAAATTAATTTAAATTCCTAGGGACATGCGACTCTTAAAAATAGTAAGAATATGCTAACCCACACATTGTATAGTGTATAATAATAATAATAATAATAATAATAATAGAATATTCTCAAAACTTCTGTTCACAATGTGAACGCACTTCACTTTCTCAGTTTTTTCACTGGAAAAAAAATTAAATTACAATGAACAAAAAAACCCCAAACAAAAAACAAATACAAACAATAGAGCCCAATTTTGCCTTCCTCACTAATTTCATAGTAGCTATGGCAGCCAACCTCACCTTACCAGTTGGTCAAGCAGAGATTCTAGAAAATGAACATACAGACTAACAATAATACTGTAAGCTCAAGCCTCTCCGGCTTCCTCTCCCTTACACACGCTCCTGTTTTTTTTTTTTCTTTGCTTTTTTGTGTAATCATCTAAGTTGAAATTTCTATACAGCTTCTCAGGTTGTCTTGCAACGAAAGCCATTCGTTTAGCACAGCTTCTGCTCATCACATTGGGGAACTCCAGTCATCGTTCAATTCACGGTGGTTGTATTTCTTTTCTATGCTGACGTCATAGCAACATGAAGAGGACTTGTTGTTTACCAGCTGAGTAAGGAGGTTCGCCCCAGGGTCATAAAGTACACCTGGCTGGAACCTCCGGAACGCACCGATGCAAAGAAAACCTGAGAATAAACAAATTACATACAATTAAAAGCTTCCCATTATCCCAAAAGGCAGTCGCTCAAGACGTTTTTACTGTCCGCAGTTTGCTTTTTTTAGTCTATGCACTGGTGCTATGAGGCTAATATAGCTGAATAAGTAACAAAAGCTTAAATCCCACCAATTCTCATCATGCAAACTGCAAAAACACTGTATTAAATATTGTGTATACCGCAACTGTGTTTCTGTACGAACCAACTGTAGTTTGTACAGCTGGTGGAGAATAAACTTTCTGTCTCCAAAATGGTAATTGTATAGGAGAAGGAGAAAACAATCCTAATTTATAAAGGAAGTTAATGTAACAAGATAGTATTCTAAGTCAGTGTTTCTTTGTTCCTGAAGGTCCACTGCCCTGCACTTCTTACTACTTTCCCTACTCCCAACACATCATGATCCCACTAATCAGCCCATTAACAGCTTATTACTGCGCAGCACAGTGGGCCTCCAGGATCAGGGTTGAGAAACACTGGTCTAAGTCATTTTTACTATTTCTATTTGTCTGTTTGTCATTAAATTTTGACACAGTGAAAACAGGAAGCTGGCATTTTCAAATTATATTTAAAAATGAAGGGCCTTTAAATAATTTTCTTCAACAAATCAACTCCTGGCTCTGGACTAGCAGCGTATTAAAAAAACTAAGCAGATTATAACTGAAATTAGTTTTAAAAAACTTCAAATGCAAGTCTTGATTACTGAAGTTTACTGTTCCTTCACAATAACGGAAACAGGGAATATGTTAATGCCGACAAAACAATCACCTTGTCGTTCCGTTCACACAGGAACTTGAGCCTTTGAGCCCTCTTATGCATGAAGACTCCATCCAGGTGGCCAGTCTCTACAGAACGAATCTCAATGGCCTTCTCTCCCCAGCCCATAATCTGGTTGGAGCGAATGTATGCTGCAGGAGAAGAGGAAAAAAATCAGAAAACGCTGTATCAAGATTTAGCCAGTAGCCCATCTGTTGCACAGTTGGTTACCCACCCAGAAAAATCCAGCCAAGAGTGGCTCTGTGGTCAGAATCTGATCACTAATGAAGGGAAAGACGACAGTTAACACAAACTGTCCAACAGATGGGTTACAGTCTTTAACTGTACACCACCAAGGTGAAACTACAAGGCAGGGGTTTCTAATAAAGTGGTCGATGAGTGTAGAGGCTGTTTTTTTCTTTTTCATGTTCATTTTAACTATATGTCTTATTACAAAATTGCACAGGATTAAAATTCAACATCCAGTGCCTACAGGTATGTCAGATCACAAAGTCAACTAACCTTGGCTCGCAATTTGTTTTCCGAACACAGCTAGGGTCGCAGCGGTATACCAGTTTCACAGTACACCATTGTACAAAAACTGATGGTTATCATACCATGTACATTTGATTATTATCGGTATTTAAAAAAAAAAAACGTGGACGGAGACACTCACCCTGCGTGCACATCTCCTTTCCTCCTTTACTGCCTGTCAGACTTAGCAAGTGGCACCACACACACATATGCAGCGGATAAAATAGCAGAGAGAAGCAAGACTGATATCTCCATGCCCCCCCCGAAAAAAAAAATGAAAATCAGCAGTGTGGAATTACTTTGGAAATCCCAAGAACAGATCTGGGGTTGTCCTCAAGGACGGAAATCCAATTTACAAAAAATGTGGAAGCAAAGTGGCTGGCAAAGGATGAAACATGTCAAACCCATCTTTAAGGACACCATCCCTCCATGCAGATGAAAGTATGTGTCCCATTTATAACGAATTCCTAATTCTTAATCAAAAAAACATGTGAGCGTGTAAATGTCGTTAATAAAATGCCCTATCAAAATAATTTAACACATCCCGCCTCCATCTGCACTGTCTGTCTGTTCAGTAACCTTTGACATACAAAATACACACTGACCCCAATCTGACCCTATAATAAAACACACAAACTTTTCCAGCTCAGAGGGCTGAAATAAGTGAGTGTGTGTATGAATTAAAGGTACAGACAGGATCAGTCTGGCAGCACTGTTACCCACCTGCAGTAAATTGGCAACTAACTTATTTTGATGAACGTTTAGAGTTGCTGATTTCAACAAGCTCTTTTTCCCTCTCAGCTCAGGAGCTCATGCTGCCCTTAATGAGAGTCAGCTAATGCTTTTGAAAAGAGCAGAGAGGGAACAGAGAGGGAGGAGAGGGATGAGCAGCAGCAACAACAGAAGAGCTGAAAGGCTCAAGTTTGAGAAGAGGACTGAAAAGTCTAGTAGCCACAGAGAGGTGGCCAGTTTTGATGGGACAATGTATCAGTTCAAGTGATCTGACTTTTTCAGCAAGAGGGCCAAACACGCCTGATATTCAAATGTGTCTGCATGTAAAGGAGTGCAACGTTTTACATACCCACAGAGGTAGGCATCTCTCCCCACTGTAGCACCACGTCTTTTGTGATACGGCCGTAAGTGTTGACGTACACCCCCTCGTCCTCGTAACACACTAGAAGCTCTATACCATCTGTGTTTGGCAGAATGATGATGGCATGGGACTGAATACTTGTCTGGATCTAAACAGGACAAAAGTTAGTATGTTTGTAAAGTACAGTTCACCTTTATGCAACGTATATTCACAATGCAATGTTATTACTGCTTTCTACATTATTCTTTACTGAGTCATGTGCATTGTTTAATGCCACTTCTTTATTTATTGTTACTTGCTGTCTAGTATATGCATTATTCTTCTTGTACGTGCCCCACCTTCCTCCCCTACTGGCCCTATGTACTTCTATCTATATTTCTATTTTTATATGTAGAAGCATGAACACGAGAAAGTGTTTTATCCTGGGGGTAGCTGAAATTTTAAGCAGAGTATATGTGACATGACATGCAAAATGATTTGCCTTTTTTCTTTCTTTTTTTTTGCTAATTAAACCAAACAGAAGCTCAAGTGGTATGTGTTTGACGGATGCCTCCAAAGTGGCCAGCTGTTTTCGTCTCGCTGTGATGAAAATTTGGCGTTCACTTAAATAGTGCAGCTATTGCAGATTTTGAAAATATAAAATATATACTCCACTCTAACACTCTGGGTCTTAACTATGCTCAAATTATTATTAGAACATCTTATTGTTATTACAACCCCATTTCCAAAACAGTTGGGACGCTGTGCAGAATGTAAATAGAAACAGAATGCAATCATATGCAAATCATGTAAACCATATTTTTAAAGAAAAATACTACAAAGACAACATATCAAATGTTGAAATTGAGAAATTTTATTGTTGTTTGAAAAATATATGCCCATTTTGAATTTGATGCCAACAACACGTTCCAAAAAAGTTGGGACAGGGGCATGTTTACCACTGTGTTTCATCACCTCTTCTTTTAACAACACAAGCGTTTCAGAACTCAGGAGACTGCTATAGTTTTGAAAGTGAAATGTTTTCCTGTTCTTGTCTGATATAGGATTTTAGCTGCTCAACAGTTCAGGGTGTCTTTTGTCGTGTTTTTCATTTCATAATGCCAAAAAAGAAAAGCCAAAGTTCTGAGCTATTTTATGTTAAGAAATGTTTTTATTTGATCATGTAGTCTTTCACAGAGTGGTAAACCCCTCCCCATCTTTACTTCTGAAAAACTCAGCCTCTCCGGGATGCTTTTTTATAGCCAATCATGTTACTGACCTGATGCAAATCAACCACCAGGTGTTTTTTCTCAGCATGACACAACTTTACCAGCCTTTTGTTGTCCCTGTCCCAGCTTTTTTGGAACGTGTTACAGGCATCAAATTCAAAATGGGCATATATTTTTTAAAAAACAATAAAATTTCTCTTTTTTCTAATTTACCTCCCTGCATGTATAAAGCATGCACTCTGAAGAGATCCATTTAAATCCCTTCCACAATGTTATAATCTTGTTGCTTAGTAGTTGCTGAGCAGCTACTTCATTGTGCTGACAGTGTCAGTACTGTCATGTTGACACCAATAGGGGTAAAAACTTGGAATTGTTATCTTGTCAGCTAATTTAATTACAGGCCAAGATTTTACAAAATAGCAAGAAAACTGAATTTTGTACTGTTTCTAGCTAGAAACTGCTAGTGTGCCACATGCTGCAAGTGTAAAAAACAGGCAAATTTTTTGCCCTTTGTTTCAATGGGGGGTAATGGTGCGCTTATCAACACTGTCCAATAAACAACAAACCTGTCGTTAACCCGTAGATGTTATGAGAGTTTTCATCAATTCCAAAAACTCAAGTTGAGTATGTAGAGAACACATTACATTCAAGTTGAGTATGTAGAGAACACATTACATTCAGCAAAAATGATCACCTCTTGTGAGAGTAAAACTGTTCTGATATCAATTTGCTAGCCTGCTTGTTTGGCATGTTTTACCACTGTATTCTAGACATTAAAAGGACAGGCTAGAGGAATTGGTGGGTTGGGGGGGGGGTGTTGGGGGGCTAAACAGCGGGGTGATACTCTTTTTTTTATAGTACTCTTAAATCCGCTGTAATCCAGCACCTAAGATAAAATGGGCTTTACTTCTTGTTGACATGTCGCATCCATCATATGTGAATTCCAAATAAGTGTAAAGGTATAGAACTAATAGTTGTTTTAACACGTACGTGAGTGGGCAGATAGATGTCGTACACAGCTCCTGAGTCCACATCCACAGCATGGAACCCTGAGCAGGATCCATAGATGACCTTTAACCTCTGGCCTTCCTCCACTGTCAGGTCAACCAGGAGAGGCTTGTGTACCAGGTCACCAAATGACTGACAGAGAAAAGGTCAAAAGCCACTAAGTACTTAGAGTACAGTACATCTTCAGTAAATTACTAAAGAGTACTAATTCATTTAATTCAAGACAAACTATCAAAATCAAAAGAACAAAGATCAATAAAATGAGCCCTGCAGCAATGAAGGAGCTTATCTGTTTGCAGTGGCACCCAAATAGGTCCATACCTCACAATTATTTCAATTATGAAAAGATTCTGTAACCACATAGCCTAACTGACCTTAAAAGCCATGAACTTATGGTAGGGCTTCGGAGCCCAAGCATACACCTCCACAGAGTTCTTCAGAGCAAGAACGAGAAACTTGATCCTCTCATATTTCACTAGAGACAAAATAAGAACACAGGCAGGTTTCAATGCATCAGATTTTAATGGTGTAAATAACAAAGCAAGGGTCATAAATAGCACTTCACTATCAGAATACACTTAAAACTAGAGGTAGGTGATATGGTGAAAATCTAATATTGCAATGCTTCAAGAAATTTTCATGATTCACAATGTTTATTTTTTTAGACATCTGATCAGTTGGAACAGAGAACAAAGAACCAGTAGTGCTACATTTTAAAAAACATTATAAAAAATGTGAATACCATGATTTTTATTCAATATTTGGCAAATTGTGTTGCAGTAAGTTCAATTAAACGGTACTAATTTTGCTCTCAATGATGAAACATGCAGCTGGTCAGTGTTCTGCTAGTACTACTGATATCCACAATATGTTCAGAAAAGCATACTGTATTGTGATATGACATAATTTATCACAATAACTTTATATACTGTCTTATTTCCCAGACCTACTTGAAGCCCATCTACCTGTGAATGACTGTCAACTGAATGGAAAAACAAATTCAAGATGGCAGGCAAACCATACAAGTTCATAATACGAGTTCATAATAATCAATTTATGGAATTAAGACATAAATGGGGGCAGGCTGGAGGTTAGAGAACCCTGTGACGGGAATGTCACCGGTTCAATCCCCTGAGCCGACAGTACGTGACTGAAGTGCCCTTGAGCAAGAAATCTACCCCCCAACTGCTCCCCAGGCGCTGCGGATAGTGCGGCCCACCGCTCCAGGCAAGTGTGTTCACTGCCCCCTAGTGTGTGTGTTCACTAGTGTGTATATGTAGTGGTTCACTGCATGGATAGGTTAAATGCAGAGGTGAAATTTCCCTGTTGTGGGACTAATAAGGGTCACTTAAATTATTATCAAAAAAACAAGAAATACATTAATTATTGTACACAAAACCCAAATAATTCATATAGAATTTTGATGATGACCCCTTACATATTACATTTACATATTTATTTTGTTCTTTTAACTATAATAGTGTTTTGGCCTGCCAGTCCAAACTGAACAAATCTCAGAATTTTTGGCTTTAAATTTGCTGCCAGAGGAGTTAGGCTGCATGCATGTTGCCGTTGGAACAGTAAAGTCCTTTTTAGCATTTTCAGCAGTTTTCTTCATGCTACTGTGTTTTCTATCACTATATAAAATACGCATGAGCCTTCCCCCAAGACTGGCAAGTGCTTCTCATTGATTTGTTTAATCAGATTAATGATAAAGCGTGACTGACGTGTGACTTATATTCCTATTTCTTGTTCAGAAAGGTTGTTTGACACAAAGTGAATAAAATAAGTGTAATAAGTAAATGCTGGTTTCAGTTGACTTTGCACCAAATTTCTTGCTACTAGGACCTGCGATTTAATTTAATATAAAGACAAACAGGAAACATACCGACTTTGTAGTGGACGCACCCCTCCAGGTCCCCTACAGTGGTCCAGCCCTGCTTCTTCTCCACCTCAGGGTCATTGTGGAGAATCTTGTTCCTCAGCCAGGACAGGTAGTACACCCGCAACTTGTTCTTTTTCCCTGCAGCAAATGAGCGAGGTAGGGGAGAGAAAGAAAATAAAAGCAGCACTAAGCAGACTGCATTGGCCCAAACAATATGAAAACTTTATAAGAGCTTAAAATTCAGATGACAACTAGTATTATCAGCTGAAACATTTTTTAAAATTCAAAATTACAGACTTGCATAAAATACTGTACTTTCCTAGCACCCTTAATGGATTTGTTTGTTTCTGTTAATTTCTTATTTTTCATCAGTTCCCTTTACATACGTAGGTGTCTTTTACATGTTTTTGCTGTTTTAACCATGATGGTGTTTTGGCCTGCCAGTCAGTTCAGTTTGTCAGTTTAAAAAAAAGGAGAATTAAAAAGAATTAGGTCACTGATTATCCTGCAGTTTTCTAACATTCTGTTTTTATCCAATTGAATACAGCAGAACTCTTAAGATACCACAAGACAGCACCAGTAATATTAAATGTACAATAAATTTCTATGACACTTATTAATAAATTTATAAATATGTAAAATGTCTTGTAGCTACTAATTTAATTTGCAAGAAAAGTAAGCATTTCTTACTTCTATTTTGTTTAATCAGAGTAATGATAAAACAAGTGTGATCTGTGCCATATTCAGAAAGGATGAACAAAAATCTCAAAACTTTGGCTTTGGAAATAACAGAAAAGAGCAAAAATGGCAGAAACGGCACCAACAATAACTACCAAGTGCATCATATACTAAGCGTTATGACTATGTTTAATCAGAATATCTACAAAGCATGACTTATATGAGTTATATTTCTATTTCTTCCCCCAAAACAGGACTACCTCACCCTTTATGCTTGACCATGGGGATGGTGTTCTTTTTGTCATATGCTTTGCCTTTCGTACGCCAGACATAACGCTAATCTATGCTTCCACTGAGTTCTAATTTAGTTTCAACACTCCAAAAACTGTCTCCTAAAATTCCACAGACCTATCCAAATTCTTTCCTGCATATTAAAATCGACTTTTTATGTGCTTTTTGGTCAAGAGTGGAGTGCAATGACGTATTTGGGCATGGAGTCCTTGCTTGTGTAATGCTGTTCTCACCTTGTTTACTGATACTTTTGTTCTTGTTTTCATCAGGTCATACAGCAAGTCTTTGGCAGTAATGCAAGGATTTTTTCAGCTGTTCTGTTCAAATGTCTGATACCTCTTGGTAATCTACTTTTTTCATCTTGCTCTTTTTTCCATGTCTACATAGGTTTGCTGCTGTAACATGAGTTCTACACTGTATGATACTTCCAAATGTACCCCTTAGAACTTTAAGTGCTGTGATATTTTCTTGTAGCCATTTGTGGCCTTTTTGGTGAAATGAAATCATTTTTTGTCTTGTAAGAGCTCCTTGCCATGCTGCTGAGCTTGAACACATGCATGGACAGGATTTATATATGTATCACAGCTGAAGCAAATTAAGTGCCACTTTAGAGTTCCCAAAGGCTTAACTGTGTTGTAGCACAATTTTATGTCCTTAGAGACTAGCAGTGATATAAAAACCAGCAATACTGAACAAGGATTTAAGGATTCCCTTTACTCAAAGATGACGACATACATTTTCACTACCAATTTGAATAGGTCACACAACTCATACACAGGTCCTTTTTAAACAATCTTTTGTTGTCAAGGTCTTCAGAAAAGCTTCAATTTGTAAACCCTTACAGTCTCAGGTGGGGTTGAATAATGTTGAGTTTAACTGCATTAAAAAAAACAATTATTTAACATCAAAAAAGACTGGTGTTTAACAATAATACATGCTATATGACAATTTTATAGGATGTAAAATGCTTCAGTGCATTGATCTGAAGGTGACAAACTGCATTGCACATTTAATAACATATGTGCTCATTTTTGAGACAAAAATTTACTGTGTGTGTATTTACCATGTAAATAAGCATGTACAGATATATTACGGGTGCGCAATCAGAATAGGCAAGGATCATAATTCATAGATTTTCACTCCTAACGCAACAGCATGAGATGCTGTTGGTTATTTCCCTAACCTACAAACATAAAATAAAGTAATAAAGCAAGAAACACAAAAAACAAACATAAATATAAATATGTTTGTTTTATATATAAATATTAATAAATACAAACAAAACCTAAAGCCTCAGATATTCCAGTAGGTTTATCACCTTAATGCTTGATGCTAATTTCCACCACAGCCTCTATTGCTGGTTTGTAACGTAAATGTTATAACTAAGCTAACAGTAGTGCATGTCATTTTACCACACTGGGTTTATTAACACTTACAGCAGTTATACCTTACAGGGGAATGTCTGCATAATTTTCCAAATGTCTGCATAATTGATTGTTAGAGATGTAAAGATATTCATTTAGAGTGGCTTGGTGTGAAACGTTTCATTGTAGAGACGTAGCTTTCTTTACAGAGGTGGTCATAGGAACCAGGGGTTGCCAGGATTTTCTCCAGCCTTCGGTTGTCATAAACAATGAGCAATGGTCACATAATTTATGTTATTTCATTCATTCATATGTACTGATCAACAAAGAGATTGCTGACATAGATGCCAAAACTACTACTAATGGCAAAATTCTCACATAGTTGCATTTGCACAGTGGTTTGGTTCTCCATATCTAACCCTTTGATATGCATGCAATAATGAAGCCCATTGCACCCATAAGGGGCCCTTTTGGAGTTGACTGATTAGGGACCTTCAATGAAGATGTTCACAGAGTTTTGTTCAGATTGACCTTTTGACCTTTGTATAATAAACTGTAGTCTTTGAATGAATAAGCCAAAATACCAAACAAGCACGTAATTACATAGAACCACATGACACCAATTGTTTATCTGTAGACTTTGTAATAACAGTATAACAGCATTTTTATTTATTTATTGTTTTTGAGTGCTAAAGCGCCCCCTAAAGGCCAAACAGGACGAAACTGCACACCCTATCAGAGTCTCGACATATACAAGTGATTGATCAATGAGTGAAGAGTTATAGCAATTTAGGCTAGCAATGTCTAGAGTAAAAAAGTCAACATTTCTTTGATAATTATTTACCTAGAGAGGCCACAGAGTATTTCTAGACCAACTTCAAAAAGTTATGATCAAGAGACTAGTTTACAAAGTATGGTTTTCTAACAGTTAATGATTATAAAACAAATATGCATTTTTTAATAAACTTATAACTGGAAATTTGTTTGGCACACTGTACTACATTAGAATTCCAGTTACATGACCAAAAATAATAATATGTACATGTAACATGTAATAATTAATTGTTTTTCATGAGCAGCACCCCCCAGTGGACAAATCTTTTGAAACTTCACTGGTTGTTAGAGAGTGGCTACACAGAGACACCATTCAAGTTTCATGATGATTGCTCAATGTCAAAAGCCTGCTGATTGGCTGATGGCGACCATAAATTTAAATGTATTAAACTTTTCTTAGGGATTCGCTTACTGTCTGTCTAATAGATGCTACAAGCAAATTTTCAGTTTGATCGGATGTACGGATGCTGAGAAATAGTTCTTTAGCATTTACAGTGCCCCCTAATGACTTGTGTGCACAAAAATTGATACAGTACCTCAGAATCTCCTATTGAATAAGCCTGTCAAGTTTCCGTTATTTTGAATTACTCCAGAAGGATAAATTAGCATATGGCAGCCCTAGGACTAGTTCGCAAAAGGTTCCAAATTACTAAGAATTTTTTATTTTTTTTCCTTGGTTTAGAAGTTATGAGGCAAAACGTGTTTTGCTATGCTTTAGTGCCCCCTTTAAGCCTATTTGATTAATTGACCAAGTTTCACGTCTCTAGGACTCATGGTTTCGTCTAGGTGGTTCATTTTAGGGAAAAAAAAGAATAATAAGAAAAATCTTGACAACTCCAATAGGGTTCTATGAGAAAATCTAAGATAAAGAGAGATTTACTGTGTATTTCTGAAGAAGTTCCTCTGCCTTGTGTATGTTGCAGAAGTAGTGAGTTAATTTCCTGGCTATTGCACAATTAAATTCTCCCTGAAATTATTATAACTGTTTATAAACAGCCAGTAGAGGGAGACAGTGAACAGTACCTGATATGGTCACTAGCACATTAAGGCCTTCCAGGACATCCATTTGTTGAAAGCGCCTACGGTTGATGAGGGGATAGACCTTCCCCTGACCACTACGGTCAAGTAACATCAGACCGCTCTCTGTGCCGACCAACAAATTCACACCTGGGGGGAAAGAACAAACTATTTAACATTTCATTAAAAACTAATGGCAATTATTATGACATGCAAAACTCTGTGGACTCCCAGGACTGTTCTCCATTTTCACTGTGGAGTCTTATTATGTGCAACAACAAGAATACTAATCCATTTATTAGAGAAAACCCATTTTACAATTCTGTTCTAGTGTGGCAGCAGATCACAAGATACCTTGAAGAGAAGTGGGACTATACTTTTGGGGCTAGACTCCCATATGTAGGAATACAGATTTTTTCCCCCTAGTGTAACTTCTATGCTTTTCAGTGAATGGCTTTTTAAGGGAATACATGTGACAGAGGACCTATTTCATGACACCACTATAATGTCGTTTTAGCAGCAGCAACAAATATTTGATATTTCAAAGCAAGATCATTATGGTTTTCTGCAAATTTGTCACTATATTACTGCAAAACTGAAGTCACCATTAGAATGCTGAACTTACTTCATTAACACAAAGAATGCAGCTCATTTTATATCAAAACAGAATCATTTATACTTTCTCAAAGTTCACTTCAAAGTTTGGATAGTGTAATTCACAAATGGAAGAAGGACTAACATGTATATACACAATAAGATATACAGTAACATATATATATATATATATATATATATATATATATATATATATATATAAATATATAAAGATGATGAATGGCAGGAGGCCACAGAGCCCACGATAGATTAATGAATATTGTAGGGAAAAGTTAATGATATTATATGGCCACATAGAATAAGAAAAATAGCTAACAAATACAGCAGAAAATAGCCAAAGATTAACGACAATTAATTATGTTCTATCAAAAGATTTATAAACAATGTAATATCAACAGTAAACTACAGCTCTCAGTAACATTATTATTCTTTTGATGCTAGTAACATTTTCTGAATGTAACTGCTATACCATTTAAGGTGGAACAGAACAAATGTCTGACCAAACCCAATGGAGGTCGAGACTGAAACGAGACCGAGACCACTCATTTATGGTCTCGAGACCAAGACCAGATTCGAGTACTACAACACTAGTCCATGAGAAGTGATTTTACTCAGTGATACTGAATAAAATTTTTTGTAATACTTCATCTCTCTTCCACACAACCTTGAAAACGTAATTTCATTATTTCTGGGAGTGTGAACTCTTTTAAATGCAAAATCAAAAAGAGGTCCAGACTTGTTTTTATTGGGTCTCCCCTCCAAAACTGTCTTGCTATCTTTTTTTACATCACAAACTGCTCAACAAATTGCCACTCTTAGCTAGGAAATGTATTCTTAATAACTGGCCAAAAGAGATGCCCCCTCCTGTTACTTAGTGGTACAGCGAAATGCTTCTAATGAACAACTAGCCGCAGGACTCAGGGGCAACGTGTTATTCATGAAAACCTGGAAACCATTCGTAAAACATCTGCCTGCTGAATTCATAGATACTATCTTCAAAGGTCAGTAGTCTTTAGAATAGGACTCAAGCTGGTTCCTTTTTCTCCTTTTGAGGATGGCCTTGTGTGAGGTGGGGGTTAAATGTATTTACCTGTTCACATGTAGGGGTGGGGGAAAAAATCGATTCTCTAAATTTGAATTGATAACGTAATGTTGACGAAACGCAAAAGGCAGAACTTTGCAAAGTGCGGAAGTGCAGCGGGCGGACAGTCTGTGGCGTGCTCACTACAATAAAAGCTAGTGCAGGGGTCGGCAACCCAAATGGTAATAAGTCATTTTGTTCTTTCAACAAAAAGCAAACCACAGTGGGAGCTGCCACAACATTTTGAGTCCATTTTACCATCTTGGCTGTACATGTGTCTCAGTACTTGCTAATGTCCTAGTGTAGGCTAAAAATTTAATACAAACAAAAACGCAGACTTACTTTGCTCTGCTTTAAGCTTTAGCTCAGCTGTAGCCGCTTTTCTTGCATCATCATTCGTTTTTCGATGTTCGACTTCAATCTTTCTCTTTGCCTTTTCGTTAGCTACTAGCTAGGTGAACTAGCATGTATAGGCTACATTAATTCCAGCATTTAAGATCATTTACTGCTAAATCTGTGAATGATCAGCAGAGCTTTATTTTACCGCAAAGGAGGATTATTTTATTTTTACCTAGAAATCTAATTCTGATGTGGAGCCGCAACCGGCCAGTAAAGGAGCCGCAGGTTGCCGTCCCCTGAGTTAGCATATGGAAGCACTTTGGCTTCTATGGAGTTGAGAGGGAAAACCATATTACACGTTTCCACCCATTTTCCGCCCGGTTGTAGTTGCTGCCAACCAGAGGACCATCAAGCAAGCGATGTCAAAACTTCCACCCAACTCGGAAAGGACGAAGCGAACTACAAACTCTATCACTTTTCTTGCCAAGGATTTGCATCCGTACACAGTCTTTGAGAACCAGGGCTTTCGCGCTATGTTGCACACTTTGGAGCTGAGATACAGCGTCCCGTCTCAAAAATATTTTACCGATACAGCGACCCCCACTCTCTACAACGAGACCAAAACCGAAGTCATAGAATCACTGAAGAAAACGGGTAGAATAGCTGTAATCTGCTGCATGGACACCCACACACAGCCACAGGATCTTATTTCACCGTAACAGCGCATTTTATCACAGATGAGTGGCAGCCAGCGTCTCATGTGCTCCAAACAAGAGCAATGAATGAGAGCCTTCCAGTTAACTTGGCACATCGCTTCAGTTTGATTTCTTAATAAAAGATACTGGAAGTAAATTTATTATGGACTATTAAAAAGACTTTGCTTTAAAAGTACCAAGTCATCTCATGGTGAGAAAAAAGAAATCCTGTATAGAAAAAAAGATGCATCAAGATGCATCAATGATCGCTTTATAATCGCATCACAGCCGTCTGAATCGCAATCGAATCGAATCGTGAGTTGCCTAGAGATTCCCACCCTTATTTACATGGTGACATGTACTTACTGGTCATGAATACATCTTCTAATTTCTAAAAACCAATAACATTTATATATAAAAAAAAAAACAAACAAAACAAAAACCTAATATGTCAGATTTACTGAATCGAGTGTGCAAATTGTGCAAAGGCAATATTCACCCCAGAGAGCAGCACACAGGATTTCCGAGTTGAACCTCTTCTTGTATTTGCGGATCTCAGGCGTGTCGCTCTGTGGCCTGGTGTTCACAGGGTTGACGTTAACCACTGAGCCCTTACGAGATGCATCCTGCCTCAGGGCCTCCTGCAGCCGTGCGTCATTCCCATAACCTGGGGAGCCAAGAGTAGAGGTAAAGGGTGGAGGACCAGAGCTTATACTGTAAATCTCAGGCTTAGACTGATATCTCTTTAGTGATCTGACACTGACTCAAGTTTTACCACTTCTGCCATTATTTCATATGAATTACAAAGCCAAATTATCTCATATGAATTACAAAGCCAAACTGCTTTGTTACCCTAGATTTGTTACACTTATGTAAACTTTGCAATTCCGTACACAAAGGCCACTTCCTCAATTCCACAAAAAGCAGTTACTTAAAGATATTACAACAGATTATGAAAAGTGTAGAACTCAAACATTACAGAAAAATAATCATTACAAAATAAATGTTTGGGTGTGCTATTGTCAAAATTGAGAGAGTTTTAGACTCTGGGGTGTATCTAACAGTTTGACAAGTTTAGTCTAATAAGTTCTAGCCCAAGCTATATTGCATAAACTAATATACAGAAATACCACTGAATGGAACAATATGGAGGCTAACTCAGTGTTGATCAAGTGGCAGGTTTTATCAAGGATACAAATAATTTTGGCCATATTCGTGGTTATGGCCTTAATATAAAGCTTCAAACATAAGGATTCATCAAGCAAAACACCAAGTAATTTTGTTGATCACACTGGTTATAGGAATGTTCTCAATTTCAAATTTTAAAAGTAGAGCTACAAAAACCTCAAAAAATCGCTTGATTTAAGACCAAAAAATGATTTGTTTTTTGATGTTAAGAGAGTTTGTTGGACTTAAACCAGTTAGACAGTTTGTTAAGTTCTTCATTTAACCTTAACAATGATATCAGAAAAGATACTTGTGTCATCCTCAAATATAATTTTAGACAGCTTAACAGAAACGTTTGGACAATCAGTAATTAATAAATTATAAACAATAAGGGCCTGAAAATTGAGCCTTGTAGTATGCTGCAAAATACAGGAAAGAAAAGGAGAACCAGTTCCACTGTAAAACACAAACTGCTGTCTATCTTCAAGATCCACAGCAGTTCTTTACTCCAAGATGTGACAGCTTCTTAAGAGGAATATGGTGATTAACTGTATCAAATGCACCAGGTTAATCTAAAGAAAATAGTGTTTTCTGTTTTATCCCTAGATTTGTATATTACATTAATTAAATACATAAGCACCATATATGTCAAATGTTTTCTTCCTAAATCCATACTGATGTGAATATACAATATTGTGCTTTCTCAGATGTGCAACTAATCTCTGAAAGACAAGCTTTTCAAGTACTTTTGATAGTAAGCAGAACAGAAATCGGCCTATAATGGTTGAAAACAGCTGGGTCATGAGCTTTGCAAATAGGAATACACTTAGCTTTTTTAAAATTCAAGGCAATTCCCTTTTCAAATGAGAGATTAAAAATATGAGATGGAAGATTCACAATATACTCATGGATGTATATCAGTAGTTTACTGTTTGTCTTTGTAACCTGGAAAAGAATACTTTAAATTGATTAAAGTCTGCTGTATCTCCATCTTCTATTACCAGTAAGAGGTGAAAATTTTCATTGATTGGAGAATTCATAAACTGAAGAGGACAGTGGATTATGGGTGTAATCTTGCAGGCCAGAGATGGACCAACCAGCTATTAAAATTATTGGAAAATAATTGAGGATCCATTTTAGTTTATTTCTTTAATGCTTAAAATCTGAAAGATTAAAAGGATCAATTTTCAGTTTTGGGAGGCACCAGTCTAAGAAGACAACAAAATCTTAGAAATATATTCTGAAAACAAAGTAAAAGTCTTTTGTGGATCTACAGACTGAAGGATATCGGTCAATGGATACTCTCTGACAACTGATTTGAGCCTTGACATCTTTGCTTCATTATAGATTATTTTATATTTAGGATATAATGTACCTGTAGGCTTCACATATTCATTGAATGTTAACAAAAAGATATGATAATGGTCATCAATATCCATGCACAAAACTACTGATTTGGTGTTCTTGCCCAACACATTTGTAAAGATATTATCTATCAGAGTAGCAGATGTTTCTCTCACTCTAGTTAGCACTGTAATAATAGAATGAAAACAGGGCTGGGCGATAAAGCGATATAACTTTCCTTGATAGAACTATAAGAAATGCTTAATAAATTTTCGATATAATACACCATTCTCACACTTCCACGTTCCAGCGACAGCCGTGGTGGCGTTTTCTACTGCAAGGAAAGCGGCACTGCTCGGCTATTGCCAGGAGAGGGTGCACTTCCGAGTTTTTCGACATGATTAGAGAGGGAGGGTCGACGAGTAAAAAAGGGTCGCCAAATATACTTCACCAACGTCTGAAACGTAGGGTTATACATTCCCTGTTTCAGTGTAGCGATCTGTTCTCCTGTGACCAAGTGTGACTGGCGAGATAAGTGCAGTTACAGCGCTCAGTCATATTTTAGTATTAGTGCATTCCCAAGCAAAGAAAGAGAAAGAAAAAAGTGGGTTCATGCAAGTTACAGCCCTGATTTAAACAAAAGTAAACTGAAGGAAGCTGTAAGGCACTGGAAATCGGGAGAACGCTATCTTTGCAGGCTAGCTGTTTTTAGCAGCTGGCTAACTTGAAGCAGCGCTCTGTCACTCGCACAGCGCGGCGAATTGATGATACTGTAGATCCGACAAGACACATAAGCACCGCTTTCAGTTGAAACGTACCTAAAAGGAGGACTCTGTTTGTCTGGTGTTAGATATATTTCGATTCACACCTCGAATTACTATGGAGCAATCCAGACGTCTGCTAGCTGGTGTTTGAATACATGGATGTAGTAGGAGCGATGGCAGTAAGGCTATGTGATCCATAACTGACTTACCGAGCCAGCTAATGTTTGCTGTTCGTACTAAGCTGACGTTGTTGAGAAACTAAAAAAAAATAGCACTGTTCTTGGCCACTTGTTTAGCATTTGTAACGGGATAGCCTAGCACTGGTCCCCAGACATCTAAAAATAATTGAAAAATAATAAGCTAACATTAAGCCTCTGGTAGGAAACAAATGGCCTAGCTACAAATGTTAGTTAGATTAATACGTTATTATTTATGACAAAGTATCACTGATAAATAATTTACTACTTTATAATAATAATTACTTTGATACTAGAAAGCTATAAACTATCTATCTAATGGCTACAAGCACACGAGCCGACTCAATACCACAGCCACAAACGTACCTTGACCAATTGGCATAAAGCTGCTTAAGAAAAGATGCCATGATTGGTGCACTGACAGGAACGGCCCCTCGACAGCTCTGACTGGCTGGAGGTTTGACTCAAGCGTTCAGACATTTTACAGCAAGCAGATGTGAAACTTGAGAGCAGAAATGATTTGCGCGCACGTACGAGTTTTGAAGGTGAAGAGCACGATCGAGCAAGTTTCCAGCTGAGTGAAAACCGGAGTGTTTTGCATGTGCGAGCTCTGAAAGGGAAATGCATTGTTGTGCAGATTTTCAAGTTTTGAACGAAACCAGAGTGTTTTGTTGAGCAAATACGAAGGCGTTTACCTGCCCACTTCGTGCTGACAAGTGCATTCAAGTTCATTAGCTGCATGCTCAGAGCACCGCTGTCCTCTCAAACCGTAACATTCCTCTCTCAAACATCATGATCGTCTCTCAAACATTCTGTCTTTAGTCAACCAGGTTTCAGTTAACCCTATTACATTAAAAGAGAAGTTGAGATCAGCCAACGAGTGGCACAGAGAGTCACAATTTTTTGATAGGCTGCGAATGTTGATATGAAGAAGGAAAAAGAAACTTCATTTTTGGGGGGTCAACAAAGGATTTGGATTCACTCTCAAGTGTTTTAAAATCATTTAAGCAAAACAATTTACGTCAGGGTTGTTATTATACAAAATGTTTAATGCTGAGAAGTCCCGGAATTCAAAGTAATTTTGTTAACAGTTGAAGGATTGCTTGGATGAAAACACACACACACACACACTAACCACTTATCCTTCTGGGTCACGGTGGGGTGCTGGAGCCTATCCCAGCTGTCATTCGGCAGAAGGCAGGATACACCCTGGACAGGTCACCAGGTCACCAGTCTTTCACATCCACATTATTCTCAACTGCTGACTGGCTTTATATATATACTTGGACTGAACACCTAAAACGAACATTTGTACCATTGTTTATTTAACACTACCTCTAAAAACTGACACACATTTTGGGTTGACTGTCTCTAAAGACCGCTGTCTGTATTTTGCACATACGTATATTAGGGATGGGAATGAATAAGATTTAATTGATACCAATGCCATTATCAATTCTGCTTATCGGTGTGATTCTTTAATGATTCCTTTATTGATTCCTGATCAATTTTCTGTGTGGAAAGGAAGTTTTAACTTCTTAAACTTCTAAGGAAGTTTTCTTAGTCAAAGGAAAAATGTGCTAAGCCTTTCTGCATGGCGCTAATGTTATTATAACACAGAAAATTTACCCTTGATCCCGGCATGCTCAGTTGAGAAGCAGTGGCACTCATGCATAGGGAGTCAAATACATGACATTTCTGGAATTTCAGCCTTGCATCTTGCATTGATATCAACATAGATTTCAACATATTGCTGGTGTTTCCACATTTACATGAAATTATCATTTTACAGACACTGCAAGTAGATGCAGTTTGAAATGCAATGAAATAAAACGTGCTGTCTATGCACCAGTACACTTCTGTGTCTAGTTTATTCTGTATGTACTGTCTAATTATTGTATTGACCATTCAATATAGTTGTGTATACATATTGTCTGTCATCCAACTAGTACATGTGCACTTATGTCTCTGTCTTATTCTTTATGTACCAAAGAAGTAGCCTGAATGTTTCATTAAACTGTACACTCATGTATGTATAATGACAATAAAAGTTGAATTGAACTGGATCCATCTTTCGCTTGTGAATACTGCCTGAGCCACTCACAACCTGTAAAGGCAGGAAAATTCAGTATCCCAGTTTGACAACAGTTTTAGCATACAGGCTTTTATACTGTCCCCTTTCCCAAGGCATTTCATACAAGCATTATCCTACACAAACCTACACAAAAGGACAGAGCTGCTTTCTTAGAGGAGTCAAAATCCTGTTGTAAATAACTAAGTGCCTCAAACCATGAGAAAAGAACAGTTAGTTTCTCAGGAGTACCATGTTCAGAGTAACACTTGGTCCAGTCACCTCCTGCTTTTCAGTAGGGAATGCTGTGGGTGGGTGGAGGTAACTTACCAACATTGTTGAGGGCACTGCCAGTAGACGGAGAGATCTGGAGCAGGCGTGGGTCAATGAAGGGAGTGAAGGAAGAGGAGGACTTGTGCTTCTGCATTGTGGTGGACTGGGACTACACATGGGAAAAGGGTGACAGATGGATGGACATAGAGTTATGATGCATTTCAAAGTGAACTGAATATGATTCTTAGATGTTGGCCTATCTACTATTAATTAGCTTTAACAGCTATCTGCAGCTAAATTAGCATCATTTTATTTGAAGTTCACTACCAAAGGACTCTATAGAAGGCTCAGCACAAACAACTCACTCATAGGTCCTGCACAGTCATAAGCATGGGCAATATGGCAAAATAAATTACATTGTGATACTTTTCTGCAATCTACTCAGGAAAAAATGGTATCTATATCTAATTTATAACCCTAACATATTGACATATTGCCCACACCTAGCAGAACTTTATAAATGCATACAAGATGACTACAAGCATAACACTGCAGGTGTTTACCCAGCTTCTGGTTATTCACAATAGCATTCTTTAGAACTCTAACTAAGTATATGTTAGGGGTGGGCAGTATGGTCAAAAACATTATGACAATACTTTTGCAGTACATAATATGTTAATAACAATATTTAGTTTTTTTGAGGTTTGATAAAGTTGGAATAAATCAAATGTGTCAGCAGTGCCACTTTTAAAAAAAAATACTATCAAAAACTAGCAGTACAATTATTTTTATTCAGTAATTCACACACTGCACTAAATCTAATGAAACATGACCAATTATGCCTTTTTTAATGAAATTTGCAGTTCAAACAAGGACAATATCCACAATATGCTCAGAAACAGCATGCTGTGGCATACTGTGATGTAAACTGGCCCAAAATCATAAAATATTGTCATACTGTGTCATTAGTGTGTGTAGAAATATTATGCATAACCCTTAAGGAGGGTCCTTACAGTAAAGTGTTGAATCCAGCAAATTTAAGAAAAAGTAACTCCAATAAAACTTACTTTACTAATTTTACTAATACCACTTTACTGTAATGATAAAATATGGTATTATCTTTTATTACTTTTTTTTATTATTTTTTATTACTGGAATTATATCTTCTTGGCATACAAATATATACATATACAAGCTGGCAGGTGGGTGTTTCTGGCTTTGTAGCATGCCTCTCCATTGGAAAATGATGCTTAAACTATGCAACAGTTTTAGTACATACTGTTACAAAAAGGCAGAAAACCAACAAACACACACACAAACACTACAAAAAATAGGGTGTGATAGAATCTCAGAGTTCTTGATGGTGGTTTGATGGAAAAAGTCTGAAAGGAAGAACATACAGGGAAAAATGATTTGCGAAATGAAAAAATGAAACTTGGGTGAAGGAGATAATTACTGTTATATAATAACTGTTCTGAAACTTTTAGTTAAGTAGTTTAGATTAGTTAGTATAAGAATACTGAGCACTAGAGGGACTGTTATTTATTTTTCTTGGAGGGAGGTTAGCAGCCATATGGTCAGTGCTGTATATGAAGCCAGCATCCAGACTCACCACCATCACTACCCTTTCCCACAGAGATGACTAGACAGAGTAATACAGCAAGGGGAGGGAGAGAGGATAAGAACAACAATGAAGGAAGTTAAAAGTAAGGCTCAACCAATTTGAAAATTTAGAAAAAACATTCTGAAAACTCCCTTTTGGAATTCCCTTTTAATATCAGCCAATCTGATAGAACAAGTGATATATTGTTCAGGCCCAAGTAAATAAGTAGAGAGAAAGAGCTACTAGACAGTGCTTTCACTCTATGCCTATTGGGATTCTGGTGGCATCATTTTAGAAAGTGGCTTGCAAGTTATTAGTCAGTCAAAGGGGTCCAAAGGGGGCGCTGTGGGCTGCGCCAGGACGTACCTCCATAGGGCAGGGCGACCTGTCCAGGGGCATGAGGGGGGACAAGGTAGGGCTGCTGTGGTATGAGGAGGAGGAGGGGGTAGAGGGGCAGGAAGAAGGGGGCGAGGGCTGACTCTGCTGGAGCAGGTCAGGCAAGAGATGAATTCGGCCTGAAAAGTCATTCCGGTCCTGGATCCCCTGCAGGACTGCACCAGTGGGGAGACCAAAGCCTGACCCTGGCACTGGCCGTTTTTTTACATCCCCTGAGCTCTGGAATTGAGAAGAAGTAGATTGTCTGTGGTGGCCTGGGTGGTGAGAACAGCTAGCTGAGGACCAAATTTCAGGAGATTCTTAACCAGCACAACCTAGTCCTATTTCATTTCTGTTTTATTTTGTGTCATTAACTGATATTGTCTTTAATAGCTGACATTTATAAGTGTTTATAAGTGTTTACTCATTTTTGGCTTTCTAGATGGAGTAACAGCTGTTTTGGGGCAGGCTTATTGCTAGTAGTAGCCTATAGCTAACTGCAGTGCTATCCTTTTCTTCTTTGTCCACTGGGGTTGGCTTGGTTGACTGAGTGGGATGTTAATAGGAAGATGGGTTGTGTTATAATTCTCCATTGTGGCTGATCAAATAGCATTTTGCTTTTAGTCAGGACAATAATCAGTTTAAGCTACAGTAACAACTGGCTAATGTAGCCACAATGTTTAAGCTAATGCTAAAGCTTCAGCTGCAAGGCTCTCAGGGACACTTTATGGGGGTGTGTTACCTCTTAATGGCAGATCATTTTAGGTTTTGTGTTTTAAAACTTTGTTTTTATTAAACCGTTGCCTTAATATTTGTACATTTTATAAAAATGAATTAATTTTAATTTACCTTAATTTTGTCTAGCTTCCTCTAAATGTCTAAATGGCATCTAAATGTCTGTGAACTTCCAGTGGGTAAAGATTTAACAAAGTTAATTTGGCAATTTGTATGTCCGCTGATATGATGATGAGCTGCATGCAGCCACATGTATGTAAGTCTGAATTTGAGAAAAAGTGATGATGTGAAATTGTGGAAAGAAACCTAGAGATCTAGAATTTATTCTTTTTCTGTTTATGATGATGACACTTTCAGTTATGTGCTCTGTGGTCTTCACTGGCAAAAATAAACAAACACAAATCATAAAAACCAAATAAACATCAACTTAATGTAAATGCAAGGGTATGAAAAATAATCTGGTAGGACAAGGTGTCAACAACAACGGTAAATGGTAAGAGTAAAGAAAACAAAATGATCACACAAATATCAGGCTGTGGAGGCATTCTGATGCTGCACTGCAGCAATATAGCATAGCTCAGTGGTTTTCAATCCAGTTTTCAGGGACCTCCAAGACCCTGGTCCATATTTTTGCTTCATCCCAATTCCCAGGACACAGGAACAGAGCAAAAATCTCAGGGTCCATGAGGACTGGTTTGAGAAACACTGATATAGACAATGTATTGCGACAACGTGTAACTGTATTCTCATATTGTGTTTCATTCAAAATTGTAGAAATTTTATGCATGTGGGGCACCTGTCGGACGACTAGCGTGCTATCTTTGCATTGGGTGAAAGAGGCATCGTCACCATCTTCATGGACAACCATTGTCTTCACTGACTCCGTCTCGCCATTGCTTAGTCTGGATGAGCTGTCAATAAAACAGAGAAATATGCTGTAGTAACAGCAACAGATAAAATCTACAATTAGCATCCCATGGCTGGCCAGTTTATGAGGTCCATATACCTTATAGGTCAACAATAACAGACTGGAGCTCATCAGTTGTGGTGCAATTTGCCCTCAGCTGCCCTCTACCACATTCATGCACACAGTCCACTACCATGTCTGTGACACAGACAAGGAAGTGGCTTTGTTAGTATGTGCAGCCCAAGTATATAAGACTTTTGTAGTGTTGTCAACTTCAAACTTACAGCCAACCGCAGCGCTGTGGTTGAAAACTGACCACTGATAAAGGGTTAAAGCAGGGGTATCTCAACCACTAAGAGGGCCACTTTAAAAAAGCTCAACAAATCCATGGGCCAGAGAACACCCGTTTTCATTTAGTTTTAAAATAATATTTTGTTTTTTCCTGAATTTTCCACTGTCAATTCAAATCACAGCAAATAGTCATCAGCAAAATACAGACACTTGGTAGTACAACTTGAAATATTACATGAATGCTTAAATATTTCTCTTGGGGAAGAGGAGAGGAGGTAGGTCTTTTAAACCCACCTATGTGCTTCAACTAGACACCTGGCATATTTTTTTGTTCATTCATTCTTGGGATCAGTTTCTGAGCTGCTGAGCTAAGTGTTTATGTAGATTGAGCTGCAGCTGAAACAAAGCTATTGTGTTTGGTGATATTATGGTGTGACAGAATTTAGGGGTACTGCTGTCCCATATACTGTTGTTGGGGAAGGTGGTAGGAGCGCAGTGCATGCTGGGGATTGTAATGCAGTGTACTGTAAAATGGGCTAATATAGACAGAAAATTAAAATAATTTCACAGGCTGGATAGGATTGTGTCACGGGCCTGATCTGGCCTGTGGGCCTGGGCCTGATGTTTGACATATGGGGTTTAGAGGATGGCTCTAACCCACATGCTGGTGGAGCTACAAGATAGGGGTACGTAATAAAGTGCCATCACGTCAAATCTGTGAGGCCAGATGACTGCAAGCATATAAAGAACGCTAATAAGAGGGCTCTTCAACTCACTTCCATGGTTGGTACCCACACCAAAATCTACACATCTGCATATGAAGTATGCATTACTTTCTTTTAAGCTTTCATCCTTTTGGTTTGTCATCATGTTTCCTCTGAATTTTGGGTAACTCCAAGTATGCTGAAGCCTGCATCCCAAGTGTCCTCTCTGGAAAATCCTGCATTATCGCCTTTACAGCTTAGATCAATGAAAGAATTAAAGGCCTGCAGTCCTGAGGACATGCATATGATCAGTCCAGAGAAGAAGAGGGGTTTAGCCTGGGCAAATGTGTTTTGTAGTGCACAGAAATCATGACATACCCCCCCCGTGAGTCCTCTGGGCCTGAAGTGGATTCCTCTCCTCCCTCCTGATCCACTTCTTCGTCATCCTCATCGTCAGTAGTTCCAGAGTCATCGCTAGAGGAAGAATAGTCCGTGACCTTGTGGGGTGGCCGTACGTCCTCCACTGCACGCAACTCTTTGGCCAGTGCTGTCAAATCCTGTGTTTCAGGGGTAAAAAGTTAAAGCCAGACAGGACACACTGTTCAACTCTAACTCTGTTCAAGCTCTCTCTTTTTACACATTGCTTCATCAACATCTATTTGCTCTGATTTCTCTATTGGCTCTCTCTCATGCTTTTTCTCATCAGCTCAATAGCACTCTCATTTAAAAACGGTTATTAGCTTTGCCTTTGGGGGTTAAGGGTAGAGCCTGCAAAGATGGCAAATGGTGTCCAATTTGACTGCCACAGGGTGAGCTTAAAGTCTTGAAGGCCAATCAGAAAGCAACAAGAGCAAAGCAAAAAGCTAAAAGCGGATGACGGACAGCGCCCAGTGACTAAAAAACCCAGCCCATCCTATATGAACAGGAGCAAACTCCGATGAATGAGATTGTGGTTATGATTAGAAAGTGTTAACGCAGTTACGTGTCGCTGAGGGAACAGTCCAAGCCCAAGAAAAAACACAAACCATTAGTAAAAGACAAGCCATTAGTACTTCTGTCCAGGCAACGCAAAATCATTTTTCAAGCTTACCACTTCAGCCTATTAGAACCCCACCAGAGGATCCCGTAACAATTCCAGTCCACAACAGGTGATCATAAATAAACAAACAAATATAGAAACAAATAAACAACCAAACCCTGCATGTTCCGAAAGAGAAGCTGGATTAGAAACCACAAACTCTACTGTAAAAAGATGTTATATGGAATTTCATGAAATAGTACCCAACAGAAGCGCATACGCATACACGCACACACGCACACACACACACACACACTCCTCGGCTACATCTCAGAGTCCTCTCACCACCACATGCCCGGGCCGGGCCAAATCCTTCTTCTCCTCAGTTTTTTTGGATGTATGCTCCGGCCACTGCGGGGAACTCTCAGATTTAGAAGAGGCTGCAGGAAGAGATACGAGAGTGAGAATTGGACACGTACTGCCACCGAGCTGGCATCACTTCCAATGTGCAGGAGTTTGCGTTAAGTACAGGTGCATTAGGAGCTCTTCCTTTGTTGCCTTTTTACAGACTCCAAAAAAATTCTCTGAACTTTACAAACAAATTAGTCTCTAAACTAAACAAATTCCAAAAGTTGAAATCCAAACCTCCTGCCAGAGTTTGGTTATTACTTTTACATATGAAGTCTGCTAGCAGCTCCAGTAGTTATCAAAGTCTGCTTTAATGCAAGCCTTTTAGTCTTGGGTGGAGAAACCTGGGAGATAGCACAGGGCTCTGACACGCCAGCAATCACAATCTGCGCTGCCAGTTTCATGACAATTGTGAAATCTGTACAGCATTGAGAAAAAACTACATCCTGAGAAAAACTACATCCTGAATGCCTCATATTTGAATACCAATAACCAAATCTTGCTAATTTAACAGCTGTTCATAGTATTTTATTGACAAGAAATTACAATAAACAGATAATTACAGCTTATTATTTAATAACACTTCCATATTTTTTGGACTATGTCCTAACTTCATATTCATTCTAAAATACTTTGAACTGCGAATAAAGCATTGGTTTAAGTTTTGGTCTCTAGTTTGTAATATTTCAATGTACACTGTATTATTAGTTATCACTGAATAAGTGTTGTTAATATGACAAGGGATTCTAAACTTTTGATACACAGACACACATCCCCACCCAGAACTTTCAAACAAGTCCTGTTCTTCATTAGGTTTGACCATAAAATAAAAATAAATAAAAATAAAAGCACAGCTCTTAAAACGAATATTGCATTTGTGGTACATCTGAAGCCTACTGGAGGATGTTCTACACCATGTCTTATTGTTGTAGCACACATAATTTAAAAATGTCATTAGGGCATTTAGATTGGACAATAAAGCCTGTTAGTTTTACCAATTGGATTAGGCTTCAGCTAGGCTAGGTTTTCATACAAGCATGAGTGTGTACTTATTACCACGTCTGTCTAACTCTGTTGTGTATCTCGTGTGTTGGTGTACTCACTGCGTGGTCTGAATCTCTCTCCTGATCCACTGTTGGAGTTGCTGGAGGTGGAACTAGACCCTGATGAGCTGCTGCTACTGCTGGGCCGAGGGCCCATCCTCTCTACACGTTCCCATAGCAATCGTGGTTCAGCGTTACTATGGAGACATGTATGACTGTATGATAACCAAACTAACGCACAGACTACACAATGTAAGCAGCCTGTTTTTGTATAGAGCTCGCACACACACCCACATACACCCACACACACCCACCCACGTACCTTCCAGAATTCCTCTGAGCCTGCAGCACGCTGCCTTGGTGGGGGGATTCTCGGCGAGAGAGTATGGGTGACCTAGAGGTTGTTCTTACCGGAACCTTCCAGAGAGACAGGCAGGGATACTCATACATACTGATACATATCTGTGGCTGGACAATGATGTGGCAAATATGCATCAGGTTTGACCAAAAGCAGCCCTCAAAGTTGAGCAGAACACCAGCCTACACAGCCAACTCACTCACTCATTTCCAGAACCCCTCTGTGTGCACACTTTTATGCTGGCTTCATGTGCTATCATAACGACTGCAAATAGGAGTCCTCGCCCTAAAAGCTGCATATGAACATCCACTTCGAATTGTAATTACAAGCGGGAGCTAGGCCTGTGCGATGTAACTAGATATCGTAGATGACTGACAAGTAACCCAAGTTATGATGCTTAAAATTTTTGTTTTGTTTAGTTATACAGAACGAAAGAGGACTAATTTACATTTAAATAAAATCTACAGCTTGACTCCAGAGGGATTGCACTAAAAACAATAGAAAACTCCATGTTTTTTTATATGTAAAACATGTGTTGCTTTGGAAATCACTTGCAGTATGAAGTTTCTCGTGTGAGCCCATGAACGCATGTTTGCAGTGACACATCTAAACTGATGAGTGATCTTTAATAAACTTATTTATTACAGACTTCATTAAAAATAGCAAATGTTTAAATAACATATAAACTAAAATTATATTTTTTTAACTCATAAGTATCTCGCTCATTATTTTTTATTGCCCAGGCCTAGTGCTTAGTTATGACTTCCTACTGACGTTTACGTTTTACAATGTCAGAAGAAAGGGCAGTGCCAGTGGCCGAAGGAAGGTAATTATTTTTTTAAACGCAACTCAGTTTTAGTACTCACTGATTAGGCCATAGACATTTGCTTGATTTAAAAAAAATCTTCATAATTAAATCATTATTACGTAAACAAAGTTATTTATATGTAAACTGCTGCAAAATGGGATTAAAAATGGATGTTGCATTTATACTCTTGCTCAGTATACATTTTTTAATGGTGGAAAATGCTGTTATATGAAAAATAGATCATCTAGCTTAGCAACCTTAGTGGCTTGTTTAGCAAAGGCTAGAAAGTGATGCAACCAGTTACTGTTTCTGACTACAAAGCACTGACCTTTCACTTACAACTTCTCAAGCTGAGAAACAGGACCATCTGATGAGCACATGAAGGAAGCAGGAAAATGATTCTCCAGCTAAAGCACTCATGCTCTGACTACATGGTTCACATCAGAACACCTGCCCACAGCAGACGAACGTATCTGCCAATTTAGAGCTCAAGGGCCTGTGCTTTACAGAGGGGGTTCCTCTTCGCATGAGTGGGCCAGAAGTTCGGGGGACCGATGGGATTGCTGGTGGGGTAGCGGTGTAGCAGGATCGCTGAAAGAGTGTGAGCGAGAGATGGAGTGAGGAGCGACCGAGCTGCTTTTGAGAGCAGCCAGCTGGGACCACTGCACCTTTCCACAGGTGGAGCAGCACAAAGCAATGGAGGAGGGAGAAGATGCAAAACAAAAAAGTGGGTGTTGTTGGGAAGAGGTGAAAAATAAAAAAGTGTTCAAAAATCACACACTTGCCTCAACCCAAACTAAGCTGTTATAGGGGAATTCCACCAGTTAAAAAAATCTTCATAATTAAATCATTATTATGTAAACAAAGTCATTCAAAGTAGTTTGATGTGAATTGCTCAATTTACAGTGGTGGTGATGGGAACCAGACGTCTGAAGAATTTAACGCCGCTAAAGCCTTGCTCAAAGTTATTCTGTGATGGTTATGAATACGCTGCTTGATGTCTGAGACATTGTTTTACAGTAGATATTGAAAAGAAAATGTTTTTAAAATGCATTCATGGTGGAGGGATACATGCAGGGCATTATGGAGCAAAACAGTCCCCAAAGAAAACTTCTGTTGTTTGGATTTTCCACTATTTTACCATCATCATTCCATATAAAAACTCAGAAGATACATGTAGATTCATGTAAGACACATGTAGAGTAGTGGTTTTAGATAGTCAATAAATGACTATACTTGGGTTGTACACAAGGCAAACTCCTAGCTCCTATCACCACCACTGTAAAGAGTCTCTAAAATGAACCATTTCAACCAAACCAGTCAGAATGATTCTGTTTACATCTCAAACACTGAATTATGCAGAAATTATTAAAAATTGGCAGAACTCCCCTTTAATGTCAGGATCACACTACACATGGTCACTATGTCAGATTAGGCCGATGTCGGGGAGGTGGGTCAAGAAACTGTCAACAGCGTTATGTTTGATGCTGGTGGTTTTGTCTTCTGAAGAGAAAAAGAAAAAAAAAACAAAAAACGATTGCAGACCCGTTCTTGGGCGTCATGAAGATGACAGTATGTGCTGTCAATCCTTTAAAGAAAACTTGAGGTAACAAATGTGTTAACATATTAAGAACATTATTATGCTAGCCTTTTTGTCAGGGTGTCATGGGGTGTCTTCGACTGTGTCAGACTACAAGACCCGTTCATCGTTCCCGACGCTGATATTCAGGCCCAACACAGGAATTTTGTGGGCTGTGACAAAATCGTGTCAGAATCAGGTTGAATTTGTAGTGTCTGATCCTGGCATAAGTATTTTCAATTAGACTTGCTTATGTAGTTTCTATTACTGTATCTATGAAAATGGACACAAATATAGGCAATACCAGGTTTCAAGATGGTTGCTACTACTGTTTGCAGCATAGCAATATACTTTTGTCATTGTAGCTCCAAGGCAATCTAGCAATAGTACAGATGTAAATCAGCTCTTTTGTACTGTATTGCACATTTCTACAACTATGCATTTGATAGCTTGATGACTACTACTTATACATTAACGTACATCCACTGTAGAAAGAAAGCATTTCAATATCAATGTTAGATGTAACATTACGTTTTTTTGGTGTTTTTTTTTACGATGTTGGTTGTGATATAATAATAGACCAGATATCTTTTCAATATACTAACCGTTGTAATATGCAAAAAACATGCAAACAAAGGGAGGTCAAAATGGAGAGAAGATAAAGCGAATGATGCAGCCAGGAGAAAGTTGACTGATGGGGGGGCGGAGTTGTAGTGGGAAATATATGCTTTGCTTCTTAGTCAAAGACACAGCATCCCTATTTAACAGCCCAAACACCACACTGTTTCCCCATGACGCGACTAACCATATATGACTACAGCCTTTTTTCTATACACTAGTGCTTTAGAAAACAGAGTACACATGGCAGATGAAGGTAAAACCATCTACCACAGAGTGGTCAGTCAACTCTGAATCTACGCAGTAGATGGAGCAAAAGTGCAAATGACAAGAGCGAAGAATCAAGATCGTTTGTAACAGAGTGACTATTCGCTGAAAGGAGACGGAAAGAGAGAACAAGCAAAGAGAGAGAGCTTAATGACCGCTACAGCAAACTACCAGAGGGAGCACAGACTTTTTTAGTCACCCTAGATTGACAACACACATTTAGCATCTGACAGAAGCTCTAGAAGTTACATAGCTTCTCTAAAAGCAAGATGGTACCAAAGCAAAGGAAGAAAAGTAAGCAGAAAGTACGCTATATTACAAATGACTTTGAAAATCCCTTAGACCAGCAAGAAACAAAAGGGATGCTTGGTCAGAAACAGCTAGAAGGAAGGAACAGAGTGAGAGAGAGAAAGAGGTCAGAAAAGAAGTGCATGTTTGTGTCTTCACACCTTTAGCAAGGGCCACTATCAGCTTAAATTGGCCAATAATCAACTTCCAAATTCAGAAGCGATGGCCAAAATATTGCTTGGCCATCCGTCAGTACTTCAGATGCAGTTTCAAGGTAGGTAAATTTAGTTTATTAGGCACTGTTGGGAAATTTAGTAATTCACAGAATTTACCCCAAAACAACCCTTACACAGAACAGAATTGAGGAGCCTGCAGTCTGCAATGGGCAGAAATGAAGGCTAGTATTGGAAAGATATACAGAAAAAAATGAACTTGCCTTTTACATTAGTTATTGATTTGACTGCATAATTTTTCATCCATGTGGTCTTTTTTCTTCTCTCTGTGCACAGAACTTGTGTTGACAAGTTGTGTTCAAGTTAGCCACTATGACTTGTTGATCAATACAATGGTTTGAACGGAGAATTGTTATGGCAAGCTTGGCGGCTTTGGCAACAAAACCAGGTCAATTTTGATTCGACACACCAATCTGCTCAGGGTCCAGAGTTTACCCATTTATTGGCACTGCTGATTGGTCCGGCATGTTAGGGCACCTTACGTGACATTATCACGGTTACCTGTGGTTCCATGGGCCGATGCATTGCAGGCTGGGCCTGCTCGGAGGCGTTGCCATTGGAAAAGGGTTCAGCCCTTGGCGGCACGGCAGGGGGCTGCTTCTGAGACCCTGCAGCCTGTGGAGAACCCTGCACGTTCCTGCGGTGCCGCTCATCTGCCTGCAACCCCGGAACAGCAAAATAGTGTTAATCTTAAGTACAAAACATGCGAATTGTTACTCACTTAATCTACTCGCTTAAAAAGGAAGAAAAGTCACAAGGACAGGTCTAGCAAAGTTGAGTTAACCTGTAAAAAGAGTTTTGGCAGAGTTAAGTGTTTCAAGAACAAAATAGCTAGAGCCATTCTACAAAAAAAAAGCATGAGCATGAATCATAAACATCAAACGTTTGTTCGCTGACAAAAATAAAAAAAAGAGAAGGGAGGAGATCAGTGAGAGGAGAATAGTAAGAAAGTAAGCTGAGTGTGTTCTGCAGACGTACAAGAAAGTGCCCAAAGAAAAACAAAGCCAAGAAAGAGTGAAAAAGTACAACACAAAAAAACTGAACAGTATCTGAAACAGGAAGGACGCACTAAATGTGAAGAAAGCATAAGCAAACAAAGCATAATGAGAAATGCTTCAGCAGTTGATATTAACTGAGCTAAAGCATCATAGAAATGAGAAGAGGCTTCAAGCTGTGTGGTAAACACCTTTACTACCCTTACCCACTGCAAAAAAAAACAAACAAACAAAAAAAAAAAAACATATCTGGATAAAAAATATATAGAACATATAGAAATATCTTCTCTACATATATACAAAGCATGTTCACCTCACACTATCTTTGGCTCAACTACAAAACCACAGCAGTCAGAGAGAGTTAAAAGCACAAAATCTTCAGATTTATTAGTGTGGGTGAGCAAGCATAAAGCGTAAGTGGCGGTTATGCCCTTCTACATGAAGAAGCAGTGTTATCAGTCCGAGCAGAAAGAGTGATTAGCAAATCGACTTACAACAAGGGATTAAGGGGTGTCCATCCCCAGTCCTGCAGAGCTTTAGTTCAGCAGTTTGGTGATTTCCCTGCTCAAACACACCTGATTCCATTCAGCAGTTTTACTGTGTTCAGAAGATTATCATCAACCCAAAATTATAAAGCAGTCAGGTCACCAAATATTAACTACTATCTGTTTGTGAATTTCAAACGTGAAGAACTGACATATTACTTGTGATAGACCAATGGCATTCCTTGCTACAAAAATGTATATCATCAGTTTCCAAAAAAACACCTCCAAACTTTACAGGAGAGGGCAAAATTGTTCTTTTCTTTAAAGGTATGTTCATGTAAAAAGTGGTTTTGGAGGATTTCTGTAGGTCCATCCACCATGAAATGTTTACACAGCTCCTGAGTAAAATGGTGTAGACAAATCATGTTTTGAATAGTGATGATATTTTTTGTTTACTGCTTACTGTTAGGACCTGCCTATTCACTACAGGTAGGCTTAATTTTATTATGCTCATACGTATGATACAGCGTCATTGATATATTTACCATTATCTCAGTACACTGTTGTATCAAAGAACGGCTGGTGATATGTCACCTACTTAATGGTGCATTTGGACAGTCCTAATGAACTCATACAGCTAGAAAAACTCATCAAACTGTATAATAGTTGTTTGTCTTAAGTGGTAATGGACAACTAGTATATTTTTGTCACATGCACACACATATACCTGCGGGAAGAACTAATGCCAGCTTAATCTACTGTGTTCATAAGGTATTAAAGAGGACCTATTATGCTTTTCCAATTGTTCCCTTTCTTCTAGGGTATTATAGAGCTTTCTGTGCATATAAACAATTTGCAAAGTTACAAAGTCCAAAGTACAAGTAAAAGGGAGAGAGCTGCCTGAAACACCTTGTTGGAATTCCAGCCCTTTTCTTTCGTTACAAGATGCAATCTTGTAACACAATCCTTACTGCCCACCTAACTGAAAGCTTGGCATGCCCTCACACAACGCACAGCATCTACTGGAGGCCGGGAAGCCATATCGAAAAGATGCTGACCTGACATTAAGGATCGGACTCTGGCTCAAACTGATACGGCAGAACTGACCCACAACGGTGTTTACAGCTGCTCAAGAGAGAAGGGTCTGTCTGCAGACTGCAAGACAGGGGTGGAATGTTTAGGGGCAGAAATGACCAATCAGAATAGAGTGAGCTGACCAATTAGAGAACACTGGACATTGGTAAGAGGTGGGCATAAAGACATGGGAGCTCTAACAGAGCATTTCAGACAGAAGGTGAACAGAAAAAAAATTGTTTTTGGAGCAATGAAGAATGCAAATGGATTCTAGTAGACCCCAAAAATAAAATTAGGTCCTCTTAAAGAACATACTGACAATATAGGACTTGCCCAAGTTTGCCACTTGTATTTCAGGCAAATAGTATGTACATTTACATGTTTACAACGACCATCCAAGCGCACCATTAGTTACCATGATTAGTAAACATGCTTGAACAGGAAAATCACCAAACAGTTCTGGACTAGAACTGGACAACACTGGGTTAAGGCTTCACCTCTCGGACTGGCTCAAAGTCGGGGGCAGAGCCCTGAGATTCTGTTGGAAGCACTCGAATGGTTTGACCCTCGTCCTGGGTGGGCTGCTGAGGCTGGGAGTTGAGGCTCCTGTGTGTTTGGTTATGCTGCAAGCCGGATCCACGACTTGCTTCCGATGGGAGCTCCTTGTCTGACTGGGCGGCCTGCTGAGGTTGCAGGATCCTGTTTTTTTCTTGCAAGCTCTGCTGCAGCTGAGGAATCCTGCTTCGATCCTGTGAGGACTGGAGAGGTAATGGGGGAGTTTTGGTCCTGTCTACCGCACAGTGCTGTAACTGCGGAATTCTAGACCTGTCTTGGGGTACTGAATGATGGGGTTGTTGGTTTTTGTTCTTGTCTTGATGCTTTGGTGGACTTTTTTTGCACTTTTGAGCCAAAGGCTGCTGTTGCTGCTGGGGAAATTTGCTCCTCTGAGCTGAAGATGGGGTCTGCTGGGGATTTCTAGTCATATCTGCTTGTTGTGGTTGAGGCTGCTGTTGGGGATTTCTGGGTTGTTGGAGAGAAAGCAGGTAGGACTGCTCCTGCTGTAACTGTCTTTGTAGTCTCTCGGCCTGCCTCTGCTCCTCCAGCTCTCTCCACTTAAACTCCTGACATACATATAGAGTGCATAAAATCCAAGTAAATTACACTGCCCATCAAAGGTTTGGAGACTGCTTTCTTTTAAACGGTTATGTGTCAAGTTAGCCTTTAAGAACCTGAGCCTAAAAGTGGCTGGCTGGGCATATCTTTATATTTTTGACATATTCATTTGTCATTTTCAGTAATATCAGTTATTAATATAAATTTTCAAAATATTTCAAAAAATAATATGCAAAAGCATAAATAGATTTTTTTTCCACATTTTTACTAAATAAACAACAACAAAACAAAACAGAACATGGCAATTTAAATAAATTATTGGAACAATCAACCACTAACAACTCACTGGAATCCTCTGCCTGTGTATACAGGTCTGTGATAATTTTTCTCAGCACTGTCAGTGGCAGTTTTTAGTTTATGCTCTTACTGGTAATACATACGGTTATCTAGCTGTATAGAGCCACAGCACTCCTAACATCTCAGTCCTCTTCACTGCTGCCATCAAAAAGCATCTCTAACATTCTTTGAAGAAAATCTTGTTTTTTCATAAAATCTGATTTTCCAAAGTCAACTGCTAGTGTGCTGTCACATTTTGTCAAAAAGAAAAAGTACTTGCAAAGGATTTGTTAACAACTATTTGCAAACAAGTTCATTAAGTGTTCATCAAAGTGTTTCTCAGTGATAATAATAAGTCTTACCAAAATAATGCTTCCAAAATACTGTTAAAAGTACATGTCACTCTTCTTCAAAAAGGTGGTTTAAACATGCTGATTCATTGAAAATCTTTTGACAAACTAACAACAGTGTGTGTGCTATTATAGCTTTTGACATGGGGTACAGTTTTTGATAATCTGCTAACCATTCTGCTAGTTTACACAATAAAGAACTTAATAAAAGATGCTAATAAAGCATCAAAATCCTTCTGTCAGCAAAACAATGGGGAAAAAAAACAACAGACATGCAAAACAAGGATGATTCCCTGCATGATCAAGGAGTAGAACAAAAACAGACAATGAATGAGCAGTGAATGAAGTAGCTCCACAATCCAAATTAGCAAAAAGGACTTTCACGACAATATTCAGCAACCTACAAAAAACATTGATAAACACAGTTTTATAATTGCACACTTTTGACTAACACTACCGTTAGCTAATGCTACCTTCTCGAACTTTTCTAAAAATAGCAATGAACACATCAAGGTATCAGTTTACAGGGTGATGTGCTTAGTGATCATTTAATTGTGCTTGGTAATGATTGTAAACAACTGTTTTTGTACATGTGGAAGAGTTACAAACTAGCTAAATTGTGCTTCTGTAAGCCTAATGGCTCCTATTTATATTTTAGCCTTGCTTCTTTTCAACAGTTTAGACTGTCATGCTGGTAGGCTTTCACGGGCTAATGATGGTATGGGCAATACAGAAAACATAACATCACAATACCTGAGGATGTTTTAACAATACACATTATATTTTAAAATATTTTCTTTGTTTTAAATTTATAAGGAAGGAACAGACAAAATGCAACCGCAAAATGGCTATGAAAGCATTTTTCTTACTTGCAACATTTGAAAAAATTAAGTAATTTAGGAGGAAACAGAAAGAGAGATCAAACGATTGATGAAAGAAAATAAATTAATAGAATAATGGACCAACATCCAGTAACTACTTGTTACTATGCAGTTTGGTCATTGTTGCAGGCTCTCTTTAATTGATCTAAATTTATCATTTTTATGATGTTTGCAGTTGTTGAGCGTGTTAGACATACTCCATAATAATCTCTTATTGTAAATTGTCTTGATAATGATATATTACCCACCACTAGCCAGTCTTCAGCTTATGTTATAGAAAAGGTGAGGGACAGAGCTAAGTATATGCAGAGAGTAAAAAAAATGTAATGCTTACCAGCAGCATGGCTTGCTCATGCAAAAGTTGCTGCTGTAGTATTTCTAGGTGCCTTTGCTCCTCCTCCAGCTGGCGACGGATGTACTCCTGTCAAAAACCATAAAAGCAAGGTGAGCAATGCCTACATTCACTCTACAGAGAAGCAAAACAATGAGCTTGTTCTACTCACACATCTTTCTGACAGAATGTTTATATAAACATTCACACATTATTGGAAACCTTATCTGCATCCATCAGGGTTCATACACTTACACATGAAAATGCGTAATATGTTGATAACTTTAAATTAATCGCAGCTTGCAAAGACCAACAGAGAAGTATATGCCATCATTGTAAGGCTAAAAAAGGCTATTAGGGGATGGTAACATTTAAATTAATTTAATGAATACAGCCTTAGGCCACTATCAAAGTTTGTGAGTTTACATCATGAAATAAAAAAGAAACCTATAATAATATTTTCAATGATTTTCAGTATATCTCAAAGACAATTTAGTACTGGATTTTGGCACATTTATTATTGAGCAAAGCAAAAAAAAATAAACAAATAAATAAAAATAAAAACCAGGCCTGGAGGGGAAGCCCTCTAAGGACACCGTAGCATCTCACACCCCTGCACAGCTGATCATGTCCTTATAAAATATGTGTACATATGTATATATATATGCATACACACACACACACACACACTCAAATATATAAACAAGGCCCAAGCATGCATGTATATATATATACATACACATTTTATACACATATATATACACACATATATATATACACATATACATATATATATATATATATATATATATATATATATATATATATATATATATACACACACACATTTTATACATATACATATATATATACATATATATATATATATATATATATATTCTTAAATGCAGATCCACAAAGATGACAGAGATGAAAAGAAGAGGAAGGGGGGGAAAAAAAACAAAAACAAACAAAAAAAAACGCTTGTTCACAAGATAGGTGTTCTGTTAATAGACTGGTCCACTGTGTTATAGAAATATTTTTTTTGTCTTTACAATTTAGCAGTATTGTTTTGCTATAACTGCTATAAGTAATGGAACTGTATGTTTGACTGATGATTCTACCTCAGAGAGGTCTCCTGGGGGGCATAGGGAGGGTGACATTGGAAAGCTGCTCCCCAAATATGAAGATAATTTTGAGGTTATATTTTCCCAAAATCGGTGGACTGGTGTGCAAATCCAGACTGCGTGAAAACACTCATCAGTTTTGGTAGTTATATATTGTGTACATACGCTTGAATTGCTGAGTCCCATTTTAAACAATTTGTATTGCGTAATGTGGGTCCTATGGATGATTTTATATTGAATTAATTGTATGTGTTCTTACTGATAATGAAGATAGTTTTACAGATTTGTGTCTAGAATTGTGAATTAGTGCTAATATCTAAATCCTTTTCCCAATTATTAGTTGGTATTGATGTGGTTGAATTTAAAGTATCTATGAGAGCATATAACTTTGATAAAACTTTCTTAGGGCTGATGATTTGGTTTGTATTTTCAGTAATGGGGGATGGATTGAGATTGTTGTGAAACGTATTCATTTTGGTTTTAAGTATACCTTTTAATTGATAATATTTTAAATATATATTTCAAATGTTTCTGTTAATTCTTGTAAGCTTTTAAATGTGTTATTCATAAAGAGGTGTTGTAAATGTGTTATGCCTTTTTTTTTTCAATTCTTGCATTTAAGGGGTCGTTTGTTAACTGTAAAGTCTGGATTGTGCCATATGGGTGTGTATATGTTAGTTGTAATTTCAATTTTTTTTTATTTATTACTCTTCCATCAGGCTTTTAATGTCTTTGAGATTGTCATGCTTTTAGAACATTCATGATATTTTATGGATTTGCTAAGAAAAGGTAAATCTGCAATGGATATTTCTTTGCAGTATGACGGTTCTACATCAAGCCAGGGGTTACAGTAATCATCTCTTTGTCTCCATTTTACTAAATAGTAAAGTTGATTTGCTAAATAATAAAACTGAAAATTATTTTTGTCGTTTTGTAAAGTTGTGAATGTAATCCTAGTTTCTCCAGTAGAATTTTGATGTTAACATGTCTAAATTGTGGATCCATTTTTAGTTGGTTCAGTTGGCAACATTGCAAATATATAGTTGACTTTTGGTAAAACTGTCATTTTAATTGTTGTGATACGGCCTATAAGACAAATTAGTAAATTCATCCAGCGATTTAGGTCATCTTCTATTGTTTTTAATAGTGGTGTAAAATTAAGGTGGAACAACTCTGAAAACTTGGTGGTTACTTTTATACCTAGATATATAACACTTCCTGTGGTGATTTGTAAAGCGTAGTTTTGGAGTGCAGCATTCCAGTTCCAGTCACCTATTGGTAACGCTGTCAATCTCTAGTTAAATTCTAGTTCTAGTTAACAGAGTAATCTGATATATGTTTCCTTTATTGATAAAGTGGGATCTTGGAGAAACAGTAGCACATCATCTGCATAGAGGCTTATTTTATGAACAATACTGTGGGTTGAAATGCCTGTGATTTTATCATTCTGACATATTGCTGCAGATAGTGGTTCTATGAAGATTTTGAATAACAGTGGTGAGAGTGGACATCCTTGTCAGGTACTATGAGAAAGTGTAAAGCTTGATGAGGTGATGTCATTAGTTATAACGGAGGCCATGGGTGATGAATGGGTGATGTAATATTTGAGTCTAGTGTATAAATGATATACCAAAGCCATTTTCCTATTACTTTTCTTTGTAAAGTTAATAAGGTTGATGAGACAACATGCGTTATGTGATGATTGTCTCCCTTTTATAAAGCCTGTTTGATCTGGATGGATGAGATTGGATGTAACTTTTCCCAGTTTTGTCTGTGTTAATTAGTGATATTGGACGGTAGTTTGAGCATAATGTTGAATCTTTATTTGATTTGAGTAATACTGAAATTAGTGCCATATTCATTTGGGATGGAATAGAGGAAGATCTTTTTATTTCATTGACCATCTTTACAAACGGGGGAGACATTTGGCCAGAAATGTTTATAGAATTCAGCAAGAAATCCATCCATACCTGGTGATTTATTGTTTGGCATTAATTGAACTGCTTTCCTAAATTCTTCCTTGGTTAAAGGTGCTTCTCAAGAGTGTCTTTGGTCATTATTCAACCTAGGAAGGGTGATATCATCAAGAAAGGCATCAATATCAGATTGTTTTGTAACTGTATTTCTTGAGTATAAGGTCTTGTAGTAATTTTTAAAAGTTTCATTTATTACTTTTGCGTTTTTGGTATTGTTCCCTGATGAGTCTTGTATAGTGGTTCTTGTGTGTTTTTCTTTGTTTTGTTTTAGCTGGTTTGCAAAGAATTTTCCTGATTTGTCATTATGCTCAAAGTGGTTTTGTCTAAGGTGTGAGAGTAAAAATTGTGTTTTTGATCTATAAGAATATCTAGCTGAGCTTTAGTTTTGTTAATGTTTTTAAGAATTTTTTGAGGGGGATTTTCTGCATATGAACTCTGGAGTTGCTTTAAATGTTGTTCTAGGCTGCTTTGCTTTTCCTGATCCTTCTTTTTCTTATGTACTGAATATGACATGATTTTCCCTCTCATCGCTGCTTTTGATGTTTCCCATAATAATATGGGAAAAGTTTCTTGTAGATCATTGGTTTCCATAAAGGATGTCCACTCTCTTTTAAAGTAGATATTGAATTCTTTGTCTATGATGAGAGATGTATTATATCGCCATCTTGGCCTTGTTGCACTAAAGTCAAAAGTAATAGGGGCATGATCAGAGATTACTATCAGATGGATGAACAGTACATTGATTTTAAATAAAGCGACTTTGTAAAGGTAAGATAACAAATAATTACTGGTAGGACAGTTACAAAGACAAACACACAAACACAAGCACATAGAAACACACAGAAAAGCATCAGTGATATGTATACTATAGGAAAGAGAGAAAAAGATTGACTATTGGGTGATTAGTGATTCAGTGAGTCTCTATGTAGTTTCCCATCAAGATATAGTCTGTCTACTGAGACTGTCGCACGTATTCCTTTTTTCTATATTCTTTTCTAGTCTGAAACAGGACTTTTCTTCTTTCTTTGGGGAGTTGGTCACTAAGGCCAAATTTAGCGTCTTTAAGTTATCTTCGTCCACTTTTAACAAGTTCTTTTTGTTTATATCATTCAAATTTGGCGACGATAGGTCGTGGATATGTGTGAAGTTGACAACCAATGTGGTGAACACGGTGAAAGGAGATCTCATTGACTGTATTCTCCGGAATCTTTAATTGCTTACACATGAAGTTTTTAATATTTTTTTCTGGATCTTCTTCTGTTTTTTCGAGTATTCCTGAGAATATTAACAGTCTCAAACTGTACACCAGCACGGTGGAGCTACAGAGTACGGATTTCCTCATCAAGTGGCTGAGAGTTTGAGGCAAGTTTGTAATGATTATGATGCTATCTGCATTATGCTATTTGGTGGAGCAGAAGCTCTACTTAGCCTTGTAGCACCAGTGCAAAACTAAAGAAGCCAGCCTGACTGACTACATTTGGGCTTAGAATTAAACTGCATAATTTCTTTTTGCACTTTAAGTTTGCAAAAAAAAAATTTAATTCAGTAATCAAAACTGAACCCATAACATTTTGCCAATGACCATTCCAGCAACAGCTGTTTTCCTGTCCTGACTGGCTGTCTGGAGCGAAACATCCTCATACCTGCTCGCGGTCTGCTCTCCTCTTCTCCTCTTCAGCCCTTCTGCGCTCCTCCTCTTCTTTGCGCCTGCGCTCCATCTCTTCCAGGCGCCTCTTCTCCTCTTGCTCGCGCCTCCTCTGCTCTCTTTCCTGCTGCCTCCGCATCTCTCGCTCACGCCGTTGTTGCTGTGGACAGCCAGGAGAGGGCATGAGAGAGTAACACAGTGAGACAGTGAGAGCAGAGAAAAGAGAGGCTCCAGTGCAACTTTTTAGGCACAATAGAGATTAGTGAGTGTGTTGAAACATCAATGCTTTTTCTATATTACAATATGTAAAACGACCCAAAGAATGTTTGCTACTAGTCTATTCAAAATTTTGCAAGATATTTAACTCAGAAGGGCAGAGAATGGCCCATTATAGATCCACTTATATCTATTCAGTAACCTGTAACATGAGAATTAAGATGCACTAGGAATGACATTTTTGGCAAATTCTTTTGAGTGATAAATGACTGCAATTAGTCGATGCCAAGTCGTTAACTGAAAAGGTTAAGATCAAGGTACCAACCAATAAAATTATGAAAAATAAAACAGACAGTTCGGGTTCTGAAAGCTGATTGGCTGAGCCACATTTGAAGCCACTATAAAATACTTAATAAACGCATACACAAACTGAACTCTGTATTAATGCACAGAGATATTGAAAATGCTCCTTGTTTGGAGCGTGGAGTGCAGTACTGATGGTGGGGCCAGGATTCTGTGTTTGTATGAAGTAAATGGCCTGAAACCGTATTAAACATATCCTACATAAAAAACGGTACTGTTTAAACCGAGGGCTTGAACAGCATAATAATAATGTTAATTATTATATGACCAAAAACTTTAAAGAGCAGAATATGTAGTGATGGGCTACTGAAAATTTTGTAGTCTAACATAAAATTTACTACTCTTTACTAGCCCAAGCTAAAACAAACAGAAATGCCATGCCTGGGGCAGCTTTGGATCAGCTTCAGTGGCTCTCGAAAGTCATCGTCCACCACATTTTTCTGTATAACTCTGCCATGTGTGATTTACTCACACCGCAATGCATTACACTTTGTCTTGAATAATAATAATTTATATTGTTACGTTTTATTTATATAGGGCCTTTCCAAAGCTCAAGGCTGCTTTATACAGCATCAAAACAGGCTAACAAAGCAGCCAAGCATAAAACACAAGAATATCATAAGGAAAACAAAACAAAACGAGGATGTAAAGGAAAGCAAACAAAACATGAAAAGTTATAACAAAAAAACAGAGCAAAAAAACCAAAACAAAAAATATATATATTTTCACAGAAGACAATTAGGAAAAAAACAGTTCATCAAAGAATAAAATTATTAGGAAGTAAAACATGGATGGAATACTTCCTGTATTATCACAGATGTTTGCTTTTCATATGGTACGTCACTTCTCAAAATGGTAGCCCCCTGCACCACTTGTTTTAGCTGTGCTTCATTTTTTATGAGGCTTATCTAGCAGAACCTATTGCCCACTGCGCACTCAAGTGTACAGTTTATTATTATTACTATTAATTATTAGGGGTGGGAATCTCTAGGCACCTCAGGATTCGATTCAATTACGATTCAGAGGGCTGCGATGTGATTATAAAAACGATTATTAAAACGATTATTTTTTTCTATATAGCATTTATATTTTCTCACTGTGTGAGCTCAAGTTTCGAGTTCAAGTTTCAAGTTTATTTGTCATTTGCACAACATGTCAGGACATTTATGCATTGAAATGCTTGTGGTGAGGCTCAGGTAATCACTCATATATATATACAGAATGTAGAGACAATATACATTTTAAAGTTACTAAGTAACTCGGTCTTATTGTTATTTAAAGTGACTTAGTACTTTTAAAGCAAAGTATTTGTAATGATCCATAATGAATTTACTTCCAATATCTTTTATTAATAAATCAAATGGAAGTGATGTGGCAAGTGAACTAGAATGCTCTCATTCAGTGCTCTTGTTTGGAGCATGAGAAGCTGCTTAAAATGTGATAAAAATGCGCAGTTACGGTGAAATAAGATTCTGTGGCAGTGGATGTCCATGCAGCACGTTACAGCTATTCTACCCGTTTTTTTAGTGATTTTATAACTTTGGTTTTGGTCTCGTTGTAGAGACGGGGGGGATCACTGTGTCAGTAAAATATCTACGGGACGTGTGCAACATAGCGCGAAAGCCCTGTTTCGCAATGACTGAGAACCGGCGTGCAGACTGCAGGTCACATAGCAACGATGCGTTATTCGCATTTATAAGCACTGCAGTTGGTTTCCTGGTACGTAAATCTGCATAGGGATGCAGAGGGAGCCGGTCAGATTTCTCACTCATCCAGTTGTGTTTTTGTTATGTGCCGCCACAGACTGTCCGGGCGCTGCACTTCCGCACTTCCAAGTTCCGCCTTTTGCGTTCCGTCAACATTACGTTATAAATTAAATATTTAGAAAATCGATTTTTGACATTTGTGAGTCGATTCAGAATCATTCACATCCGCATCACGATGCATCTAAGAATCGATTTTTTCCCGCACCCCTATTAAATATTTTATTAAGTGACCCTTATTAGTTCCACAACGGGGAAATTTCACCTCCACAATCTAACCCATCCGCGCAGTGAAACACCACATACACACTAGTGAACACACACACTAGGGGACAGTGAGCACACCTGCCCGGAGCGGCGGGCAGCCCTATCAGCATTTTAAAAACGTTCCTCAACTTGCATGAAAATCCCTCCTATCTGAATAGCAACGGTTGGTCGATTGTAAAATAAATAACGATTGGAAAATAAATAAGCTGGTTAATCACTGTATTTCCATCCTAATCTTAATACTTTTCTATGTTTTTGTTTTTGCCACTCCTCTCTCACCTCCTCGAGCCTCCTCCTCTGTTCCTTCTGCTGCTCAATGCGCTTCTGCCGCTCGGCCAGCAGTTGGCGCTTGTACTCCTCCTGCTCACGGAGCTGCTGCTCTTGTAGGAGCTGCTGCCTCCGCAGCGCCTCGGAACGCTCCTTGTTCTCCTGCTGGAGGCGGATGAAGTCCCGCCGCAGGGTCGACTCGCCCGGCACATTGACAATAGAGCTGTGGTTAGGAGAGATATTGGCTTAGCTACAGTGGGTAAAACACAAGTTGTTAATGCTATAAAAAAAACATCTAATTTCCATTTGCCAGGCTTCTTACACAAGCTAGTTAAACAAATAGTTTTTAAATTAAAATTTACAAAATGTTCCCCTTACCTTAAAAATAGCTGATCAACCAAGTGAAGTTTGGTGTTTCAAGTTTGCTTCTTTAGTTTTACACTGGAGCTAAGAGGCGAATGTAGCTGGAGGGCAATATGACTATATTTTAACGCTATTGGGATAAATTTTGTGTCAATATGTTTTTCCGTGTATATTGTGGATATTATCACTACTTAAAAACATTGACAAACTGCATGTTTCCTTACAAAGTGAGCAGAAATAGGCCTGTTTAATTGGGTTTAGTGCAGTGCAGTTTGTAAAACACTGAATTGTAGTTTTGTAGGTTGTACAAATTATAATGATTATAATTCTTATTATTATAATATCTTTTGAAATATTTATAGTATGATATACTATATACTGATATACTGTTCTATTTTGTCTGATATACTGTTCTATTTTGTCTGTTCCTACTAATTAAGTATCATTACATAATATTTTTGCTTTATTCTGGGATGTCCTTTTTCATTTTAATAGGAACCATTTTTAACACCCAAAGTAAATTGCATATATTTTTATTGTGCAAAATAGTAAAAACAAAATTGAACACCTGGCAAAAACACTGCTAAATATTGTTTCATATCTGGATTTCTACAAGGCAGGCTTTTGGGAAGCCTTTTATTTGTTTGAATTTTTCATTCTACCTTAAATAGAGCACCTGAATGTAGCTGCCGCACCACTTAAAGCAATACTATGTAGGATTTGGGGATTTAGAGACCTCTCTGGTGGAAACTAAAATTGCTGAAAACATGTGGAAGAACATCTTGTAAAGTCGTTGTTCTTCGGACCGCCACAAGTGGATGAATCAGACTTTTGCGAGTGGATTGAAAGAAAATTCAAAGAGAACTCAATCAAAACTTGGTAAAGGACGTGTCTCCCGAAGATGTGAGTGAATTAACTACTATTGTCATCATATCTTCATCAGTATAATGTTGATTTTGAGATCATTTGAGAACTAAACAAACATCAAGCCGGACTTTCATTTGAGCCCATGCATGTGACAAAACAAAGACACAGACGTGGTCTGACAAACTCCTGCCAAATATGGCCCAGTACCTCTGCCTTTTAAATGATTGTTTCAGGCTTTACAGGGCAACTTCCAGCAGTGCATGCTCCCAGCGACACACTCAGTAATGCTACTTCTTTCAGTTTTGACAAAAAGCATTACATAGTGCTGCTTTAAGGAACAGTGGAAAACTTAAAAAAGAAGCCAAATTCAGGTTTTTCAGATTTCGCAAATCATTTGTCTTACACATACATTCTGTATATTCATGCCTCATGTACAAGTACACCGCCCAGCACTACTTAGAGCCTGAATTGTGTCCATACAGTAGTCCATAACAAAGTGTCATACATTGTCAGAAACCACATTATCAGATCTATCAGAGATGATGATTTAGGCATGTGCGTGTGTGTGTGTGTGTGTGTGTTTAGCTACCTTGGCTCTCCTTCCTGCTCAGGGGCTTCCTCCTCCTCTTCCTCACTACCACTGTATTCATACTCAGTCTCATCTGGAACAGCCAAAAATAAAAAATAAAATGAAACCATAATACACTCATATTCTGGCTACAAAGAGAAACAATTTTTACATATATAGATCATTTACCACTTACAGATAGGACATGACCCGTCATTTACCCATCCAATTTTTGGAGCTACATAGGGTTTTTGAACCTTGAGAAGCTTTCAGACTGACATCTGTTTAGGTTTAGAATTTCAGAAAATAAATTTGTATGGTAAATTAAATAGACTCCAACAGTTTACTGAGTTATATGACTGTCACCCTGTCAAATTTCTAAGCAGCCTTCAATGATACACACTATATGTACAAAACTATTGGGACACACCTCTTAGTCTTTACACGTAGTCTGCCTTTAGAAGCATTTGTGAAAGAACGGGTTGTTCTAAAGAGCTCACTGAATTTGAGCGTGGTACTGTAATAGGAAAAATCGATTCTTTGACGCATCATGATGCAGACGCGAATGATTCTGAATCGATTTACAAATGTCAAAAATCGATTTTCTAAATTTTAATTTATAAAACAATCTTGACAGAACGCAGAAGGCGGAATTTGGAAGTGTGGAAATGCAGCACCCGGACAGTCTGTGGCGTGCACATAACAAAAACACAACTCTGACTGGCACCCTTCGCATTAAAAGCTAGGTTAGGTCAGGAGTCAACAACCCATGTGTTAAGAAGAGCCATTTTGTCCTTTCAACAAAAATCAAACCACCTTGGGAGCGACAACATTTTATGTCCAATATGTCTCAGTATGTGCTAAAGTCCTAGTATAGGCTAAAAAATATAAACGAAAACACAGACTTACTTTGCTCTTCTTTAAGCTTTAGCTATAGCCGCTTTCCTCCCATTTCCGCTTCTTATTCGCCAGCGTCTTGTTCGAATTTTACCGTTCCACCTTAAATTCAGATCGAGGCACTTCATGTAAATGCGGCACCATTTAAAGTGGAACGGGAAAATTCGAAAGAGGAGCTGACTTCATCTTCGCAACTTTTTAGTGTTTGACAGTCTCTCGTGGCAGATTTAACACACCAGGAAACCCACTGCAGCGCTTATAAATGCGAGTAAGTCCATTCATCTCCACATTTTCGTCTTAAATCTATCTCTTTGCCTTTTCGTTAGCTACGCAAGGCTGTGTTGCTATGTGACCTGCAGTCTGCAGGCCAGTTCTTAGTTGTTGAGAACCAGGGCTTTCGTGCTATGTTGCACGTCCCATCTCGAAGATATTTTACTGACACAGCAATCCCCACTCTCTACAACGAGACCAAAACCGAAGTTATAAAATTACTAAAGAAAACGGGTAGGACAGCTGTAACGTGCCGTGTGGACATCCATTGCCGCTGGATGTAACAGCGCATTTTATCACAGATGAGTGGCAGCCAGTGTCTCATGTGCTCCAAACAAGCAGTGAATGAGAGCCTTCTAGTTCACTTGCTACATCACTTCCTTTTGTTTTATTAATAAAAGATATTCATTACAAATACTTTGCTTTAAAAGCACCAAGTCCCCACACAGTAAGCTCTAGAGCAGTAGAAACATATTCTGTGAAGTGATAAATCACGCTTCTCTATCTGGCAGTCTGATGGATGTCTGGGTTTGGCAAATGCCAGGAGAACATCGCCTGACTTCACTATGCCAACTGTAAAGTTTGGTGGAGGAGCGATAATGCTATGGGGTTGATTTTTAAGGGGTTGCCCTAGGCCCCTTAGTTCCAGTGAAGGGAAATCTTAATGCTTCAGCATACCAAGACATTTTGGACAACTGTATGCTTCCAACTTTGTGGGATTAGGTTTGGGGAAGGCCCTTTTCTGTTCCAGCATTACAGTGTGAAAATAAGCTGCTTACAAATACCAGTAGGTAATCAATACCACTGTTACCAATACTAAAAAATCTGTATAAGCTTAAAAATGGCCACACATCAGTCTGGAAGAACATGCAGACCTTTCTCTCCTCTCTTCTTGCGAGTACGGTCGATGTGGTCTTTGAGCTGGATGCGCACTTGTCTCTCGTTGGGCTGGTCCCGGATGAAGGGGTGCTTCAGCAGCTGGTCTGTAGGAGGCCTCTGTGTGTAGTTCTTTACCAGGCAGCCTTCAATAAAGCTAAAAAATTTCTTGGACCTGAAAGACAAAGAGAAGGAGAGAGGTCAAAAGTGATAGAAAGAAAGTAAGAAAGAAAAAGAAAGTTAAAAAGAACATAAAGAACGAGAAAGAAAAGTAGCAATCAAACAAAGTAAGAAAGAAGCAAAGAAAAAAACAAAAGAAGCACAGAAAGAAAGAAAAAGGAATAAAATAAAATCAAGAAAGAAGTAAAGAAAGAAAAGGAAACAAGGAAAGAAAAGTAAGTAAGAAAGAAAGAAAGAAAAAAAGAAAGAAAAAGACAAATAAACAAAGATAAACACAGTTATAAAAAGGGAAATTTCTTATGCTCTTTAACCTGATCTGTGCAGTAACTCTTTACTGCAGGTCAGTGTTAATGAAGCTACATGACACTCATGAAGTGTTCATGAAGCTACAAGCTCTTCCTAACAACTGACATAAACCTACACAAATATTTATAAATGGTTATTTCAGTATTCCAACAGGAATGTGTAATTTGTCAAAGACGGCATTTGCCAACAATCAAGTGACACTGACTTTTTCTTTTTTTCTTAATTAGGTTGTCATGACACTTTGGGGGCTAAAATGACAGACTTCATCACTATTATGTCTCTGTGAGATAATGCTTATGAAGTCTAAAACATCAACGTCATCTGATATTGACAAGTTGGCAAATGCAATCTTAATGACAAATCCCTACTGGAATACTGAAATAAACAGTTCTGGCCACCATTATTGGCACCATTTTCTTGTTACATAAAAATTAGAATATCTTCATAAATAAATGAAAATATACCAACTTTTTATCATTAGAATATTTTAATAGATGTCTTATGTTATTAAACAAAAAAGTATCTTTTCAACGTGTAGGAAGGGATTTTAAAGAAAATAAACAAAATATTACATGGACAGTATTAATGGCACCCTTTCCTAACATTTTGTTGCACACCCTGCTCCAGCCTGATGGAAGTTTTTCCCACTCCTCCACTGCAAATTTTCAAGCTCTTGAATGTTTGCAAAGTTTCTTTTCCCTATGGCAGATTTCAGGTCTCCAAAGATGTTCAATGGGGTTGAGATCAGGACTCATTGCTGGCGAATTTAAAACAGTCCACTTCTTCCTTTGCAACCACTCTGTTGTGCTCTATGGTTCTTTATCATGCTGGAGGACCCATGATATTTGACCCAAATCTAGCTTTCGTATACTAGGTAGCATTTCACATCTCGCTCTGAAATACACTGGTAATCTTCTGATTTTATTATTCTTTCAATTCAGTTAAGGCAGCAAAGGAGCAACATTATGGATCCATCACCATGTCTGTCTGTAGGTAGGGTGTTCTTTTGCTTATAAACTTCAATTCATCTTCTATAAACAAATGGCTGGTCTGCATCACCAAAAAGCTCAATTTTTGTTTTTGTCTGTTCACAAAACATTTGTCCAAAAGGATTGTGGTTTGTCTAGATATGTTTTGGCAAAGGTCAGTCATGCCTTCTTGTGTCTTTCTTTCAGCAATGTATTCCTACATTCCTACAGTACATACTGAGTATTCCTTGGCCTTCACACATTAGGTCCCTCTTGGTCTAGTGTGTAGCATATGGTACAGGTTGAAACCATCACTCCAGATTGCTCTGGATTTGCCTTTAGCTTTTTGGATGTCATACGTGGTGTTTTTTCCACAGTTCTCAAAAACCTTCAAAGACTTTTCTCACTGATTTTCTTCTTTGACTCACATCCTAGGAGGTTCTTGATAGTTCCATGAGTAATAAATGTCCTAATTACATTACACACTGTTGAAACATGGATGGCAAGGACTTTGGCGATGGCCTTGTACCCTTTACCATTCTTGTGTTTGAAGATAATAGTACTTCTTATGCTCTCAGATAGCTCTCTTGGCTTTCCTTTTGTGAAAAAGGATCAGGGTAAGTAAACTGCCCTTTTTAAGCATTAAAGCCATCATTCATTGGTTAATTCATGATTAAAGTCATGTGGGCCCTCATTTATCACAGGTGATTCTAATTTCTAATTTATTACTATTTTATTTATATAATCTAGTCTAATCTGAATAGAATTCATCAAAAGGGTGTCAATAATTGCTTTTTTCCCTTAGCTATTGTGTATCAAACATTAATCATTCAGGGGTGCCACTAGATTTTCTTTATCTCTATTATTTTCTACATTGTAGATTAATATTGAAAACATCAAAACTATGAAGGAACATAAAAACAGTAGTAAACAAGTAAACAAAAAAAGTGTTAAACAAACCAGAATAGATACTTTAAAGTGGCCACCTTTTGCTTTGATGGCAGCTCTACACACTCTTGGCATTCTCTCAATCAGCTTCATGAGGTAGTCACCTGGAAAGGTTTTCAATTAACTCTTTAACTCTCTTTCATTTAACTCTCTTGTCAAGAGTTAATTTGTGGAATTTCTTGCCTTCTTAATGTGTTTGAGACCATCAGTTGTATTGTATGGAGGTAGGGTTTGTACACAGTTCTATAAAGTAAATAGCCCTATTCGACTATTTTTCTAATCCATTTTATTGCAAGAAACACTCAACTAAGTGAACAGAAACAACAGTCCACCATATGACATAAAGGTCAGTCAATCTGGAAAATTGCAAGAACTTTGAATGTATCCTCAAGTGCAGTCCCAAAAACCATCAAACGCTATGATGAAAGTGGCTCTCACGAGAATGGCCCCATTCCCTCTACTGCAGAGGAAATGTTCATTAGAGTTACCAGCCTCAGAAACCACAAATTAGTAGCACCTCAGAGTTCAAGTAGCAGACACTGTTCAGAGGAGACTGCTTCCATCAGGCCTTTATGGTCAAATTGCTGCAAAGAAGCCACTACTGAGGAAGAAGAACAAGAAGAAAATACTTGCTTAAGCCAAGAAACACAAGGAATGGACATTAAACCACCAGTGGAAATCTGTACTTTGGTCTGATGAGTCAAAATTTGAGATTTTTGGTTCCACCCGCCATGTCCAATCTGGTTTGCACTTAATGGGACCATCATCCGTTTTTCAACAGGACAATGACCTCAAACACCTCCAAGCTGTGTAAAAGCTATTTGACCAAAAAGGACAGTGATAGAGTGCTGCGTCAGACGACATGGCCTTACAATCACCTGACCTAGACCCAATTGAGATGGTTTGGAATGATATGGACTGCAGAGTAAATCTAAAGTATAAAACATATTCTCGTTTGTTTAACACTTTTCTGCTTACCACATATATTTCCATGTGTTGTCTTCAATATGAATGTACTATATATACACAAACACAAACACACATACCAAGCTACAAAATCAGCTGTTATAATGTTCTATATCATTGCACCCAAAAAAAATCAAGGTCACCTGACATAGATGTTATTTCTGCTTGACACAAAATGTGAAGGTCTTCAAATCCAGACATTTAATCTAGCTGTCAGTCCTGGATTTTGTTATTACAGGTAGGTATGATTCTCAGTGGCTAATCAGTTACATCAGCAGTTCAGTTAACTAGCAGTGATTACAAAATACAGGACCGGAAACTAGATTCCAGACCACTTAAAGACCCCTAAACTAGTGACTAGAGCTAAATGTCTATTAAATCTGACTGAAACTGAAATAGATCTGATGGACTGATTGAATCAGTCTTGATCAGGACACTCACCATTTTTTGGATTTGAGTCTGGGTGGAGGGTTTCTGGGAATAAGGAAGAGTGCTCTCATCGGGTGCATGTCGCACAGTGCTACAAAGACAAAACAGACACTTAAGCATGAGATTAAAATTCAGTTTCTGTCTCTGAACATCTACATTTAAAGTGTTTATAATGACACTGTTTTTTATGTAATGGTTGAAGGGGAACTGAATTTATTTTTTTATTCTTCATAATAAATCATTTAAATGTAAACAAAAATGCTTCTGAATGGTTTTGCCCGAATTGTTCACAGTGGTGGTGACAGGAACCAGACGTTCACCTCTATAATCTCTCTCACACAAGGTTATCACACGGTTATGACCACACTGCCTGATGTCTGAGACACTGTTTTACGATAGTCTTAAGAAGAATTTGGCTTTAAAATCCATTCATTCAACTGACATAAACAGTGTGTTATGAGAAAGTCGTCCCCAAAGAAAGCTTTTTTTTTTGGATTTTCCATTATTTTACCATCATCAATAGTCCATACAGAAACTCAGATGAAACGTGTAAGTTCACTGGGAGTTTTAGATTATAAACAAGAACTATTTGTGTTGTAGACATGGTGACTCCTGGTTCCTATCATCAAAACTGTAAAGAAATCTGAGTCTCTACAATGAACCACTCTGTCTGAATGTTTACATCGCAACCACTGAATTATGGAGAAATTTTGAAAAATCAACAGAATTCCCATTTATAACAAACATTGATTACAAAATTTGAAAAGTCTTGAAGTTTTGTTATAAAACAAAGTATATATTTTACCATATATATTTTGATTAAAACTGAGTTTCTCTTTAGGTGGAATGTGATTTTAAGAAACTTGTCCAACCTCACAAGCGTATTAACAAAGAACAGATTTGTGGGCGGAGCCTGGATAGGTTAATTCTATTTAGTGTTTAAAACTTGGAGGACGCTGTGGTTGTCCATAAAAGATGCATTTTAAATGACTCTGACTTGCAAGCAAACATTAAGTAGGAACCTTAGTCTAACGGGGAAAAAACATTTTTTTTTTACAATTTTCTATATTTTTACTGTAGCTTTACAGAGATTTAGGTTCAGAGCAAACACTGACATGGAAGACTTTTAAGAAGAAAGGGCAGGTAGAGGAAAAAGGTAAAGCCAACAGAAGAAAAGTATAGAGAAGGTAAAGCTGTGTTGAGCTAACTGCACTTACGTGGTGCTCCCTCAGCCATCTCTATAGCCGTGATTCCACAAGACCACAGATCACTCTGGATGAAATCAAGAAAGATAAAAGTTTACAAGAGTAAGAATTTAGTGCAAAGTAACAGTTTCTCAAAAAAAAAAAAATCTAATTTACACATTTTCCCTTCAACACACTTAGAAAATATTGTCAAATAAAATGCTCAGGCCAGCTAGTTGTGCACGACTAACACATGGACGAACATGTCATTGCTGACTATAAATAAAAAACAGTGATCCATTTGGCTTTAATTAGGTACTTAATTGTACAGTAATATTTGTATATAGATATAGATATATATACAGATAGCAAACTATGTCTGACAACTCAACACTCCAAATGTGGGTGCTCTGTAGTGCAGTACGTTCATAATTATGTTTAGGCATACACTGTAGTGAAGTAAGCTGCCTGTCTATAGCAAGCCTCCAGACCAAAAAATAGCTTAAGTAGCCACTGGCTCCTAAAAAAATAAATAAATAAAAAAATATCAGGCGCCAGACATCTGAGGAGTTAAATGTCTCTAAAAGCCCCCTCAAAGAAAGGTATTAGGTGAAATGGTTATGAATACACTGCCTGATGTCTTATACATTGTTTTACAGTAACTTTATGATAAAGTTTTGGTTTAAACGTATTTTAATCAATTAATTTCAATTAATTCATCGTGGAGGGATATGAAGGCAAAATAGTCCCCAAAGAATTTTCAGATTTACTACTGTTATACCATCATCAATGTTACATTAAACCTCAGATGATGTGTGTAGGTGCAATGGTGGTTTTGGATGGTAAATAAAATAACTACATTTGCATTGTAGACATCACGAGTCCTGGTTTCTATCACCACCACTATAAAGACATGAGTCTGTAAGTTCTCTGCAAATGAACCATTTCACATTAAAACAGTCTGAATGACTGTTTATATCTCAACCCCTGAATTGTACAGAAATTTTGAAAAATCGGTCTAATTTCCCTTTAAGCATCTCTGCCTTCCACCGTGCCTGATAATCGACACATCCAGCCCGCTATTTTTCATTAACAAGCTCAGCTTGGCTCATCCGCTGTGTTTGTCCTGTTTTACCGCTCTGACAGGCGGACGACTTCATGTGACGCTAAAGCCTATCGGTTACTTTTTCAAATAAAAAATGCTAATAGAAAATACATAAAAACAAAAAAAGTAATAAATGCAGAACAATAATGATAAATAGTTACCCATAAAATAATAATAATCCAAAGTTGCTTCCTGTCACCACTGGCAAGTTAATTAATTTTAATACTCGCAAATTAATAACAGTGGTCGCAATTGTTATTGCGTTTTAGTCGCAGTCTAGAGCCCTGAATAGGCTACGTAGTGGCTGTGTTTGAAGCCACATCTCGCCCACTATGGCTTTTTGTAGTATGTTTCTGTATTTAATTTATTAAGTAATAAAGAGAGTTCTAAGATGAAATGAATGCTGGCACTAGTGTGTGCGCCTTCGTAAAACTACAGTTTCAAATTTTGGATGGTGCGTGTTGTCTGCCTGATGCATCTGGCGTGCATGTAGATGTTATTGTCAAATATTTTTTGAATAATGCCTTATAAATTTAAATATCAAATTTGACTTAAATGCCCTTCCCTGATGTTTGGATATTACAATTCAAAAAGGGAGAAAAACAAGTGTATACATTATAAAGATTATTATAGGTAATTGCAATCAATTCTAACATTCCAAAATCGCTACAGTACATAAGTAAATACATGCAGGTCTTACCCTGTAGTCATAGGTAGCATCAGGGTTTTCATCACAGGCAATGACCTCAGGTGCCATCCAGTATGGAGTGCCAATGAAGGTGTTCCTGCGACCAACGGTGCGGTCGAGCTGGGCACTCACACCAAAGTCCACTGCCAGATGTAACCAGAGCAAACCATTTCAAAGCACTTCAGCACAAATGAGCAGATAGTGGGATTAACAAATGTTAATTCAGATGTTTTTGGTAGTATGGGTCAAAATATGCATGAATTAACTAACATGGTGATAAAAAGTTTAATTTACAATAAACTACTCTGTATGCTAACATGTTAACAGCAACATTTTTACACTGGGAAATAAGCGTAAACATTGATAAAATGAAATATGGTTCAGTTTCATTAGCTGATGTATCTTTTCACCAAATCTATTTTAAACATTGATATTTCAAACAGGAATTTTTTTTTTTTCAATTTTTCAAACGGGCTATAACCTCTATTATATAACTTGAACAGGCTGAGTGTACCATCGTTTGTGCAGTTAGGAGTTCACCTCTAGCAGCAACAGTTTTATTCCAATGTAAGCTGTCATGCATTGTAACATCATAAAACAAATGCAATCATTACACATTACTATAACTCAATATCTGGATCCATCGATACTGTCTAATAAACGCACAGCTAGAGCAAATCATTCACACTGCACTGTGTATTTTACTTTTAGGTTTAGACTCAAGGTAAGAACTAGAAATACAATAGTTAATTTATATACTCAATCCAAACTCTTACTGGGCCACTGATTTAAAGAACATCTATTCTTACCCAATTTGACCTCTGCATTTTCAGTCAGAAGTACATTCTGCCCTTTTATATCTCTGTGAATAACATGATGGGCATGTAGGTGAGCCAGTCCCTGAAGAAAAACACAAACACACAGACTTTGAGTCTAGAGATTTGAGCACACTGAAGCTGATTCAGTGCGTGAAAACATGCACCCGTGCATGAGTGCCTTATTTACATAGTATTTGCACAGGACACTCCACAATTTACCCTTATATACATGTAATTTACATGAAACATGTCCTAATACATCTTTTAACAGTGATCTAATAAAAGAAAAGTACTCATCAGCTCATGTGGTTTTGTAATATGGGGTCGAGCAGAAGGTGCAAATGGACAGAACTTAAACAGCTTTATAGTGTTATGATTTGAAAAGAATAAAATGTGAAATGAACTTCATGTAGACTTTCAGTCAGTTGGCAGAGTGATGTCACTGTGTGAATATTATAACAAAATACTGGCTGTTTGAGTGACAATATTGCAGTATATGAGCTTCTGCTGTATTTTAGGGAGGAAGATATTTACTCCATATACTCTGTTTTTAAATAGAACATGTAGTCGGAGCATTTGTTTATATCAGTGTACATATAAAAATAAGTAAATCTACTTTAGTACAAGAATTGCTGTGTGCACAGTTATTAGTATTATCATTATATTCTATTTTTACTCTTATTGCTGATGTTACTTTTGAATCTGACATTACTTTGATTATTTTGCCACCAATCAGGCATTTTTCTGACTGTTAGAACAATTAGCTTAAATTTACAGGCACTCCTACAAGACGTGAGTATGTACAGATATAGGAAAGATAAAGTAACAAAACTGTGGGTGGAATTTGCATGCGATCAGATTTGACCAACTGTGATAAATAAAGATCACGGTATGCAGCAGTGAGACAGGAGAGCAGAATGTTTGTACAGTCTAATCTGTAAGTAATGGGACAGCGACAGATCTTGTTGGTTTGTCTCTGCACTCCATCTCACTGGATTTAAAATTAAATACATATTAACAAGCAAGATTAAAATTGCTAGAAAGCAGTTTACATTCTTAAAAATAGAGGTCCTCAAATTGTTCCTGGCTCATGTGTTCTGTTAGACAGGTTTTCTGTGATGTGTTCCTTTGTTTGGTTCTTTAAGCCCTTAAAATATCAGGCTTATGACATCACAGGGTATATTATTCAGTAGTTATTCTTAGATTAATGGAAGTTTGGACCTGCCAGCAGGTCCTGGTCGTTTACTTAAAAAAACTTCTTCACACTCACACATCTAATTTATATCAAGTAAAAAAAAAAAATAGCACTATTGATCATGATTAATGTGTGGTGAGATCAAATAATGCTTAATCTCTAGGCTACATGCTTACTGCAGTAAGGTCTCTATCTCTCTCAAAGATAGTTATTTAAGTAGCCTGTATTTATCTTGGAATAGGCTCAACATGCAAAATCAAAATGCTAAAACGAGTCTTCTTATTTTCTGCTTAACATCCCTCTGTTAGTCTTAGGTCTAAGGTCTTAGGTTACTTTTTGGTTTCATAAGTTATTTGCGAACCATCAAAATCTGAAGAACTTTATGGTTCTTGAAGAAACCTGTTAGAAAGAGAGATTACCCAAAAAACAGGTTTCAAGCTCTTAATGGACTTTGTGGCACTGACCAAAAATGGTTCTTTAGAGCACTGTTTCTCAACCCTCTTCCTGTAGGCTCACTGCCTCACACATTTCAGAGCTTTTCCTGCTTTAACACACCCACTTTAATAGAATAATGGGCTGTTAATTCGCTGACTAGTTGGATCGGGTGTGTTGGGAGCAGGGAAACAAATTGTGCAGGGCAGTGGGTCTCCAGGACCAGGGTTTAGAAACACTGCTTTTCAGAAAATCTACTGAGAAGTGGAAAACCTTTTTTTAGTTTTGAAAGTGAGGGCACCCTGAGACTGATAATAATCAACATCCCTAACCAGGGTAGTTTTCAACCTGCACCGGAATACTGTGAGTTCCTTGAATGTTCTTTTCTTTATTGACATATCTACACCTATAAGTATTCTTCATTACCGTTAAGGTGGTCCTTTATGCTTTTCCACCACCAAACAACTGATTCTGACACCCAATATTTTAACTCTTGTTTACTTATTCTAATCTTTTAGCCTTTATGGCCTACTTTCATTGAAATTCTTCGATCCTCATTTTGAGAAACAACAATAAAAGCATCAAGATGCAAACACACCTAGACACAACTGTAGACTTTTTGTTATCTCTCTTATGCATCAACTAAAGATACAAAGCCACACAAGTCAAGAAACAACTGAGAGGCCAAATGTCCAGTACATATGATTCCTATACAAATGTGTGATTCAACCAATATAGATTAAAATACCCTTAAATAAAAAACTTAGTTACAAGGCTTTGATCTGACAGTGAACAAATGCGTATGAGTGTAGCACTCTACCCTGAGAATCTCTCTAGAGATATATGCAATCCAGTCCTCCTTCAGCGAGTTTCCTTTAGTGTTCTTCACCAGGTCAGTGATTGAGCCAGCACCACAGAACTCCATCACCAGCTACACAAAGAGAGAGAGTGGTAAGAAAATCACATTCAGTTATACCACAGAATACTCAAAAGACCATAATTTTAGCAATAAATAAACTCCCATTAGCGGAAACTCCTGCTTTTTTCTTAGGGGAGAAAAATGTAAATCCCAAGTGCTTGACTTCATTTTTTAACTTTTACTAGTCCTGAACAAATGGAATAAAGGGTATAATCGAATGTTGTAACTCATCTGCCTCATCGTATTTACCCAAACAGCTGATTCTGAAGGCAGTTCTCTGCTTCTATACAGTTTCACACACTGTACTGAGAGATTTTCTCACTGTTGTATTTTGAGCCAAATGTCTAAAATAACATTCTCAAATTCGACAACCAAGCTAGACTGGAATGGTTACTTTTTCAGCACAGCTGATGGAAGTGTGTTGAAATGTAAAGTTAAAATCATATTAACATTATAGGTGCCATTTTGTTGCTCTTTCTCATTCAATAAAGTTTCACATAAGGGAGAATCCTTTCACAGTTTACATGAACTTTACTATTTACTGCACCACTACGACCCACACATTCTACTATACACTCGCTGACAAGTCTGTGCCAGTCACTAAATCCTCCCATTCAGGTAACCGTGTGAAAAATAACTGCTTTAAATAGTTGAAACAGATAGAGGCAGAGCTTTACGCAAGAGGAGGTATTTTTTCCCCCTTTTTTTATAAAAAAATGGAATAGATAGAAAAGAAGTAGAAAGATGGAAAAGATGGAAAAGAAGTAGAACACCAGCAGCAAATTTTCTTCCAGTAATTCCAGTAAAAAAACACGTTAGCGCTCCGATGACAGAACAGATCGAATTACCTCATATACGCAGACCTGACATACGTCAATTAGTGCTTCTCAAATAACTTCACCATTCAGCTATACAAACAATTATAAACACCAGAGCACAGCTCAAACACTGCCCCATCCTGAACTACAAGCATGTAGAACATAAACATCTCACCCCCCAGTACTGTGTTTTAAGTGTGCGAGGCACTAATGGCTACTGTCACAACAAATATATTTAATAACTAAACAATAAACAAATAATTAAACACAATTCTTGTGTGCCTATATAACAAATAAATATATAAATATAAATATAAACATATATTTAACACTGACTGTTCCTCAGCCTTTTAGTGCATAAAAAATGTGCTCTTTTCTGATGTAAGGAGCTGTTAGAATTTTATCTCTTTTTATTTTTGCACAATAGTGAACACACACACACACACACACACACATCATCTAAACCGCTTATCCTTCTGGGTTGCGGGGTGAGCTGGAGCCTATCCCAGCTGTCACTGGGCGGAAGGCAGAATACACCATGGACGGGTCGCCAGTCTATCACAGTTCAGACACACAGACACATACATGCACACACACAATCACATCTAGGGACAATTTAGCGTGTCCAATTGGCCTGACTGCATACCCACTGCGCCACCATGCCGCCCCGCAATAGTGAACAGTATTTTGTAATTTTGTATTTTGCTATTTGCTTAATATAGAGGCTGGCTAGACTTCTGTATTTGTGTTACAGCCAGTCAGAGGTGCAATATTTTAATAATAATGTAACGCTTCTCATGTAGTCATGGTGATACGACAGCTTTATCAATGTCAATTCTGATTTCAGGTTGACTTTAAACTGCAGTTAATGAATTCTTACCATCACAGGTACAGGACTACTCACTGTCACTCTTACTTTGTGCTTCCACTTACTGGACACTCTATGAGCTCCACCTGCCCTAAAAGTCCACTATATAAACTGATCAGCTGTAATATTAAATTCATCTCCTTGTTTCTATACTCATTGTCCAGCTCCACTTACCATATAGGTGCACTTTGTAGTTCTACAATTACAGAATGTAGTCCATATGCTTCTCTGCATACTTTGTTAGCCCCATTTCATCCTGTTCTTTAGTAGATTCTGCAGGCATAATTAGCATATATCATAGGCACCAAAGTTCCCACATGCTCAAGTTTGCAGATAGTTGGCCTACAATGCAAGCAAATGGACCCCTTAGGTAGGGGTTAAAGTGGCCAGTGAATGTGTACAATCTCATATTTACATATATGCTCCCTCAAACTGTTAACTGTAGGTAGGAGGGATAAAGGAGAGGTATACTGACCCAGAGCTGGTCATCATGGCCTGGAGGGCTCTTCTTGATGAATGCTCCATAGTAGGTTGCAATGTTTCGATGGTGAGAATACTTCTTCAGCATATTAATCTCCAACTTAATTTCTTCCTCTTCATCCTAGAGAGATGAGAAAAAGCATAAAAACACAAGAGCGTGTACAATTCTGCATAATTAACAGCACTAATAATCCATGAGGCAATGAAGCAAAAACACACATTTTTAAACACATTACTCCGAGTCAGCAACTTTATAGGCCTTTAGGAGGCTTTCTAAAATGGTGAAAACTGATTTCTGCCAGTAATTTATAAGCGACTAGTGAACAGTTTACATGCAGTTCATGAATCATTAGTGCCTGTTACAAACAGCATTTACATAGCATGCATGTGCACAGTTCAAATACTACTGTATCCTGAAATATTAGCCTTTGAAAATGGTTAAAACGTGATTATTCTCATTCTGAGTGTGTAAAATGTACACACTGTATGGTAAACTGTAAAAAGCAGCAATAGCTACTGTTACAACAAACCCAGTGTGTGTCTGTGTGTGCGTTAGGGAGAGAGTGAATGAACGAGGCAGGCGATAATGCAGGCGAGGGGGGTAGGAGAAATATGGTCAGACTGACGTCATCCTCCTTTTCCCCTCTTGAAAATCCCTCAGAGAGAGAGAGAGAGAGAGAGTGAGAGAGAGAGAGAGAGAGAGAGAGAGAGAGAGAGAGAGAGAGAGAGAGAGAGAGAGGGAGGATTCATGCCCTTCCTAGAGGTGGGCAATATGGCAAAAATATTATTATATTAAGACCTCTTTTCACAATACACATGCATGCATCATGATATTTCTTTTTTTCATGCATTTAATAAGTTGGAACAGACAAAATAGTACCTGTATTGTCACATACAAAAATACTACAGTAATAATACAATAATAAATCTACAACTACAGTGATTTTTATTCCAGGTTTAACAAACTGCACTGCACTAATTTGTAATGAAACGTGTAGTTGGTTGGTGTTCTTTAAGTACTGACGATATCCATGATATGCTTAGAAAAGCGTATTGTGGCATCATTTATCACAATCACGATAAAAAAAAATCCATAATCCCACAGCACTTCTGCTGAACCTTCTTATAGATAGAAAAAAAATATTTTCTTCTGTCTCTCGCACACTATCTCTCTCTTTCTAACTCTCTCCTATTGCCCCCCCCCCACTATCTGTCTCTCTTTTTCGCTCCCTCTCTCTCCGTTTTCGTCTTTCACTGTCTCTTTTTCCTCTGTTGACCCCACACTTTCTTTCTCTCTCTCTCTCTATCACTGACTTTTCCCCCACTCCCTCTCTCTATCTCTCTCTCTCTCACACACTGGCCCCCGCCTTCTCTCCCTCTGTGTATATAGAGCAGGAAGCTGTATGTGGGTCAAGCACAGAGCACAGAGCACCAGAGGAGCTGATTTAGAGTCAGTCCTGTGGCAAAAACACACACACAAAGACACCCCTAAGGGAAGAGCACCCTCTAAAGACCAGTAAAACTAACAAAGCTGTGTGTGTTTATACGCATAATTTTACTTGCACTGTAAAATGTATATATTTTACTTAATAAGGGCGTCTTCTTGTTGGACCATGTGTCTCTGCTCACTGACTGCCTACAAACTAAACCACATCATTGGAATAATAATGACAACACCTTATCTGAAGGTTGCCTTCACAGGGACTTTAAAAGTGCATAAGCATCGTACATTTGAAGCGATTGTTTTAAAAGTATAATATGAAGTGAAAGACACAATAAAGCATTTAATAAGGCATTTTAAACTAAAGTGACAGACATTTGTTTAATTTATAACACTGTTAAAAAGCATCATTCCAGGTAAATGAGCTCATGAAGCAGAGGCTAATTAAGAACACTACACATCATTTCTATATAATTTTAAGAATAAAAGCACAGTTTCCATTAAGGTACCAAGACATACGATTTTCTTAACTAGGCCTCTGAATTATAAACTCCAAATAAAGAATAGGAAAGACTTCAGTAACAACCCTCCAAAAGATTTTAACGTCATCTAAAAAGACAGTAACTGTATGACTTTTAACTTGAGCTCAGCATGATGGGAGGGAATATACGCTGTATCCATGGCAGAAACTTGGTGAGATGCTAATATGTTATTAAAAACGCAGTCAAAAATAAAAACCCAGCACATCACTGTCTGCTTTTCAGTTGACTGTGTTTTAGCTCAGCAGATAGAATAAACATCGCTGGTTGAAGGTGAGCTGCAGTTTGGAACTGTTGGTCGGAACTGCTGGCTAAACTGGATGGTTACCAAGGCTGCTAATGCACACGGACCAGCTCACGTTTTAGTGTTTTTCTTTGGGTTTTAGCCCCTGTCCACACTAACACAGAGCTTTAGTTCACAGATTCATCAAAACTCTAGTTTCTGTATTTGAATATGGACTGATAAAAACAATTAAGAGGTTATTTGAAAACGGCCATATCGTGTACTGTTTATTGTTGTTTTCCATGTGATGAGCTGCTTTAGGTCTCCATATCTGACATGGTAGATGACTGGACTATTAATGTTATGTGTAATATGAAAGTTATTTATATAACTCACCACACAGAGGCTATTTAATTTAGAAGAGAAATATAGACAAGCAGCCTATTGTGGACAGCCTTGTAATTTGTGTTGTTCTGTTACTGTTTCTGCACCTTTCAAAACAGTGTTCACCAGAGCGATGCAAAAAATATGTTACTGTGCTGCTGACAAAAGCTCTTTAGAAAATAATCTTTGTATTTTTAATTTGTCGAATATAATATTGCCACACTAATAGGTGCAGGTTTTTATTTCCCAACTAACTGATTAATCAAGGCATAATGGACCAACCTACTGATTATGAAAATAGTCATTATTTGTAGCCCTAATACAAACTTTTACATACACTTTCCAGATACTGTACTGCAGCGCAACTGGTACTGATGCACTAACTACACAATTTCTACCAGCCAATTCATCAATGAGTCACTTCTGATCACTGGCCTGCTATCGTCTGGGCATCATTCAGGCGGTCAATCATTCCACTAGGTTTGAGCGGTATCTATTTTTTTCATAACTTCCTGACATTTCACCAGGGTATACAGTATTTCAGTTTAAAAAAAAACTCAAAACCTAAAAGCTGGGCTGCTGGTGACGGACATTACTGTAGCACGTATGACACCGTCTAGCCTACAATGCTGTGTATCTAATTTGCAATTAGCCTACTTAGTAAGTCTTTCTAGGTTTAAATACTTATGGGCCATAGAATAATGAACTGAAGTGCCCCTTCTTACATAGATTAAACATACTTTGCTGTAGGACCCGATGACATTGCCATGACTGATACTGAAAGAAATTTTTACCTCAAGGTAAAATTATATCTTGCAATATTTTCTTATTTATTTATTTATTTATTTCACACGCTCTCTTTTTTAATCTTGAAATACAACCCATCTCCAAAAAAGCTTTTCAGGGACAGTTGTTTTCAGAAGTCTTCCTGAGCCCACGCAGTGAGTTCCACTGCAGAATCATGTCTGTTTTTAATGCAGTGCCACCTGAGGGCCCAAAGATCACGACCAGCAAAAACTGGTTTTGGCCTTGTCCCTTGCATAGAGTTTTCTCCAGATTTTCTGAATCTTTTAATGTTATTATGTACCTCAGACAATGAAAAGCAAAAGTTCTTTGCTATTTTACATTGAGAAACGCTATTCTTGAATTGTTGCACTATTTGCCTGCGCAGTCTTTCACAGAGTGGTGAACCCCTCCTCATCTTTACTTCTGAAAGACTCAGTCTCTCTGGGATGCTTTTTTATACCCACTCATGTTACTGACCTGTTCCCAATTAACCACCAGGTGTTTTTTAGCATTACACTTTACCAGCCTTTTGTTGCCCCCATCCCAACTTTTTTGGAACGTGTTGGCATCAAATTCAAAATGCCCATTTATTTAAAAAAAATAAATCAATCAAATTTCTCACTTTCAATATCTGATATGTTGTCTTTGTACTGTTGTCAATGAAATATAGGGTTTAAATGATTTGCTCATCATTGCATTTTGATTTACATTTTGCACTGCATCCCAACTATTTTGGAAATGAGGTATATATATACTCTATATATACTATATATATACTTTTTTTTTTAAATACCTTTACATGGTTACCAAATAAGTGAACTCTGGCACTGGTTACTGTTAGTTTGCTAGCTAGCATGCCAACAGCTCTGCCCACCACAGAACATGTTAGATTCCAGCTAACTAAAGCACAGACACTAGTTTAGATGACTTAAAAATGAAAAATGATTAAAATCTGACACACTGAAGTCAAGCAGCCGCTGAAGGGACAGAAAGGCAAAATTAAACCTGTTCTGAGGTGTTGGGATCTTTAGTCTGATATTCTACCTTAACATTAGCTTAATGAGAAGCTACAAACCCAAATAGTGCCACACTTCATAGCACATGCTTTATTCTGAAAAGTAGTGTTCTGTTGACACAAATTTAGATGATAAAAATGTCTGACAGCAAAAGCAGAGTGACTAATCAAACATATTCTGTGGTGTGTGCAGAGAATGTGCGGCTCTGATGTGTGCAGCTCTTTGTTATAGCTGAGCTGCTATTATCAGCTGGTATTGATTTCAATCCGTTTTTAATAGTCTTATCTATCGTTGAGCTCCCACACCACCAATCAGTGAGCCCTGTAAATCTAAATGGGTGAGATGTGTTTATGTATCCGTTCAGACATGGAGTAGAAATTTGACACGTCATACCGCCCAAGCCTACATTCCACATGGACATGGTCAAGTTTGAAAATTGCAGCAGCGTTATAGTACTTTTTGGTGGCAACAATGATTTAGTTAATGCTACAAGTTATGATGAGTATTTTACTCAACCAATAAAGTGATACTCTAACGTAGCTAGCTAATTAAAGTGACAAGAGGAGTCTGTAAGACGTTTGGTTTAGAGGTTGAAGATACAGAGATAGAAAGAGAACTCAAGTATTTTTAATCCATAACTGTATTTTTTCTAATAAATGCTACTTTAATTGGCTCTTCAAGCTATGATTGCATGTATTAAATGTAAAATTTGAATTTTAGTTCTTTTCTTACCTCTGTGACGTCCATGACCTTGATGGCCGCCAACTGTCCAGTTTTGACATGCCGACCCTGTTCAAAACGAAGGAAAGAGTCAGAAAGAGAGTGATTAAAGGGGCTTGTTTTTAGCTTTGACTAAAGCTGCCCTAAAATTTACTGTGGTCAATATGTAACAATCAAAAAGCAATCTTTTGAGGCCACTGATTAGAATGCAATATCCCTTATGAGAGAATTACACTTCAGCTGTGTTACAGAGAGAAGACAAGCAGTTAAGACAGAAAACAGCTTGTAATGACAATGCTTAAAGGAATTCCCACCTTAATGACACATTCAGTCAAACTTCTTCAACTTGCTCGCAGTCATATAATGAGAAAAAAAGGGTTTTCAATGGCTGCTCACTTTCCATGATACAGAGCTTCCTGTGTTCAGAATCTAAAAGCCATTAGGATCAGATATCGCAACAAATGATACATTTCCAAGTATAGCAAGTATGCAGTTTCGAGTTAAAGCAGGAATTCAGAAATGAAGACTGCACAAGAAACAGACAACTGAAGTAGAGATCTGAGATAACTATTTGAATGAAATTCCACAAATCAGGTGTAGTAGCATTTATGGTGCTTTTTTGCCACCTCTTCTTGATCTATTTAAGAACCAAAAAGGTGAACACAGTGCATCATGTTCTAGGCACTGTTCAATAAACGTCAAACGGTCTAACACACGCTTTCAATACACGCTAACAATAAGCGTATTCTCCTTTCAGGTTAATTAGTGCTGTAGAGAAGTTGGTTAGCATTAGCTGAGCACTGCTCACCACATAGCATGTTCGATTCTGGCTAACTAAAGCTAACTGGCTTTTTTTTACTTGGCAAGGCAACAACTAAGATGACGGATCAGCTGTGTCCCAGCAACTAGAATCTTTTTTGCAAACATCACAAAGATTACAATCTCTAAAAGCAGCTCAAACTGTGCTACAAACATCCCAGTTATACACAGAAGAACTCAAAATTTCAACTTCTGAATAAGGCACTAAATCTCTCAGTGCGCGTTTCACTTTCCAATGTGGACAGTAGTCCAGTGTTATCGTTTGCCTGTTCTGTGAGGAGTAAAGGATCTTATCTGCACTTGTAGATTTGGCCTGTTTGTTTTGTACTTCATCTCGTGGGGAGCTGCATCTCTAAAAGCAGCTCAAACTGAGCTGTGTGTAGCTGCGTGCAAAAGCACTCATAAAGCTTAAGCTTCTCAATTAGAGGAAGCTCTGCATTCTCCTTTCAGGTTTCCAACATGGAGAGCATCCTGCACAGTGTCACTTTCCTGAGAAGCAAATGACATCTTTTTAACTGACATGCTGCCTGTTTTTTTTTTCAAGGTGCATCTGATGCGTATAGTTCTCATGAGAAAAAACACTGTGTTAATATTTAGCATTTTCATGTTGTATTCAGTGTGTGGGCCTGAGAAAATGTGTTCTGTGGTGAGCATAGCCATCATTTGCCCTTGCTAACGTTCGTCAACTCACTTCAATTATGGAATATTGAATATTGGAAACTATCTATAGATAATTTTATACTATGTATAGAGACTGATCTCCACAACACTAGGGGACAGTCTGCATTTTGATGCGACAAGTTTTCATGCAAGCAATGTAATGTTACTAAGTTTAAATTATGCTGCTGTCAAGAACCTAGATAACAGCAGTCTCTACTCTGCTAGCAATGGAAACAGATAGCAACTTTCAAAAACGCACGCATTCACTGAACAGAAAACAATGCCAAACAACACGGAAAGCCGTTGACACAATCACTAACAAAAAACAGTAAAATGATAACATTTCCTGAAATTTATCGCTTTCCGTAATTTTAATCTTACTTGGTGTTGATTTCTGTTCAGTGAACGCATGTGCCCAAGGGCTTGATGAAGGGGATCATGAATTTGAGGGGGAACTAAATTGGATGCAACACCGGAAAATTGACAGTGACTGGATCAAATGCTGACTCAGCTATGGGTAACTACAAATAATTGTATTTGGTGTACTGGACAAAACCGTTCACGAAATCCATGATTGGTTTCAGGAAAATGAGGTGGGAAGACTAATCATACTGGACAACATTCTCAGCTCTAGAGCACACACTGAAGTAGACCTGGTATTTGTTTGTCATCGCTATGGATTTTCCAAAGAGCAGATGAGTGAGGGCTGTCCCTCTTCAACACTATGCAATCAGATTGAAAACTTACATGAGAAACATGAGAAAGTCAGGAGAGAGTGTCTGACATTGCAGTGCTGAATACTGAATGGACCATTCTTGTGGACTTGGAAAAAAACAGTCAGTGCATTTAATGTCGTGCCTGGTGGGCACCAAAAACATTGTTTAGACTTTCATAAATATAGGTTATTTGCTAAACATTTTATAAAACATTTTATACTTAATATATAGTTGACTATATAAATATGCAAATGTTGCCTGTGCTTATTACCATGCAAAATATTTCTTATTACACAGTGTAATTAGGTATTTGTTACGACAATGCAGCACTATCTGCCTTGCCTACATTAAAATTGTGTCCTAAGAGCAAGTGACCCGAGTGAGCGTCTACGATAAAACCGAAATGCTCCCATTATAATCAATGAAACTGTCCACATCAACTGGGAAAAGCAAAGCGCATGATGGACACCCCATTTCTAGTTTTGATGCATCATGCCGCTCTGCCATTACACCTTAAAATGGATGAATCTTCCATGAAGTGAAGAAAAGGAGGGATTTCTACGACCCCTCGGGTAATCAATCTGGAGAGAAACTGCCAGAGTGCTGGAGGTGAAAACCATTTGTCTTATGTCACTGGACACTTAGCTAGTTAGCTGGGTAGACTTAGCAGATACAACTGAGCTAAATGTTATTTTAACTGTTATTTATACTACTGTAGTTAAATGGGCGAATAAAACATAACCTGTTATACATTTTGTTACACTAAAGTCCCAAAACCACACCCTGAAGGCTTTGCGACATGATGCAATACCACATTTGATCACTTGCTTGCTGTTAGGACATGGTCTAAGACTAGTGGCACTGTACTAAGACTGAACTAGTTCTGCACAACCATCACAAATTGCTACATGTTGCCTTTATGTGACATAGTTAAAGACAGGCCTGCATTATTTAACTCAAAGTTTTTTGGATCATTCAAATGGTTTGATTCATGCAAACAACCAAAGAACACCTGCAACTGGTCAGAATACTAATAGCTAGGGGTGCATCAATATCAATACTGGTATTGGCCTGATACCATGCTCATTTACTCATACTCCTCCTCATAAAAATGCGCAGATAACAACATCCGACACCAACTGATGCTGTGTGACATAAGCAGAGTGTAAACTGCCGCGATAATGAAAAAACGACGGGGAGTAAACAAGGATCAGCTCACACAGAGAAGTGATACTGACTCTGTGGAGGTCCAACACAAAGCCTTCTGTCACTTTAAACATTCTACCTTGGCAATGTCCCTCCAATATATGCCCATTTTGAATATGATGCCAACAACACGTTCCAAAAAAGTTGGGATGGGGCAACAAAAGGCTGGTGAAGTTGTGTAATGCTAAAAATGCTAATCTGGAGAAATCTCTGTATGCAAGAGACAAGGCCAAAAACCAGTATTTGCTGGCCACAATCTTTGGGCCCTCAGGTGGCACTGCATTAAAAATAGACATGATTCTGCAGTGGTAATCACTGCGTGGGCTCAGGAAGACTTCTGAAAACCACTGTCTGTGAAAAGAGTTCATAACTGCATCCACAAATGCAAGTTGAAACTCTAAAACAAAAAGAAGAAACTGTATATAAACAGGATCCAGAAATGCCGCCACCTTCTCTGGGCCCGAGTTCATTTGAGATGGACTGAGGTGAAGTGGAAAAGTGTCCTGTGTTCCGACAAATCAACATTGGAAATTCTTTTTGGAAATCATCGATGCTGTGTCAACTGGGCTAAAGACCACTCAGCTTGTTATCAGTGCACAGTTCAAAAGCCCGTATTCATGATGGTATAGGGGTGCATTAGTGCACATGGCATGGGTGATGTGCACAGCCATGAAGGCACCATTAATGCTGAATGATATATACATGTTTTGGCAACATATGCTGCCATCCAGACGACGTCTTTTTCAGGGAAGGCCTTGCTTATTTCAGCAAGACAATGCCAAACCACATTCTGCATGTATTACAATAGCATTGCTCCGTATTAAAAGAGTCTGGGTACTAAACTGACCTTCCTACAGTACAGTCCTGTCACCCACTTATAACATTTGGTGCATTATGAAATGAAAAATACGACAAAGAAGACCCCGAACTGTTGAGCAGTGAAAATCATATATCAAGCAAGAATGGGAAAACATTTCACGTGTTGTGGGCATCAAATTCAAAACGGGCATATATTTTTCAAAAAACAAACACACACAAACACAATCACAAGCACTGCCCTAATACAGGTGGAGACACGTAGGCTAACAAAAAGGCGTTAAAAAAAGTATATGTGACTTTTACTCTGATTGGCTGAATTGAATGACCAGCTATAAACATCAATACTAATAATTTTTTTTAATTGTCTTTGTACATTAGGCTGTAAAGACACCATGCTGTCTAGGGGGAATCTCTAGGCAACTCACGTTTCGATTTGATTATGATTCATTATAAAACGATTATCGATGCATCTTGATGCATCTTTTTTGCCATACAGGTTTTATTTTTCTCACTGTGTGACAACTTGGAACTTTTAACGCAAAGTATCTGTCCATGATCCATAATGAATTTACTTCCAATATCTTTTATTAATAAAACAAATGGAAGTGATGTGGCAAGTAAACTGGAAGACTTTCATTCATTGCTCTTGTTTGGAGCACAAGAGGCAGGCATTCCACTCATCTGTGATAAAATGCGCAGCTACGGTGAAATAAGATCCTGTGGCAGTGGGTGTCCATGCAGCAGATTACAGCTATTCTACCCATTTTCTTCAGTGATTTCATAACTTTGGTTTTGGTCTCGTTGTAGAGAGTGGGGGGTTGCTGTGGCAGTAAAATATCTTTGAGATGG